CACTTGAAGTGCCCAGAGTCGTTTCCTTTATCAAGGCTTATTACTTAAATGTTTGCGTTTCACAAGTAGCTTACTAATAGATACACGTTACCTCGTTTTTAAGTTGCATCAAAGAATCATAGATGGCAAACCCTTCTGATTCCATTCCAACCTGTTTAGTCAACATTTTGCACCGAAGTTAGATATGCTGAGAAAAAGGATCTAAATCTTTTACACAGTGTTTAATAATTCACCGTCTCGCCATCGTCTCGAGTGGTCCCTGTAGAGTTGATGTAAATATATATGGGTGCCTTGGGATCCAGCCACTGAAGATACATCAGCTCTGCGACAACCAGCTCTGTCACCGCAGGCACCAGCTGAAAAAAAAATCAGCCAGCACCACAACATCAGTCTAAACAGTCCCCACCACAAATCCACAAGAATGCGCAGAACTTACAGGCATTCCAATGTAAACAATTCTCCCGTCAAGAAGCATAGAGGGCAAGTCTGGTGGAGGAGTTCTTGGTCGGTGCTCGTTATAAGCCACTGACCTTTCAACCTAATTTTCAACAAAACAGACTTAATCAGCAGATTTCAATCAGTGAATCAAATGATGTAGCTACTATTCTACACCACACAATTGCTGAGTCGATTTGGAATCTCACTTTACCACTTTCAAATTCAATAAGATTTTAATTCTCATAATTTCAATATGAAGCCCAGAGATATGACCATATGCAGATCAAAATTTTACATATATACGTATGCAAAGAAATTAACGAAATGAAGGCAGTCTGTGTGCACGACGAACTATACTGGCAGGATACTTGACGATGTAACTACACGTAAAGCACCTAGATTTTTATCATACACGACAAGGATCGGAATTGGACGAGATGAGTTCACCTGAGCAGGAGAAGACATGAGCTGAGGGGAATCAAAGATGTCAAGATACGGCGGCGTATCAGCGTTTACCGGCCGATTGAGAAGCTTTTCCGGCGAATTCGCAGCAACGGAAGCGAGCGTTGAGAGAAAAGGATCCTTCGGGTTTATCGGAGGCATAGGGATTTTAGCAGCGGCTTTGGCGCGAAAGGCATAGCGAGAGCTCTTCAAGTTTCTCCTCCCGGTTGAGTTCAAAGATAAAGGAGGATACGAAGAAGAGCGTGGAAGCAGAGAATTCATGGAAGCTTGTAAGCAAGACGCCATGGACGAAGAGCTCTTGGGTACGAAAGCTCGCGAAATGGACTGGTTGGAGAAAGGAAACCAGATGATTTAGCGATGCTTTCTTTGGGAGAGAGGAAATAATGGGTCCGGATGTCGGGTTGACCCGACTTTTGATGTTCCGGGTGATATGATATGCGTATAGCCCGGGTCCGGGTCCGGGTCCGGGTCCGGGTCCAGGCCCGGGTCCAGGCCCAGGTCCAGGCCCAGTTGCACAATAGACTTTTTTTTTTTTTTCTACTTCGAATGACTATGGTTGCAGAGTGCAGACTACCAGTTGAAGCGTGAAACTTAATGATTTTAAGCTAATCATCCATGATTTTTAAAACGCTATATAAAACGGGGTATTTTCATCGTTATATTAGGGGACATTTTCATCATTGTAATTAGTTGCAACTTGCAAGTAAACATATGCAAATCAGTACTAAGTATTCACCAATGAAGATCATTTTCTCCAACTCTCAAATCGAACAGCCGTATCCGAATTGACAACCGCATCGATACTTATTCAACATGTCATTAAATCATATTCAACATAATATCGTTCATTATCCAATACACGCCGAAGTATGGCTTTCCAATCAAAGTTCCAATACTTTTAATTTAGAGATATGATAACTGGAGATAACCAAAATTAAAATCACTTGATCTTGATACCAGTAGAGTCCGAGATGAGACAATTCAGATTTACCGGTCTTCTATTCCCGCTAATCAGGTTTTCCTATCAATCAGATCTCGCCTGTAAACAACGAAAAAATTGAAATACGGTTAAGTGACAAAAGACATACGACACAAAAGCAGATTAATTGCTATTACACTTGAAGGGAACTAGATTACGGCTATTATTACACTAGACACACTACAAACTCCTCAAAACTTCTGGACTTTCTCACGGTTTTTCTGTTCATTTGGTGTTGATGTAAGAGCAAACAAAGTATGAAAACAAATGTGTTTGGGCTCAGGTTCTACACTTACCGGTGAAACTGGAGAGCTCGATCTCGATCTTGATCGGGACCTGCAGCAAGAAAGAAAAAAAACCTGTAAGTATGGCATCGCAAAAGCAATTTACTAATCATCTCCCATCTTAAGCGTTGGCCTAGAAAAGAACACAACATAGAATCAGAAATGTCAAAAAAAAATTAATATATTCAAGAATCAGAGGTATCATAGTCCAAAACGTTGTGATCAGATCCTACAGCTGATACGCGCTGAGTACCAAACCAGACCGACAAACAGAAGTTCAAGTTCATGCTAATCCAGCTTTGTAAATCCACAAGGATCCATCTAGAAGACCCATCAAGTCCCTAAGATCCAATCCCCAGCTCGCAGCAGTGAGCCAGATCTAGAAAACAAACAAGGCAATACAATTGTAATCACAGTATATGATCAAGGACACACCTCAAGAATCCAGATTCATATCTTTGCCCTTCCACTAGAAAATAAATTTTCACAAAAAGAAAAATTATAGCAGAAACAGAAGAAGTCAGACAATCTAGAGTGATCAGTACTTAATTCACTGTCGCTGGACAAAGTTGAGAAGTGAAGCTTTTCTGAAGGAAAATATCCAGAAGAGAACAGCGCGAATAGAAAGGACTCACGAGATCACTTCCGAAGACACGACTTAATGAAGAGACTGAGACATGACCAAAAAAAACATTAGAGGTTTAAGGAATGAAAAGGAACTGTGGAGAACCTAAACGATGAAATATCTGTCACACATAACGAAGTTTGTATGACATAGAAAACTTTAGCATAATTTAATCACGCCATCAAGGACTGAGAATCAGATAATATAATTCATGGGATCAAGTGGCAACCCACTAGTCCAACTAACATATAGCTAGGTAGGGAAAAGGGTCACAAATCAAACTGTGTGCAAAAACAACAAAGGGTCTATCGTTATTAGTAATTAAATGAGTGAGGAGTTCAATATGCAAGAAATAGCAATTCATACAGGTACAAAAATATCCAATAATGATATAAATGAAACACCCATACCTTGAGACTGAGCTATATGGAGAACGAGAACGAGAAACGGACCGTGAACGTGAGGAAACAGATCTAGCAGGAGACACGCTGCATTGCATTTTACACAGTCAATAAGAATAAATTAGTTTGACAAATAACTATCCCTTTGATGCTTTAGTTTCAAAGGGAAAGAAAAACAAACCTCCTGCTCCTGCTACTATAGCTATAGCTTCGACCACGGCTCCGACTCCTGCTTCTATAGCTTCTGGAATAGTATGGGCTGCGACTCACACTCCTCGACTCATATTCTCTCACCTGAACAGTACAATTAGAGATGATTGCATATCCATCCAATGAGTAACAAAATCAAAGAAGGTAATAATACCACATACCCGTACATAAGCTCTCGAGAAAGCATTTCGAAACTCAGAGTCATCAAGCTTCCTTATCTGTTAAAACAAAAAATATTGAAGGAATATAAAAAAACTAGTGTCACCATCGAAGGCAGCTGGGAACATTTTCGTTGCAAAGATATACAACTTACCGCATACTTCATATCATCATAGTTGCTATAATCCACAACTCCGGACATTCCTACAAATAAATGTTAAATGTCAGCGTTGCAGTTAGAATGCAGCATAAACACCTGAATTATGAATAAGATCTATTCTCTTTCAGAAACACTAAGTTACTAATAAATCTATGAGAAACTTATTTAAACTACAGAATGTTGACTCACCTCCACGGTCACGAAAAACTTCCGAAAAGCAGACATCTCCAGCTTTGCGCATGTGATCCTAATCGCTCATAAACATCAGTTCTGAATCCCAACAAGAATTAGAGAACCAACATCCAGAAAAGACAATACAGTAGTAGCCCTTACCTTAAGGTCCTGCCACGAAGCAGACGGTGGTAATCCCGTCACAAGCACTGCATGTTTACAGCAGCAAAAGGTAGTAAAATGAGTTATCAAATGCACACAAAAAAAAAAAAAAAAAAGGAATTTACAACGGCAAGTAACACAGTTGAGAAAGAGACTACAAACCACGATAGTCGGAACGTCTTGAAGGTGCACGGCTACCAGTGTAGCTGCTGCTGTACCTATCAACTGATGATGAACCTCTCCGACCACCATGTGCAATCTCAACCTATACATGCAACACAAAATCACAAATATTACAACTTTCATAGGAAACATAAATATCACACAAAGATTTTACATCTTCATAAGAAAGTTTTACTAACCCGTAGTCGACACCCATCAAAGTCATATCCATCTCGTCCATAAATTGCATCGTCTGCATCACGCGGATCTTCAAACTGCATCAATAACAGAACTTTTTTAATTAAAAAACCCCCCAACCAAGGTCATTAACCAACAAGAATCCGTAAGTACCTCGACAAAGGCATAACCAGGAGGCCTCGGTGGAATCTTCAAATCAATGTCCACAATGGTTCCGTACTGCAACGAAGATACATAAGCGACACTCAAAATTGCAACCCAAAACATATAAAGTTATAAGCAAATCGGCAAAACAAAATTGCAAATTTGTGAATCAAGTCACCAATATCCTAATAAATTCGAACAGACTAAGGAAAGAAAGGATTTTCAAACCTTGCAGAAGAGATCTTCAACCTCTCTCATGCGTATATCCCCAGGCAAATTCCCAACGTAGATCGTACGATTCCATCGGCTACTCATCTGAAACCTCAGAGGAGATCAAAATTTACCATCAAAATAAGTTATTTGGAATTGAGGACTATGCAGAGACGGAAATAATCCCTGAAGATATTAGAAACTCACATTCGCTGCAGAGAAGGAGAAGAAGAGGACCGAGAAAGCGTTAGATTCTTCTGGAAACAAGACAACTACCATTCTTTTCCTTCGGACACGAACATTTAAACGGAACTGGATTTAATCTCTGCGGCCACGTGTAAAGTGTTACCCTGCATCAAACTCCCTCAACCGTTCGATCGAAGTTCTTGACAAAGATGGAGATTGCTTTTACTTTTGAAGGGCTTTTTTTTTGGGCAACAACTTTTAAAGGGCTTTTAGATCCCAAAAACTTGGGTTTCTCGGGCTAATCGTATCAGGCCTGAACCAATTTCGGTTTAGCGGGCCTTTCCTTCGTTTCATAGGTTTTATTAAACACAGTCGTTTGGTACAAAAGGACGATAGATTGGAAACAATTGGGGATTTTGTTGGGGAGAGAAACATTCTCTCGACACCAGTACCTCTCAAATCTCAATCGCCGATCAGTACCTCCGTCCAGCCCATTTCTCCGTCAGCCATCTTACGTGGCCCTGTCGCTGATCTCTCTCAGTCCGTAAGTCTCTCTTCTGCTCCGTTTGGTGTTTATGTTTTTCCGCGTTCGATTTGAAGACTTTGAAGTTCCTTTTCTATTGAATTTGTGCGACATCGTCTCCAATTTTTTTTTTTTTTTTTGAGTTTTTAAATTCAGTTCTTTTTACGTGATGTTCTTCCCGATTTCAAGTTCAGTTTTTGCTCAAATCCGGTTTCAGCTAGCTTCCGGTGATTACGTAATTGTGCGTTTTATTTGGAATTTGGGTATATTGGTAGTGACAGTAACTTGTTGGTATTTCTGTATTCGATATTTGCTTATAGCAAGTCGCATACTTACAACTTTCAATGTTCACTTGCAGGAAAGAAAGCCTAGTTGGAGTTGAGATTATATTCACTCGCATCGCCCTTTCTCGTAAATTTACCAAAGAAAATACCTTTCATCGAACATGTTTAAAAAGTAAGAATCTCTGTCTATTTTCTAGTTTCTTTCTACTTTTTTTAACAACTATTTTTCATATTTTTATCAGCTTATGTTTGTCTTTTCCATGGTTATATCTGATCGTGAGTTTTTCTTTTCTATAACTTCATTAATTCCGTCCTTTTTTTTGTTTATACTAGTCAAGTTTAGAGTTTGATGGGTCTCTTTAGTGTCCATATCCAATAATAAGTTTTGAGAGACTTAGGGCTTGACTGAAGTTCGATTAAGGTGCCTGCTTCTGGCTACTGTTACATATCAGTCAATCAATTTTTTGCATGAGGGCAACGTCTTTTTGAGTAAATGTAGTGAGCTCTACTGGTAGTAGCCAATTTCATAGTTTCAACTGTTAATCACAATTTGGTTATGTGATTGCTTAGAATAGTCTTGGTAGGGGCAGCTGGTTGTCAAGGTAGAAGGCTGTGATTTCCTAAAGAAACAACTGGTCTTTGTAGATTGTTTTGGTGTGAAATTGAATGAGGTTGTGTGATCTGTTTTGACAGTGTTGCACTTTAATTTACTAAATCTTTACAAATAATTTTGGATCATGTTGGAAAGTGGATCTCGATTGGACCAGCCTAAACTCTCAACTGTCACGGTGTTTTTGTTTTTCCATCTCACGAAGCATGCTTATAACCTCCTGTTGAGTCTTTGTATAATGTCTATCTTGCAATCAAGTTTAATTGGTTTTATTTATCAGAGTCTTCTACTTCAACAGGCCTTTAGATCTATTTGCTATACCAGTATGTCTATGAAGGTGTTATATTCATGCTCACTTTTTAACTTAGGTTTTCATTGGAGGAGATTTCATCACAAAACCAAGTAAAGGCATCTGTTCAACGTAGGATCCGCCAGAGTATTCAAGAAGAGGTATGCCTGTGGTTTCATTTTTCATTTTATTCCGTCTTAAACTTTTATGGTTTCGTGTAGTTTGTTGGATCATACATGTAAAGATGTTTATGTAAATGTTGCAGTACCCGGGACTTGAAACAGTTTTGGAGGATCTACTTCCCAAAAAGTCTCCTCTTATCGTAGTGAAGTGGTTCGTAAAATAACAAACTCACATATCAGTGCTACGATTTCTGATTTTTCTTTTACCACTTACAGTAATCCTGGCTATATCTCTCGTGCAGCCCAAACCATCTGACCCTAGTTGTTGTCAACAATGTCCCCCTCTTCTTCTGTATCCGTGATGGGCCGTACATGCCAACACTGCGCCTTCTTCATCAATGTAACATTATTCTTCCTTCACACCATCCATGCGATATGGTCATGTTATCACAACATGACATATCTAGGTCTTTATTTTAAAAAATAATATAATCACCTGTTAGTTGTACTGTAGTTTGTAGTAGAACTTACCTGGTTCAAATGCTGCATATAACTGAACAATATGTTCAACACTTGAGAAAGTCACATGTTTGAATGAAACCAATTGAAAGAAACTTGGATTATGATCAGTATGCCGAGAATGTCAATTTGGCACTTGAATGTTTGGAGTTTTGCAGACCCAAATATAATGAAGAGGTTTCAAGTTGATAGAGGTGCCATCAAGTTTGTTTTCTCTGGTGCAAACATAATGTGTCCTGGTCTCACATCCCCTGGAGGCGTTCTGGATGAAGAAGTCGACGCAGAAAGGCCAGTGGTATGAATTGAAAAAAAAAAGACTCTTTTCTTGGGGTGCTATTTTTTGTATCTGCTGGTCTCAAACCATGAGTCTCTATTTGTTTAGGCCATATATGCAGAAGGAAAGCAACATGCCTTAGCAATAGGCTTCACCAAAATGTCAGCCAAAGACATGTAAGTTAATTTCCTTATCAGTGCAACTTGAATGTAGGAATTAAGAAGTACTAGTGTTTTTAATGACTCGGGTACATGTGTTGATACATTCCTTATATGGTCTTCTTGTGTTTGTTCACAGAAAGAGCATCAACAAAGGAATCGGAGTGGACAACATGCACTACCTCAATGACGGTCTCTGGAAGGTACTAATCCCCTCTTTCATCGAGTCAATTAGAGGATTTATCGATTCGGGTTTTAATGATAAGGAGCCAAAGAGCCAGACAACCTGACCATCCTAAGCCCTTATTCACTGTGTGAAGAGGGGCAGTCCGATTTTGGAAGAATAAAAGTGTCTGAACTTTGTATTGCCTGCTTGTTTAAAATTGTCTGCAGATGGAACGGCTAGACTGAAGACGAAGCCAGATGTCATGTGAATCACATTCAGGGAGAGAGATATTATTTATCTCCTTTTAATCTTTTATGTTCTCTAAACTTCTGGAGCTTTTGTCCGAACCTTAGCTTTGTTTTGATTTGTTTTAAAATATTCGATGTTTGTTTTATGAGGGAATATCAACCTTAGCTAATGTTAGTGCTAGTTTCTTATACTCTCTCTGTTTTATAAAGTAAGATATTTTGGAGTTTTTTTCTTTGTTTCATATATAAAATGTTTTCCAAAATCAATGCAAAAAGTACTTTTAAGTAAAGAATATTTTGTTAAAAAGTGTTAAATCAATGCTAAATGTGTGACCTTTTGTATTACTTTCATTTCTTTTTTCCTTTTTTTATAACAATATTTCTCTTTTTTAATTGAATGAATGTTGTGTATTTTAGAAAATGAAAAAAGTAAAGATGTTTTAATCTACCTGTTTTTAAGTATAACATGTTACACTGTGTCGGCTTATAAATCTAACAGAACTCCTAAGAGAGGGGTTCACCAGAATATAATAATATATTTTTTTTTTTAAATTTTTTTTTATTTAATTCGAAAATTATAATTTTCGACAAATTAGAATGCTCCATTTCGGATGATACCGTCTCTTCAAATTCGTCGGGATGATACTGTTTCTTTAAGATTAAGTTATTTTATCTCAAAAACTGTGTTATAAACCCCTTTTGATCTCCTGATGTACATGATCTAACAGTATTTTAAATTTTTTAAAAATGACTTTAAACTTTCTAGCCAGCACTGATTCTTAAATAATAATCAATCAGTTATAATACTTTGAGCACATAGCAGAGCTGTCACCAATTCTGAAATAATAATCAATCAGCTTTATGCTTCGCTATGCAATAAAGAAAAAATCATAATTAGATAATTTTGGCCTACTATTTAGTTATTAGCTTATTGTATAATAGTACTAGATTCATGTGATTGCACCATATGAAAACATATTTAATTACCAAAATACGCCACTTGCATGAGATTTGGTGACACCATAAAATGTAAGAATGTCCTCATCCTCATGCTATGCGAAATGTCGATGACGACATTTGCTCACATATTGAACGCACACACGTCTTTTCCTCATATTATCAATATTAACTTCCACTTGAGTAAATCATTGAAAACTCCACTTATGTATTATTTTTGTGCAAATAATTTATTTTACTATCAAACAGCTATATTATATTGGGTTCAGATTCTGATGATTGATTACTATGGATATTAGTGTTTGTCATTTTCAGTCATTTTAAAAACAATTGACAGAGATGTTTGAAGAAAATATTTATATGAGAGTATGACAATATGACACACTCGAAAGTAAATTCTTTTGATTCTCTCGTCAAACAAACAAAAAGATATATGTTACAATATATAATTTGCCATGAGAACTAAATACGTCAACATCGTCGATATACAACAATAATACGCCATGCAAAAATCGTGGTTACTTTAGGTGTATAATATTGATATCATTCATTCAGTTACCACCGAACCATCCTCTAGCACATAAGTTAAGTTTTCTCCATCACACATTTAAAAAAAAAAAAAAAAACTCAAACCAAACACAGTTATCACTTATCAGCTTTACCCAAAATAATTTTGTCACCGAGTCTTGGTATACATTCATAGTAGTGTTATTAAACTAGTTAAGGCACCCATATTTTTTCCCATTTCTCACTTTTGACCCAAACTAAATACAAAGATCAGCTTAACCCAATGTCGCTTTTTGGTGTGGTTTAGGCCTTACTTCAATCCCATCAATTGCAATCCCACCCTTCAATTGATAGCCTTTAACTTCGGTTAAACTCATCGCAACCTCCTCGTCACCTTCTGATCCTGTCTCGAAATCTCCGAGCTCTATCTCCATCCACCCGTCGTCTCGCATCTTAGGATCCCTTCGACGGCTTCCGACAACCTTGTCCTTGTTTGCCATCCTCTGTTCTCTCTGTCCGTAAAACAGCCGTTCCATTTGTTGTTTCTTGTTATCCAAGCAACTTAGATAAGTACTAGTCTTTATTTTCTTTTCACCGTTTCCCACTTTTATCCAAGTCTCGGCTGGAACCAGGTCTAGTCCATATGCTCGTGCCGTCACTTTCATAATCAGATAAGCTCCGTAATTTGTGTACGGCGATAAAGCTCCGGTTTGGATCTTTCCGTTTATTTCTAACCAGTCCGTCATTATAAGCTCGATCCCTTCCGAAAATCTACGAATTAGAAATACAGGACTTAATACTACTGTTTCAAACCATATATATATAGATATATATATTTATTTAATAATGACCTTGAATCTGAACGACGGCTCCAAGACCAGTAATGTCGTTGCTCGCTCCAAGTTATGGAAAGATCTCTTGCCGATAAAATATACGATATTTTCCCGGATAGCTTATCGATCTTGAAAATCTGAAATTTAAACATACCCGGTTTAAAAAGTTTATTTTTTTCTTTTTTTTTTTTGATAGAAAGAAACCAAATAAAGTAATATTATTATTATACAGAGGGGGAAAAAGATGAAACCTTTCTGCCATTATCGATGAGAATTGAATCACAGAGATATCTGTAGAGCTCCTTTTTGGAGGAGAAACTCCGATGATGGTTGTGATCAGGCGATACAGAGATAAGGCGGCTGTAATCAGAGGGTAGAAACTTCTCCCAGACGAAATCAGAGTCTCCGGCAAGCCGGAAAACTGATGAGACAGCCGCCGAAGAGAATGTGTCGGCCGGAGTTGTGAAGGAGAGGATATTGGCCACGCATGCTTCTGGTAACATCATCCTTTCTCAGAACTGAAGACAGAGAATTAAATTATTGATCCTATATATGGTGGCTCCTCTGTTTCTCAAGTGGTATTGTTTTTGTGTTTTTACGAGACGGCAACGGTGACCGATGATGGATCATATATAGGGACTTTTAGATTTTAGTACTAGTGTTCAATTTGGACCGGTGGGCCCGTCTTCTTAATAATATACTTTTTTTTTCTTGCCTTCTTGGAAGACAAAAGGTTTGGTAGATTTTTTGTTACAAAAGGTTTGGTAGATTTCTTAGTATTTGAGGTTTTTTTTGGTTCATATCATTCTGCAAAATATCACCTTTTTAGTTTATGGCCACAAGTTTTTTATTTCCGACAAGTATCACCTAAATTTTGTTCTCTGAAAAGACAGTAGATGTTGTGTAATTTATGTTTTTGGTTGATCTCCTTTTTAGGTTGTGACAGTGAGAAACATCTTTAGAAGTTTTTTTGGCCCGACACAAATCGCCAGAAGTTTAATGAAAAAATTTGTTGATTAAATAATACAATGGGAGAATTTTCAGGGGTGTCACATTGGCTGGCAAGGTAAATGGTCACTTGTCAGAATAAGCCAAGAATACTAACCAGGCAAATCTTAAACAATGGATAAGAATTGGATCTATTCTCTCTCTCCCTCTCTCTCTCTCTACAAACATTTGCAAACATTTTTACTATTAATGCTACTTCTCCAATCAATGCCTGGGGGAATAACACAAAACCAGGCCGTCTCACAGCACACCCGAAGAAGGTAAGATAAGAAAATTATGGTTTATTTCAAGACAATAGTGAGGCTTTAAGTGGTCACTGATCCTTTGCTTGGTCTTTTTCCTTCCATGGCGTCTTTCTTTTTCTTGCATATTGTGCATAGGAAGGGGCCTTCCCATCGCTTAGATGCTGAGGAGATGATAGGACCCTCGTCACTTAATAGATCTTCAGCTGGAGATTGATCTATTTGGCATACAGCACACTTTAGGAGCCCAGTGTCCGTATTTGAGGGAAGATCCTTTCCCAATCTGCATTTCAAAACACCAACAAAGACTGATAATCAGTATCTGAAGCTCTCAGTCAATCCCTTAAACGTGGATAAGATTACGGCAATAGCAATTCCTGTCTAGAAGGTTACCTATCTGCAAGTACAGCAGAACCTTCTTCAAACAGTTCTTCTACAACTCCAACAGAAGAAAGCTTGTTCCCGTTTTTGTTGTTGGTATCCGTCTGTTTTTTCCTAGAAAGAAATGAGGTGAGTGTGTTCTGCTTCTTTCTAGGCGTTGGAGCCAAGGCAAGATGATCAGATGGAACAATGTCAACAACTACACAAGTAGTATCATCCTTCAACCCTTTTGTTCGCAACGCTTCCTGAAAAAAAAAACATATTATTCAGAGAATAAGAGAGAATCTAGATCGGAGGATGTACACAATTTAGTCAACGGGTGGATCACCGAACCTTAACAACAAGTTTAGCAGCAAGCTCCGCAGATAAACCACGACAAGCTTTGGCAGCCATATCAGAAGACAGTATATCCCATATACCATCTGAAGCTATAATGAGTCTCCCTCCAGCATCTGAAAGCTAAATGTATAGATGAAAAAAAAAATTATTTTGTCAAGTTTCTACTATAAGCATTGATGAAATATGCACCAAGGGGAAGGGGATTTACTTTCACTTGCTTAACATGCGGTATTGGGACAATAAATTCTCCCACATCGGTATCACCAATGGACCTCGAAAGACACAAACCACCAGGCCAGCATCGAAGTGGTCCGACCTATTGAGTAATCAGCATGAAAGCACGTTAATATCATGGCAATAACCTATCATTCAGTACAAAGCCACCACAGCCAAAACAATGAAACAGTCACTTAAATTAGTGGACATGAACATACCTCATTGCCACCAAAAACATTGAGCCTTCCGACCTCACCTCCACTGGCAGTTATGCGTTCTCTTTCTTCAACATTCTCTTCTAGCCTGTGATCGACGGTCAGCAGAGAAACCACACCACCTTGGGTGTCTAATATGCAGCGCGAGTCGCCAACAGAAGCGACAGTGATAGTCCAACCATCAATTATAACAAATGTAACCGTTGTTCCAGAAGTTTCCCCTGTAAGCACAACAACAGATCTTAAGAGTTTGAGCATGCGTAAAAAAAGAATATGAAAGTAAAGGCCTTGAAGCAAAGTGCTGACCTTTCTGCTGAAATTCGATGTCTGTTTTCACAAAGCCTGCAACTAGTGCCCTAGGAAGAGCTTGAAGCCACTCTTCCCTGGTTGCGCCTTGAGGAATTGCACTCACCACATTGTCGAGAAGATGTTCCTTAGTATATATGGCAGCTGAATTACCATTGTGGCCATCAAATATCTGCAGGCAAAACAAATAAAAGGTATAAATGGGAGGTTTCAGTTTGAGAACACTATTCCACGCGAATGCCCTTACGTAAGAAATATCAAGAGAAACAATTACCCCGAATACTGAAAAAGCGGATGATGGATCACCAGTTACCCTCTCACAGTCAGTTTTGATCAAAAAGTAGTCTTCTCCTTTCTTAGCGAGAGCAGCTTGACCATACTTGACCAGAGGTTTCTCTACTTTCTCGCTCCTCAGCTCCCTACCGATAAGGGTTGCAAGAGGAACAAGAGAATGTTTCGTCCTCGATCCTTTTGAGGGGCTCATTTCAGCCTAAGCCTTCAGCATTGGCTGGAAAAAATCTTGTTCATCACAGACAAACAAATTCTTTAGTTGAAGCACCGAGTCCAATTCCAATAAGAACAAAATAAGGAGCCTTATATTAATCTACTTTCCAAAAAAATTGAGAACAAGAAGGTAAAAACTTTGAATTGGTGTCTCTAGTCTTTTCAGGCTAGGATTATTGATGTGATGTCTGATCATCGAAGAATAAACATGCGTAATTACTCATACATAAACTCATTTTGGTGAATGAAACCAAACAAGTAGAAAAAAATTAGAGGAAAACCCTAATCTAGGGAATTCTAAAAACTCCAGTATGTGGCTATCTATAGAGATGCAGAAATATATATAATATACATTAAAAGTAGAATCGAACAAAGCAACAGCAAAATCAGTAAACGTAGACGATATGGAGGCTTCGCCAGTCAGAAACCATGAAACTCACCGAGTTAGAAAGAAATCGCAGTAAAATACACAGTAGATCTAGCTGGAAAAGTTGGCTCGTAGATAATGCTGAGGTCCTCGACGCCTTCTCGGGGAAAATTTCCGGGCCGTCGTCGGTAACCAAATGGAAAAATATCAGTCTGGAAACGCGTGGAACAGAGATAAACAAACAAAAAAAAAGTTTATAAACAGAAGAGAGACGAAGTTGCCGAAGAGTATGTGCCTAATTTCTTCTCAGATTGGGAAGAAAAAAAGCGACGCGGGTGATAGATTAGAGACAGCTAATTTTATTAAGCAAATGACGGAAATGCCCTATAAAGTGCAATTTCTTATTATTGGTAAATTAAAGAGATAATAATCCACACACTTTTTAATTTTTGTTTGACTATTTTACTTGTAGCAGTTTTACATCCCATCAATGGAGTCAAACTGCCACCCAAAAATAATTCGCCAAGTAGATTAAACAAATAGCATTTGGTCAATTGCTATATTACAAAATTCAAATTCATTTGCTAAAAGTATATAGAATGAGATTAGATATGGGTGGAAGCTAAAATGTAATTTTCACTTTGTGGAACAGGGGAAAAAAAGGGTGGTGTCTGGGTCAATTTTTATTTTAAAAGCGTATAATTTTTTTACTAACAAGAAAATGTAAAATTTCCTTGATAAGAGTGGCGATGTATACAACAACAATATATCAACAATCAATTACCAAGAAAAAAAATGCAACCCAAAATCAAACAAAACATATCCAAGTATATTCAACCTATGGTTCATACGTATTCTACTCTTGGTATACGGCGTATATATATACCACCACATATGAATGGGCCCGCCAAAACTAAACAAAAAAAACGACCAAAATGTTTATAATTCCTTCTCATTATTATTTACTTGGGATTTTGTCTCTTCTTCACAACTACTGTGTTATGCCTTGAGGAGGGTTGTCCTGGTGAGTTAATAGCCCCAAGCGATAATCTCCTCGTTGGCGCCGGAATTAGCGAAGGTATCATACTCCTGATCATCAACATATTAGCAAAAAAATACACAGAAAAAACAAAATCCAACCCAATCACTCATGATATAGGAAATAAAAACTTACTTGGTCTCAGCAACTCTACTGGTTTTTGTTTGACTCTTCTTGAGCTTAGCTGACGAACCTAAAGATCCATTAGAGGCTGCTCTAGGCATATTCACTTGAACATTCAACTGCCACATCAAGTTACTCTCGGAGCAATCGCTTGTTTCGTCAGACTCGTTCGCTTCTTCTTCGTATGGAATCTTCCTTACCTCAAATCCTTTATCTACAGTATTGCACTTATTATTGTCTACACCTCGTGATGGTTCACGTTTCATGCTAGACAATCGCTTATCAAGCTCTGTCTGCGATCTGTTCTCAGGTTTGCTATTACGCGTGATTTCGTCCTCGTGTTTATCAACCCATTCACTACCTGACATAAACTCCGTTTCTTCATCTTTCCCATCTATCGACGGGCTTTTCCATGACGGTGAACTCACTAGTCCTTGTAAGTCAACGCTGGATGCAGAGTCACTTTGACCCTGCAAGCAATTTCACTGTACATTATGAAGCAATCACTGCCAAAAAAAAAAAAAAAGTGATTGGTGCGTGAGTTTTCTTGTTCCCTTTTTACCTCAATGCTGTTGACATCATCAGTTTGTGATGGCTTATGTTTTGTTAGGAACTGTCTTGTGTTTGCTGATTTAGAGAATGAAGAAGAAACGCCTAGTGACTTTTTTCTAAGGAGTTTATCCGGTGTAAGCAGTCTTGGGAGCTGCGTTTGATCTGCTTCGCTCTCCTTTCTCGCCAGCGCAAGTTTCAAACTAGCAATCTTAAAGCAAATAACAAACATTAATTGAACTGGACAATGTATTTTGAGAGAAAACATATATCGTTTCTGTTTTCTACCAGAGAGTATGAAGAATAAAATAATGTGACAATGTATTGTAGAAAATGACCTGTTCTTTGAGTTCCTTAACCTCAGAAGTGTCTCTATTGACACGAGCTGCACCGAGTTCAACAGTGGCCACCCTCTCTGCAAACTTCAGGGTGCTGAGTGTTTCTCCCAGAGCATCTAGTTCTGGGCTAATGTGAATAAACATGAGCGTTTTCGCTTGTCCTCCTGCACAAACAGATATCCAATGTTTTATATCCACTGAACTATTAGTCTAGCACTTAAATATTACTGATTACCTAACGCGTCCTGGAGCAGCTGAGTGAGTTTGCTATTGCGATAGGGAATGTGGTTGTTTTTCTGAGAAAGAGACGCAATCACGTCCCCGAGAGCAGAGAGAGACTTGTTGATGTGTTGTGCCTCTTTCAACCTATCACCAGTGACCTCAGACTTGTCGACCCTTTCACTTCCAGCTAGATCAACCAAATGCATTGAACCCCTTAGAGTGGCTCCTGATGTCAGATCTCTTCCTTGAACATGTACTGTGAGACAACTGATGGTATAAAGTATAAAACATGTAGGAGATCAGTTACAGCTATAAGGTTTCTGGAATTTCATAGGGAAATTACAAGTTTGATATGATCATATACATAATCATCCTGACATGAAATCAAGTTAGCAATTACGAAAGGCTTATAGAAAGTACTTGTGTTGTCAGTTTCTATATGACTGGAGAGTTATTCTTTGTACTATGGGAAAAATATACGCATGCCAGAATATAGATTGACTATAATTAGAAATCCAATACCAAAATTCTTCAAGTTCAATGGCAGCAAAAGCATGATAAACAGAAAGTGAGTTGATAAAGTTTAAATGATATACAAACAGGAAACAGGGGAAACCTGTGAGAGCGACTGCTGCGGTCATTCATGGCTGTGGCACTGACCGCACGGTTCTTTTGACCAAGATTCATCAAACAAATGACGTCCGACGTTGTGGAAACTGGAACCAATGTAGCCTCTGGAACGTTAATTCCGTCTTGTGAACTGTTTCGAATCTCTAATGTGTTCACAAGTCAAGGAAAGTAATGATCTTTTGCAATAAGCATTATGCATTTTCTAAAGAACACTGAACAGGAAGAATCTGCAGGGTTTCAGAAGACAAGTCTTAGAAAAGGATATCGGCTGGTTTGGCCATTAGTGGCAAGGAGATCTCGGACTTGCTCGTTGTAGATTTCAAGCATCTGAACTGAAATGTTATATGAAAACGTTTCTTTTCTCACACTTGACAGATGAAAGAGATCACTCAATGCTCTGTAGTTTACTCCTAAGCTCTCTTCCGTCAGCTCATTAGGTCCCATCTGATTATTTATCATATATACGATAACTACAAATGAGGATGACATTGTTTCCGTATGAAAATATGAGAAGTCGATGCAAAAGAAGTTAAATTCTTCGAGAGAAATTACCATGGTGAAAGTTTTCCCGGATCCTGTTTGGCCGTAAGCAAATATGCAAACATTATAACCATCAAGAACAGACCGAATCAGAGGTTGAGTGTCTGCAAACACCGCCTCTACAAAACAGATTTTGTAAGACGTTAATTTTCTATGAGAGACGGCATATATAACTAAAATCTAGTAAGTAGCACATAGATACATCTTGATCAGTATTCCACGCTGACATCATTTCTCGATGGATCCACATGAAGAATTTTTATTTTGGCTTCAGTGTTAATTCCAAATCTCCTTTTTTACATTGGAAATTTGAAATAAGGACATAGAAAGGCGAGAAAATTACCTTGAGATGCTGAAGGGCCAAACACTTTGTTGAAAGTAAATGACTTTCGACCTTCTTTTCCATACTTTGAAGGTGTCGCAATTGATATAGTTGACTCTTCTATTTGATCTACTGTAGTTAAAACACTTGTTTGCCCAGGCAAGAACGGTCTCACTCGACAATAAACCCTTATGCTCCCTGTTGTAATATTCGTTAGTTTTGATATTGCAAATCCTTGTATCTGAATCTATTATCTATTAGTCAAGAACAATAATTATATCTCTTTAACTCTTTAAACCTTCAAATTTTTTATCTGAGTCATTTAAGCAATCTCATCTCAATACAGTTTGTTTGAGGTAGTTAAATTTAGGATTCGTCCAACTCCTTCACACTGTGTACTAAGCTTGGTAGTGTTACCATAATGCATTCGTTAACAATCAGATATTTTACCTTTGAGGTCTTGGACTTGATTGTAAAGTTTTCGGTTTTCTTCAAGAACTCTTTGGTATCCTGTAGCTGCATAAGCAAGTCCATGCAAATGCTCACCTAACCCAAGAAAAACGAAATAACAGTTAATTATCCTTACGAATGTGAATGTGCTACGAATTTTACTGGGTAATCTACTACTTAGACAATGGGTTGCGATCACAAATGAATCAAAACACATACTACAAGTCTACAACCATCTCTGGTAGCGTCAAATTCTCTAGCTACAAGTCCAAATTTTGTTCCAAGGAAAATTTTCACCTAAGCTTGTAAACTCTTGGTGGTATTTCATCTGCAAGAGACTGAGACCCGCTTTTACAGCCTTTAGATCGTGTTTCAGTTCCTGTAAACACATATTTCCACCTTAGTAATTTCTGAATATGAAGTCTTGATCGAAGAAACAGTATGAGTTATACCTCAGTATGAGCTTGCTGCCTGTCGAGTATCATTTGTTGCTTCTCGGTCTTGTCTTTTGAAATTACATAGACTTCATGATCTCGGATTTTCGATTCTTCGACATTATCATCTTGTGAAGCTTCCATGTTGTTGTTTACCATCTTTGTCACATTTCCTCCTCCGTACTGCAAAAGCATGTAATGTGTAAACCAATTGGATATATATAACACTGACAGATCAGCAGATCCATAAAGAGTACTTTGCCTAAATGGATAACAAGTGTTCAACAATTTCAAATTTACTGCAATACAAAATTGTTGAAATTTTTCTCAACATACCGAAGCATCACTTAGCATCTCCTCGCTGCCTGAAGTAGTTCTCCCAAGATCGCCAAGATTAAGCTTATTTTTGTTCCCAGTGCTCATCTGAAGCTAAATAATTGCATATTCAAGATGAAAAGTGTACAGAAGAAGTAAGAGAAACATGTTCTTGATACGGGTTAGATCACTAAAATTGCTTACCAATTCGTTCTGTGTAGCCAATCTACGTTCATATTCTACCATGACACTTTTCAGCATATCTTCCACAATCTGGAAGTCAACAAGAGCAGCTGAGTATTATTCTAAAACCGGCATTTCAAAAGAATATTTATCATTCGGTAAGTTTGCAGTTGATTAAGGAAAAAAGTAGTAGGTAGGTAGTTAATGCTTACACCGGGAATTTCTTCTTGCTTTTTATCAGAAAAAACCGCACGGACAATAGCATCTATTGAATTGGCAGTTCCCTGAAAAACCTAAATTGTAAGTTGAGGTTTATAACTTTGAACGATATTAGGGATTATATTAAGAATCGGTATAGCTCACTAACTCCATTTTTGGTATTAGAATCAGATTGATCAAACAAAGGTTGTTCGATGGACTGAGCGTTAGAGGGGCTACTTGTGATCGCATCCACAGGTGCTTCTGAGTCTTTGCGTTTGTAGTGTTTTGCTATGGTTGGCTTTGAATTCACAATGTATCTCCATGAACCGCTTCCACCGCTCTGCTTCCACTCGCGATATGACTTGAGAGCCAAAACACACTCAACAATTCTTGCGGATTTACCTCCCTGGGAACACATCAAGCACAAAACATATATTGTAGATGCTAATGTACTTATTTTGTTGAAAGGAAAAGAAATTAAGTGAAGATCAGAATTCGAAGATGCTTAATTTCCTCATTTTGAAATTTGGATAGCTGGCTAGCTTCTTATACAGCGATTTGTTCAAATTGCTAAAATGCTAATCAATAAACAGTTCAAATGCAACTTAGTACTTAGCCCAAATTATGGAAAGAAAATGCAAATGACTGATTTATCCTCCTATATATCATTTTTTCCAACACCGATGGTCACCATCACCCCACCGCGACTGTGCCATGGATATGTCTGCAATTTATTGTACCAAATGATAAAAACATTGCTCGTTTCTGAGATGAAAGCGACCGTTTTAGCTTTGTCTAGGTAGCCCCTCCGGCAAGGTAGGTCAATCTGTCTTGAACAACTATGATGGCAATTGATTTGAACCTATCTATAATAGCATCAAGCCTACTTTTGTTGCAGTTCCACTACTAGGCACCATCTGTCAAGCTAGTTACCATAATCTTCCGAGATAGAAGTCATATATTAAGCACAGTTCGTCAGATGAAATAGTCCTGTGTTCTTATTAAACCGTGCATAAGTTTCTTATTAATTGTGATTTGTTCCGTTACCTTCTCAAAATCGGAGACTTCGAATGTGGGAATACCCATTTCCTCCACGAGGACAAGAAAGTTCCGAAGGTTCTCAAAGTACTGAAATGCAGATAGAGCCGCACCGTCTTGATTAACAAGAGGATCATTTGGAGCTTCAATGACCTGTTAGTTTTGTTGCAACAGAAACAAGAAGAAAAAAACATCGGAATTAAAATATTACACAAAATGGTACTAATCATGCTTGCACAACTTTATCCAAGCAGGCCTAAAGGTTTTAAAGTATTTTATAAAAGTTTAGCTTAAATATAACCTTAACATATTTATAATCCATGACAATTAATATCTGTAATAGAATATAATCTTGAAGGGTAACATACGCAAATACGAGTAAAAGGTAGGAGACATACTTTTGGTACAGCACCAGGTTTAACTCTGTTGAGGACATTGCAGAGCAAAATACCACTTCTCAGTGCAATTCTGAAATCATCCTCTGAAGGATCTGCTGGCAAATCCCTTCCTCCAACTACACCAAGTGTGTTTCTTAGCCATCTTGCTGCTTCATACCTTTTCAAGTCTGAAGGATCTGCTGGCAAATCTCTTCCAACAACTACACCAATTGTGTTTTTTTCTCATTACCGATGTGTATTAAGTGAATATAAAATGTAGAAGCCGAATAACATGTACAGATTTAATTGTTTCTGAGAGACAAAGCATCTTGGAAATGAAATTCATATGGTTCATGTTGATCTAGGAAAAACAAGAAACGTCAATATCTAATACGACCAAGTAAGAAGCTCATGATAGTCTCATACTTCCCTTTTAGAATTCTATGCTCATTGGCTCATAGCAAATAAACAAAAGAAGATTTGTAACTACTAATTTTGGTCAAACGAGTCGCTCTAGTAGTAGATATAAAGAATAAGATTTTTCATCCTAAATTTATGTATTCCGTCCCAGATTTTCTGATTCGATCATCAATTACGAACCCTAATTTCTTCCGCATTTAGAAAAATCCCGATTCAAAATGAGCCAAAAAAGGAAAGGGAAAGCGAAAGAACAGGGAAATTGACGAACGTACAAGTTTCATCGGCATGTTTCGAACACGAATCCACACCAACGCTAACTCGAAGGTTTCGTTGTTTAAGAAAATCCTCCAGAATCGATGCTAAACAGAGTCGCGAATCATGTTGCTCCGTCGCCATTGAAAGAGGACAAGAAACTATCAATGCTTTTAGCTTGATCAACAAGATACCTGTTAAATTGCAAACTCAACTCCCAAATTTTGACTCGAGAGCCTCACAACCAAAATTTGAATTCTGCGCTTGAAACAGAATTTTTCGTTACCAAAATCGAACAAAGAAAATAAAAGCTGTGTAGATTACAAGGATATTTACTTATGTGTGGAACATTGCTCAGATTTATAAGGATGATAGAGAAAAGCGAAAGAAATTGAGAAAAATCTTTGACCCTCTCCTCTTTTTTTCTCCGTTCTATGAAAATAAAACAACAGAAAAGAAGAAGAAGAAGAAGAAGAAGAAGAGCGACGCATGAACCCAGAGGCTCCGAGTCTCCTGGGTTTCTATAGATGGACATTTTCAATATTAAAAAATATATAAATCAATTTTTAATTTTATTTATTGTTTATTACTGCTTTATGTTAATACGAACTATATAGGTGGTGAAAAGGTATTTAGCTACAAAAATTCTATTCCGTATATTTAGTTACAACCATCAACCAGGTTCTATAATGGTAATAATAAATTGATATTCTCCAAATATGTTATAACAAAATCTTTAGTAATTAAAGTTCATGATTGATCTTTGTATTCGAATGATTTGCACCGGTACTGTCATTGTTTTGTTTTATCATAAATCTAGGTTCAAATCTATGGACAATATGCGTATGTTAGTTATAGACCACCGAAAATATAATTTGACATTTCAGTTTTTTTTATTACGATTTAATTGGTCAACCATTAATAGGAGATTAAGTTTAATTTGAAAATTTATTCTAAAGTCCTAAATTTCTATTTATTGAGTTTGAATATGAGTTATGACATGCCAAGTATAAACTCTAATTAATACGATACAGATACTATATATAGAAATACTTCATTATAAATTTTTAAACTATGTATACAGTCGATACAAGGGGGAAAAAAGACTTACTCTGGGAACTTTGTATAAACTTTCTGTGTGTGTGTCCAAATAGCTACTTTGCATAACCTTTTATTTTGTATAACCTTTTTTCCCTTGCGTAGAGGTGTTCTTAAAGCCAATAAACATGATATCATGATTAGATTAGTTTTATGACCATAAATAATTAAAGGTCAGCATGATAATTTATTTATAATTTATGTAAGACATAGTTCGTTCAACAAGAAATAAGATAATTAGAAATTAATTTAGACGAAAAAAGTTCTGCTGATGATGATCGTAACCACATCTTTTGAAACCGACCCTTTTAATTATCCATTTCATTAGAGTATATTGAACATGATACCAACTCATTCAGAAAATGAGTGAGCAAGTAATTTAAATAATTTTAAATGTGTGAGTATACATAAGGTATTGTAAAATCATACACGTATTATCACGAAGTTATATGTTGCTATCGTATAATAATTGGAAACTTAGTTTCAGGATTAGTTTAGCACCAGTTGGTATCAAGTATGTGATGGATGTAGCGCGCCATGAACGCATATAGCGATTATAATAGGTTAGTTTTTATAGCAAACCAGTGCGTATTGTATATTGATTGTTTTTGAAAACAATCGAATGTAGTCGGATAAGTGAAACATACATGAATATGATGCATATGGTTTAGCCATCAACAAATAATAATACAATTTATGAAAGGATAATTTGTTAGCTGAAGAGAGAGAATTTTTTTGTTGACGCTAAATATGTATATAGCTAGCAACAACTGAAGAAACACGAACTGGAGTAAGATATTGTCTTGGTTTAATGGTATATGTGTCTTGGTTTTTGAAGATGATACAAATATTAGTGGAGCACACATTTGAGACATTATTTGGTAACAAACCATTAACTATTCATTGTGATCAAGTTGTACAATCTTAATATTTAAACATGATAAACTATGCTTATACAAGTATATTAAGCTCTATTAGGGAATACCAACACTATTCCTGGGTTGAATAGTCAGTCAAGGCACGAAACGTGTGCGTCTTACCAAACATATACCGAGCGATATCGTTGATGCATTTTATAATAATTGAAAATAAATGGTAAACCTTTGAAAACGAAACAGAAATTGAATATAATTTCAAAATAAATTTCGTACGAAACACAATAGTAATCAAGTATTTGGCATGAAAAAAAAAAGTATTTGGCATGATATAATAAGGCATTTTCAAAATTGACATTCTGCTGCTAAAGTCAGAATAATTCTCGAAATTTACCATTACTAATAGGATATGATATTTTTCGCTTAAAGATTAGACGTTGACCGGACGAAATTCGTATAAATGGAGGTTATACGGATCATATGTAACACAACCGCATTTTGTGCTCTCTAATTAGTTTAAAGTGATAACAACATACAAAAAGATTATTACTGTAATATGAAGATGTACAAACTCATGAAACTAATAGTTCACGTATTACTATTGGTTTTAGCGTTGCATGAGCACACCTCTATCTCAGCCGTCCATTTCAAACACAATTCCATCAGAGGAGTTGAGATAGATATCCCAGTTTGGCGGCGAGAGCTTCGAAGCGGAGGAGGCGGTGGAGGAGGTCGTGGTGGTGGAGGCGGTGGAGGAGGCCGTGGTGGTGGTGGAGGCGGCAGCAGCGGTCGAGGCAGAGGTAGCGGTAGCACTGGGAATGGAGGATCTTCTAACAGCGGTGGCGGTGGCGGCCGTTCTGTAGGAAGCGGTGGTGGCTTCCTGAAACACCGTGGTCTTACCGGTGCTCTAATATCTATCCTCTTCGTAAACTGTTTGATTCTTATACGTTAAAATACGTAACTATTTGTATATATTAGTTTGATGATGATGTCTTTAGTGCTGAAGTTTGATTTATTATACAGTTATACAGTTGTAATTATTTGGTCGTGCCTTCAACATTCAATTTCAGATCATAGAACAAAAGTTGCATTTGTCTGCGTCTTCCAAAACATTTCATTGATGGAATTAGTAGCTCTAAGACCACCTCCAAGGGAGCGTTTTACAAAGATTCTTAACAATTAAAATAAAGAATAAAATTAAAAAATAAAAGAGAGGGTTCTAAAAATCCTTATTTTAGACCATTTACAATGGTGAACCCTTCATGAGTTTTATTTTAATTTTTTATTAATAAAATAATGAGAAGAGAGAGAAGATAAAAAAATAGAGAAAGTGGAAGAAAAAAAGGAGGAGAAGAGAGAGAAAGAGAGAAAAAAGGAGAATAGATGAAAGAGAAAAAGACCAACCACTAAAATTTTGACACGTTACCCGTGAACCTCCCATGAACCCATCTCTAAAAGTCTTAAAATTAGAACCTGCTCTATAAAAATTGGGTATTATTGATTTATTTTAAATGTAAAAAATTCATGAACCCCACCCAAAAACTCTCGTCAAACTCCATAGAGTATCTACATGTGTCTCTTTCGTATTGGTTATTTTTTAATTTTAAAATTAAAATTTAATTATATAACTATACTCTTTCCGTTTCATAAAGAGTGTCGTTCTAACATTTTTCACACAAATTAAGAAATAAGATAAAAAGTCTCTTATACCTTTATTAATTTGCAGAAAATGACTATTAAAATTATATTTATAACTAATTTCTAAATTTATTTTTGAGATTAAAAATAGTATTTTATGTCAAAATTTACATTGGAATTCTAAAACAATATTTTTTTAAAAACAAAAAAATATCAGAACGACACTCTTTATGAAACTAATAGAATATTATATTAAAATATCAATATTTATTTGTTTATATATCCAAAATAAATATTCTACAATGCTCTAAGCAAACATAAAATAAAATTTGGTGGGTATTACAAAAGATGATTATTCAAAAGGAACACAACTAGGCTGAGAGAGAGAAAATAAAAGAAGGGCCGTAGACGTAGAGTAAATTACACACCCATAAAACTCTTATAATTTGTAAAAGGTGTTTAATTTTTTGTTAATAAGGTGTTTAATCTTTTAAAAACGTCTAATGCAAATGCAAATAACACAGAAATATATAGTTCTTTGGTAACAATCCTACAATTGACTGACTAATTACAATTGCATTCGAGCCAATTGACCAAACAAGGCGATCGACGATGAACACCAATTTGCAGTCGAATCCTGTATCATCGCAGCTCTTCACTTCCATTGACATGGGAACAAACTCTTTCAAGCTTCTTATAGTCCACGCAGATCCTTCTGGAAGATCTTTCGTCCCCGTCGAGAGACTCAAAGAACCAGTGGTGTTGTCCCGCGAATCTCCGACCTTAATTTCGTCTCAGTCTCAGGTTCGCGCGCTCGACTCTCTACAGAAATTCAAAAGCATGATCCTCTCGCACAACGTCTCCGGCGAACGGGTCCGATGCGTGGCGACGGAAGCCCTACGGCAGGCAGAGAATCAGAAGCAGTTCGTGGAGACGGTCTTCGAGGATCTCGGGTTACATGTCGATGTGCTCTCCGGCGAAGAGGAAGCGAGGTTAGTTTATCTAGGCGTGCTTCAGTTTCTTCCGGTATTTGAGAAATCCGTCTTGTGTATCGATATAGGAGGTGGGTCTACTGAATTCGTTGTTGGTAAGCGTGGTGATGTGAAGCTTGCTGTTTCTTTGAAGCTAGGTCATGTGAATTTGACACAGATGTTCATGAAAAATGGTATTGGATTGACGGAGATGAGAGACCATATCCGTCATGCGATTGATGAGTCGAGGTTAGCAGATAAATTGAAAGAATCCGATGGCTTTGAGGTGGTCGTGGGATCTTCGGGAACTATACGAGCTATTGAGAATGCAGTTTTCAGTGGCTATGAAGCTGATCTGTGTCAATTCAACCTCGAGGGGTATAAAAGGGATTGGAAATTTGGTAGAAGAGAACTGAGCAGCGTTGTAGCGAAGCTATGCAGTGAAGGAGACGAAGAGAAGATCCGGAGAGAAGGCTTTTTCAATAGAAGATCAGAGTTCATTGTCGCTGGGGCGGTTTTGTTGGAGGAAATATTCAAGGATCTCGGTATCGAGGAGATGGAGGTCTCGGAGTATGCATTAGCAGAGGGTGTGATTGCTGATTCTTTGGCTAAAGCTTTTGATGGATTATATGATTTGAATGCCAATGCGAGGTGGCGATCAGTCATGAGACTTGCCACGCGACTCAATGGAAAAAAACGAATGAATCATGCAATACACTGTGCCAACATAGCCAAGGTACATTCTAACCGCAACCTTTACAAGCAGATATTTCATGAAGATTGTAGTTTTTAATCATATCTTTTAAATAGGGCTTTTTGCTCTGGGTATCTTTTGTGATATTTCATGAAGATTGTAGTTTTTTTTAAATGTGTGTTCATGCCCAGTGGTTTCAAATTCCATATTTTAGCCCTGCGCACTGGTCATGTTCTTGGTTCTACAAATTTGATTGGACAGTGATTTTCCAGGAGATCTTTGTAGGTTTGAGGAAGTGCAATGATTTTAACGTCATGTTAGATGATAAGGATCTTGAGTATCTTGAAGCTGCTTGTTTCTTACACAATATCGGAATCATTACAGGGAAAAAAGGATATCATAAGCAGTCTTATCATATCATCAAGGTTAGTTTCATCTAACTCTGTAAAAAAGATACTATTAAACTGAACATTGCTGGAAAAGCAACTCACAAAAGCTTATCAACAAGAGTAATCTATATCTCTGTTTAAACCTTTTTGTAGGTTTTCAGTGTCTACTATTAACCTGATTAATGTTAATAATTTCTTCTTTCGTAGAATGGGGATCATCTCCATAGCTACACTGCTGAGGAACTCGAGGTAGGGTACCTGATTCTCTAGAAGGATGAACTTGGCTTGCATTTTCTGTTTCTCTGATTCCGATCACATGTTTTGCAGCTTATAGCAATGCTTACGAGATACCAAAGAAAGAAGTTTCCCAAGCTTGATCGTGCACCTCTTAAGAACTTCGCTGAGAAGGTAATGCGTCTTAATCAGTTTTGCAAACTACTCTCAACCTGTTAATGTGGTTATTATGATTGGTCTGTCTGTTTCAGGCAAAGCGAAAGTTCATAATCATGTGTTTAGTTATACGATTATCTGTCATACTTCAACGGACTGAGAATATGGATCTCCAAGAATTTGCATTTCTTGAATCTGCTGAGAGCTTCAAACTCGTAAGTAATATTTTTTTTAATCATTCTAGCAATACATTGTGTTAGTGACATGGAATTTCGGATGAGTACAATTTCATGTGCATTAAGTAAGTCCCTACCTTATCGACAATCAACGAGGGCGAGCGGAGAAATGCAACAAAAAATCATATTAAAGAATTTTAATTTCAGCTGTATTCAATATGACGCCACAAGATCCTTAGTCATCAAGAAAGGATTTTGAATATTAATTATTACTGAGTTAACCTATTTGTGGCTTATCTTTCTGAAGACACTCAAACTAAAACATACACTGAGTAAACCCATAGAATAACCCATTTCAAGCTCTACGGTCATTCAGTTGTATCTCGGTATGTTGATCACCGCTTGGTCAATATAATTGAATCTTGTAAAAGTTTCGAACTTGCTAGCCAATTTCCTTGCTGGTCTTAGAATGAATGTTTACATCTTAACTGATCAGCTCAACATCATCGGCTTGATCCTTATCTCTTCACTTCACTATGTTTTTCTAACAGGTGCTTAAACAACAAAACCAGGAATCCTTCTTGATTGGCTCTCAAGATCAAGTAAACAAAAACTCTGATGCATTACAACTGGAGCAAGAAGTTGAGCATTTTAAAAGGGTAAACTTTCATTACCCAATAATCTCTATCAATTTCACTTCTATTATCAAATGTTTAAATTTGTTTCAATGAACTGTTTAGCCAGCACTAGGTCTCTATAATTTATGGGAAGCAGTAACAGAGACAAAAATTGCTAACTGAAACAAAAGAAAGCCCGAACACTCGAACAGTGAAAATGACAGAAACTTTATTACTGAGACTCTAATAGCTAAACATAAACGAGTTTGTGACCAAAGTCTCCTTTATGTAACTTTCTGGTATTCTTTTGCCTTGGACTTCGCAGCTATTCAAGAAGGAAATGGTGGTTATTTTTCCTTTCTGAAAATCAAGCAGACGGGTTCTGAGCTTTACATGCAATGGTTCTTAGACTGAAGCTTTTCGCAGGTACGACAATTTCTTTCGGCAGTGAAGATCAAAAGCAAGCTGTATAATTAAACCTCGACATTTTTATCCAGGGAGTTCTTCATTTTCCTGGAGTCTTTTTAATCACTCGCAGGTAGTCTAAACCCTGAAGTCGAAAAACGTCAGGTGGTCTTCCCTTGCTTTTTTCATCAGTCAATTTTCTTGCAGTGTTGAAACAGAAACTGAACTATAATTGCCTCTGGAATCAGAGAAAGAAAAGAAACTCTCTCAAGTGGTAGATAAGTTTCTCCTTATTGGCCTGAGACGGTGAGCAAAAGAGACGGTGCATCTACCAATGTCGTCCTCTTGCTGACCTAACCTCTGTATAGTTTGGTGCTGTACTCTCGATTCTACTGGAAGCAATATTTGGAAGCTCTTAGCTTGGTCTTGTACCAGATGTTTATCGCTACATTGTATGTATGTTTCTACTGTTTAGTTTGTATTGTTTTATACTTTTTCTCAAATCCATCCGTAATTGAGTTTGGCAACCAAGAGAAAAAGATGTCCCACCATACCGATGTCGGGGCCACAGCCTCATCCTTCGTCGGCGCCTTTGGGTTCATCATCATCATTCGAGTTTTAAACCGAATAGAAGGTCTTCAATCCAGATAACCGAGTTTTAAACAAATCAAATTCAAAAATAAAAATTTGGTAGAACAAATCGCAATTAGGTCTTCAATCCTGATAACGAAGTAATCAAATCTAGATGAACGAAATCACCGACCGACCTCGCTTATTATCGAATCTGAAGCACCAGAGAGAATCAGCCACCGGAGAGCGAGAGAGAGAGGAAGAAGACCGTATTTTACCCAAAAAAAAAAAAGAAGACCGTAAACCTTTCGATCGAATCGTTTAGGGCGGCAAATATCTATTTATATAACCTTTCAGATGTGGACAAATACTTGTATGGGCTGATTCATGCGGCCCATTAGATGTAATATATAAAGACGATTTTTCTTTACAATGTGTGAGATCATCATTATCGCGATGACTGGTGTGGGTTTCCTAGCCCAATATATTGTTTTAATATTGGTTTAAGTCCAGAAAGAAGTAAAACCGACTCTTATTCCGGAACCACAAAGATCGATTTTTGTTTCTAACGTGGTACATTGTAATTGAACAAAAAAAAGGCTCGACCATTTTCTCTTCTTTGCACCGACCTTTGATGCATCAAAAAATCCGAGTACCAAATGGTCTTCATCGAGTGATCGTCGTCATCTCCGGCGACATATCCGGCGAGATGCCGTCTCCTCTGGGTGGAGACGCCTACGACGCCTGCGCTTCTCTTTTCCATCTAGCCCGATCAATTTCTTCGTTATCTCTGAAGTAACAAAATCATTCCCTCTAGTTGTTTGATATATCTGATTTTGCTTCGTTTTGCTTTCTGGAATAGTTTATTGGAGCTTTTACTTCGTTTTGATTATGATTTTCTCTCCTGATTAAGCGTCGACTAAGTTAGGGATCGACGATAATTTTATGTACTTGATGGATTGTGTGAACTCGTTTTATAAATGGATTTATGTAATCGATTGGTTTAGATGCTGTTTTCATTGATAAATTTAGAGTGTCCTGTTGATATTTTGTGATTCAGGTTTAGGAAATGTGTAAAGTTGTCAATGGAGTTATTGTTAATCGAAATGTAGAATTGATCGAGTATGTAGACATCAAGTGTTTGCTATCAAGCTTGATTTTGATTGTTGTCTGTGCTGGATAAGTGTAATCAAAGTATTGATTTGCTGATTGGATAACCCATGTGCTGATTTGATCAAGCTTAACCGCTGTGCTGATTTGTGGCTTGATGTGTGTTCTTTTGAAAGCTTCTTGCATTTGCAGAGCAGCAACAACAGAGATTCTTCATTGAAAAGTAGTAATCTTCTCTTGAGTTGATTCATGGGTTTAGAATTTTAGAGTCTTTTTTTCCTGATTTTGATAGAGTTTGTTGGTTTTGTAGGTATAACTTTGACATTGTGTCAGAGAATCCATTGCCAGGGCGTTACGATTGGGTCAAAGTGGTGCCACAAAATAGTTTGTAAAGTTGTGTGATTTATGTAACATCTGTGTCCGAACAGATGCAATGAAGTTTCACACAGACTAACGAAGATTTAGGGGTTGTGGATAACTTGTTAGTTAAGGTAATGTAATGTCTAATCATCTCTCATTTGCAAGAAAATAAAAGTCTAATTTTTTTTTTACTGGTCAGACATGTATCTGTTCTGAATCATTTCTCATATTTTTTTTTTCTCAAGCTAATAATAAATCAGATTGTTGTTTGCAAATTGGCGAGTTCTTTTGTCTGAGTTTTGTGGCTCTGCATCTGATTTTACTTTATAAGAGTCATAAACTTTGGATTTAAGTTGCAAATTTTTTAAAAAAAATCCAATGGGTTTTACCAATGCACTATTAAAATCATTAAATTTCTTAAGAAGGTTTTTTAATCTATGTTTAATAATAAAAAATTGTTAAGAAACCTATTTGGAATATTAGGGATAATGATGCTCATGCTTTATAAAATTGCAAAATAAAAACGTAGAAATCAGACTTAACCGAAACGAACCGAGAAATTGGCGCTAAGGCTTTAGCTTGGCTTCAATTCAAAAAAGTCAAAACTAACAAAAGCGAATGGGCAGAGTGAAAGGGGTTCAATGGAAATCGAGAGGAAGCTGCTTCGTCTTCTCCATTGCCACAATACTCGAACCCGTTTACCCGAAATCCACGCGCATCTCCTCCGTCACTTCCTCCATGGTTCCAATCTCCTGCTCGCACACTTTATCTCCATCTGCGGATCCCTCCGCTACTCTGATTACGCCTCCCGCGTCTTTGCTCACATCCAAAACCCTAACGTTCTCGTCTTCAACGCCATCATCAAATGCTACTCCCTCGTCGGTCCTCCTCTTCAATCTCTCTCTTTCTTCTCTTCCATGAAATCCCGCGGCATTTGGGCTGACGAGTACACCTACGCGCCTTTGCTCAAATCATGTTCCTCTCTGCCTGATCTGCGGTTCGGCGAATGCGTTCACGGAGAGGTTATTAGAACTGGGCTCCACCGGCTTAGGTCTATACGGGTCGGGGTGGTGGAGCTCTACGCTTCCAGTGGGAGAATGGGAGATGCCCAGAAAGTGTTCGAAGAAATGCCTGAGAGAAACGTGGTCGTGTGGAACCTGATGATTCGCGGGTTCTGCGACTCTGGGGACGTTGAAAGAGGTCTTAGTCTGTTCCGGAAGATGAGAGAAAGGAGCATTGTGTCGTGGAATTCGATGATATCGAGCATGTCCAAATGTGGTAGAGACCGTGAGGCTTTGGAGCTTTTCTGCGAAATGATTGATCAAGGTTTCGATCCAGACGAGGCTACTGTGGTCACAGTCTTGCCAATCTCTGCATCTCTCGGAGTTTTGGATACCGGGAAATGGATTCACTCTACAGCAGAATCAAAGGGTTTGGTTAAAGATTTCATCGCCGTGGGAAACGCTTTGGTAGATTTCTACTGCAAAAGCGGGGACTTGGAGACAGCGACGGAGATATTCAGAAAAATGCAGAGGAGAAACGTTGTTTCATGGAACACCATGATATCCGGATCAGCTGTAAACGGAAAGGGAGAGTCCGGGATTGGCTTGTTCGATGAGATGATCGAGGAAGAGGAAGTAGCTCCTAACGAAGCGACATTTGTAGGGGTTTTGGCATGTTGCTCGTACACAGGTCGGGTCGAGAAAGGAGAAGAACTGTTTGGTTTGATGATGGAGAAATTCAAACTTGAGCCGAGCACCGAGCATTACGGTGCGATGGTTGATCTTATGAGTAGGAGTGGGCGGATCAGAGAGGCGTTTGAGTTTCTCAAAAGTATGCCCGTAAACGCTAATGCAGCAATGTGGGGGTCGCTGCTCAGTGCATGTCGCAGCCACGGAGATGTAAAGCTAGCTGAGGTTGCAGCCAAGGAGTTGGTGAGGATTGAGCCAGGGAATTCGGGGAATTATGTTTTGTTATCAAATTTGTATGCAGAGGAAGGGAGATGGGAAGATGTGGAGAAGGTAAGAGCGATGATGAAGAAGAAATCGCTGAGAAAATCTACAGGCCAAAGCACCATTTGCGATGCATCATTGTGAGAAGTAACTGGTTTTCTTGATATCATTTTGTTTACAGAATCGCATAGAGATCATAATTCTTCCTACAGAATCAGAATGATACTTTTTGTTCGGTTTGATTCAACCAAGAAACGTGAGAGAAACAGGTTTTATATGTGTTTTCCACGAGGAAAAATGAGATGGCTCATTCATAAACCGTGAAGCAAAACCAATGCTGTCTGGTTTCCTACTTAATTACTTGATGTAGTAAGATAGCCATTTAAAGCCCTCACCATATCCCATTTTGCGGACGATGCTGCACATGAAGACCTCAAGGGGACGAACACCAGAGTCTCCAAGACTTATATTGCCTTTACCGGTTGTGAAATTGGTGAGACCCAAGTGATACCTCAGCTCATCTTCTGAGGCTGCATAAGGAATATCAATCTTGTTCCCAAGAATAAGAAAGGGGACATTTGCTAAGGCTTCATCTGATAGAAGAGCGTCTAGCTCTCTTCTTGACTCCCCAAATCTCTCCTGGTCGTACGCATCCACTAGGTACACAACAGCATCAACCTTTACAAACACACACACAGAAACGAGTTTCTATCAGCAAAGATGGGTATCTACTTACACAAATGTGCATAGTCTTCGGATTATGGCTACAGCATAATTAATCAATTTGGTTAAACTTAAGCAAGAGGTTTCTATCAACAAAGAGAATATCAATGTTTCTGAACTATACTTTTCTCTGCATTCAAAATTCTGTCGTATTCCAGCCTAAGAGATCATGTCTCTTAGTGTTAGGATTATGTTGTGATGCAAAGAGAGATGTTAAACCTTGGCATAGTAGTCTTTCCAGACCCTACGAGCAATCTGATGGCCTCCCAAGTCAAAGGCCTTGAACTTGATTTTCCCAATGCTCAGTTCCTCAGATGTTGGATGCTGTGTTGGCTGGTGCTGAACTAATCTCTGCAACATATCAAACCACAAAAAAATTTAAGCATTCTTGATTCGCCTTTTGTTTACAGTGTCTATAGATGTCTCAAGAACACACAATCGGCTGCAAGAAAACCTATTAATAACAAAAGTCCTCACTACAATTTGCGTACTGAAGTTTGTCAGTATTGCAATTTGCCAGACGACGAGAGATAGTGTCCAAATTCAAACAATCAGAGAGAGTGAAAAGGAAATAGAATCTACAGAAGGAGGAGCTCAGCTGAGAAAATTCACCTCGTCTTTGAGCATGTGAAGCAAAGTAGTTTTTCCGGAATTGTCAAGCCCTAGAAACAAGATCTTCGCCTCTTTCTGCCACAAACCTAGCGTGGCCAGGATTCCATAGAACCAATCGAACAAAAACATGACGTCGTCTTCCTCAGATATGTTGGAAAGACGACACGAAACAACCAGAGTGGAGTAGCAAAATGTTCACGATCTTCGTATCAACTATCGGAGATCGACTCTCAAACGCATGCCCCAAAAGAATTACAATTTCAGAAGAAACAAGACGAGAGAGAGAGAAAGAGCGAGAGAAAGGATGAAGAAGAACCAAAAAATCAACAAGTAAAGGGTTCTGTCGATCTGACGAGGAAGAGAGAAATCATATTATGTAACATTTATACCAAAAATAAATAAAGACAATAAACACGTGGTTGATGGGGAGATGGTGAATTGATGTGGAGTCTCCTAATTGGTTGTCTATCATCATCGTTGACGCTATTATCAGTCAACTACATGAAAGTCGAAGTCTATGGTCTCTTTCCAAAATCTACAAAAGAAAACTTTCCACAATTTTTTTAAATTTTTGTTCTTAATAGGATTATGACTAATTGGACAATGCGATTTGGCTGTGTGTTTTTAAAACTGGTCCGGACTAGCGGTAAACTTCGGATTGAGTTAATACCAAAATTTACAAAAAGTTAAATCGGTTAAAAACAAGATTGAACCGCTAATAAACCAAAAATTAATCAAATCAGTAAACTGCATAAAACCGAATTTAATTAAAAAATAAAATATTTAAGTTATATATATTTTTTTTTAGTTTTTATGTTGATTGTTGTTTAATAAAAATTTCCCAAATAATATAATTATTGAAGAATTTTATTTAATATTTAATTAATTAGAAGTTGTAAAATATTATCAAATCCCGTTGACCCAAAAAAAATTTTCGGATTCGGTCACAGGTCCGGTTTTAATAACATAGGGACTTGGTGGTAAACTGGTAATGTCACTAATGCGTATTTTTACCTCGACACCAATTACGTCGCCCATGCAAATTGAGATATCGAGAATTGAGGTAATGTCCATATTTGGCCAATAGAATTATGTTACATTTTAATTGATGTGGCTTTAGAGAATGAGAATTGAGGTAAGTGCAAAATGTCTTTGATGGTTTTCGTCTTTTCAGGCTAAAAAGAGACTCTGATCGTCATATCATTGTATCCCAATTTCCACACATATTTGCCTCTTTTTAATTTGCTAAAAAACTTGTTCTACCTCCAACAAACTACATGCTAAAAGAAAGGATAAAACAATAAAGAGACTTGAAAACTTTGGTCTTAAATCTTAAATCTTCAACCTCCTCCTCCTCTCCTTCGCTTACAGCTCATCCTGCAAACCCAAAAATCACCCACAATATAACCATCATCAACTTACTTCATCAAAACAACAAAATATGGAATGAGTGAAATCTTCGAAGTGGCACAGTAATTTTTCTTAACATACATGAGTGGTGGCGTCTTTCTCTGAGGTTTCCTCGCCAGTTTCTTCTGATTTGGCCTCGGTCTTAGCTTCAGTATCAGATTCATCTCCTTCATCCTCCTCTGCTTCATCTTCAGCCTGGAAAATATTCATACACAATGATATCAGGACCTTGATAGAAACAAATGAATGACTATGATAAATCACAAATGACTTACATCAGATTCTGCAGGAGCGTCCTTGGATTCCTGTAACAACATAGAAAGACGAGGATGTCAGTCTCTCAGATTATCCTTTTCCAGCCAACTCAACTAATTTGGTTTTGTAAAAACTCGTTTTCAATCCTTTATTTAGAGATTCTCAAACTAACAAACTAACAGTGTTACCTCTTCCTCTTTCTTCTTCTCAATCTCATCGAATGCTGCTTTCTCCGCCTACAATACGAGATTGGATTGGCTATTCTAGTTAGTAACCAGAAGAAACAAAACAGTTTGTATTCATCGAGATGAGTATCTTAAATACGTACATCCTTGAGCTTGCCCCATGTTTCATCTGCCAACTTTTTGGCATAGTCTGGGTCATCACAGATCAAGACATTGTCGAACAATGATCCTGATTTCACCTGAAAGAGAGAGATATGTGTTATAGATGGAAGTCATGGCACCAAAAAAGATGTTTCATTGATAAGATCTTCTACCTGCCATAATTCGATTCCAACATACTTCAGCTTGGGGAAGACATAGAGCTCTGGGTCATCTTTGAAGTCTGCATGAAATCAGTTAAATTAGAAACAGTAGTTTTTTTATTGCACGTCTTGGAGAGCTAGTTTTTCAGTTGAGTTTATGCAAGCAAATAGAAAACAGTACTAAATGTGTCAACAAATATTGAAGGGAACAACAAATACTGATTACTAATTGAGTCAAATTCATAAACAGAAGTAGACAGTTTGAGAACCACAAACTAGAGGTATATTATACAACGTGAAAAATATGGACAAAGGAAATGAGAAGGGCACAGAGAGTAGAAACTTACCAGGGTTGTCAATCATTGGAGCCTCCCACTTGCCCTTGTAGTTGGGGTTCTTGATTTGCTACAGAAAGACATGGACAACCTTGAGAGGAAGAAAAAGGTTGACCAGGTAATGTTTACTTTTTGACAGCGAGATAGACAAACCTTGGGTTTCCATTCACCCATGTACTCAGGGTTGGGAATGGTCGGGGCAGTCCACTCACCATCTTCTTCATCATCCCACGCCTCAGGCTAAGAGAAAATAAAAATCAGCAAAACACAGAACAAAGCACGAGATTTTAAATTTTGAACCAACTATAGACAAGGTAGAAACCTTCTTCGCATCGGTATCTGGGATCTCCTTTGGGATATCATCGTATCCATCAGGTTTTTTGTCCTCAGGGTCAGAAATGTACTCTTGCTCGTCCCAGTCCTCGGGCTGTAAAAAATAAAAGAGGCTCAATCTTATGATAAGTATAATCAACCAATTTGATCAGAGGATCAGATTTCATGAGCTTTGGTCTGATTTTTACTTGCTCAGACTATAATTGAGATACAAAGTAGTTGGTTTTCAGTTTAGTCTGGTTGGTCATAAGTCATCAAATACCTTCTTGGCGCTGGGGTCCTTGATCTTCTTGGGTGGGAGAAGATCCCAGTCAGAGTACAGGCTACCAGTTTGCTTCTCAACATTGTCAATGAGAATGCTGTAAGTAGCATCTGGGCGGAGGATGAATGTGTACACATGAGTGAGCTGGTCAGTTTCACACGGAACATCCTTCTTGATCAGGTGGTTGGCTTCATTGTAAGTAAGGATAGCATGCACTTTCTTCGTGCTGTAGCCACAGATATCGGGACCAAACATGATGCTGCATAGAAAAAGCAGATGTGCGTTGATTTTAAGTATTGATGTCAGTCGAAATGCTTATAGTGATAACAAGATGAGATAGGGAATGTACCTGTACGGGGTGTCTCCACCAAACTTCTTCTGGTCAACATCACCACTGAGCAGCTTCATGTAGCCACCACCACAGTCAAGCTTTTGCTCGTGCTTGACTGAGAATTGGAAGACTAAGGTTTTGTCCTTGTTACTGAACTCAGGGAACTCAGCTGAAATGGCGTAGAATCTGTAGTCCTCACTGGTCTGGATACCTGCAAAGTTGCAACAAAGCATTAACAAAAAACTAGATATATGTGGGGAACCAGAATCAATGAGCCATTAGTCCGTAAACTAGCTCTGAAGGCTGAATCATACCTTTGTCGTTAGCATCACCAGACCAATTTCCCGAAGTATGGTTCCACTCTCCAGCAGTGTTGTCATCTTTCTTCCAGTCAGATTTAACCCATCTGTTCTCCCATCCATCTTTAGAAACGGAGACAAATAAAAAAAAAAAGGTAACAAATCAAGACAGATACCAGACAAGAAGAATTCCAGGATTATAAATTCAGTTCAGAACATCCAGACGGAATTTAGTATAAGAGAAACGAATTCTACAAACGAACTATTGGTCAGAGTCTATATTATTTAGTGTTTCAAATCAATCCTTAACAATCCACAAATTCATAGATCCATAACAATCCTGATCAAACATTTTAAAATGATCTTATCCGATGAATAGCGTTGCATGATCGAAAATGGATCCTTAACTCGCAGCATTATCACATATTTAAACTCATGTTGATGAAGATATCGCAAGCCGAATACGAACAAACACATCACTGAATACTAGAGATGTAGACAAGAGAGAGAGAAAAGTAGGTACCATCAAACCGCTCCTCGAAGATAACTGCGGCGGAAGCGATGGCGACGAGGCCGATAAGAATCAAAGAGACGAGGCTAGGGATTAATTTCGCCATTGCTAATACTCAGATCGGAGCTTCCCCGTAAGATCAGAAGAAGATGATGTGAAAGACCTGGAGTATATATACACCAGTACCACGAGAAGCTGCTGCAAGTGAAGATGAAACTCTCATGGATTTTGGCCTTTCGCCACGTTGTACATCTGCAGCCACTTAATCCAATCAGTAGTAGACACGTCAGACACGTTTGTCACTAGAAATGACATGGCGCTACGGTATTGGATGAAACGGGGAAAGAACGGTGGGAGCCTTAAGCCAGAGAGTTGACACGTGGATAGATATTAGCGATCGATGGTTTTTAACTAAAAAAGAAGTGTGCTTTTCTCGTGGGGGAGTAAACAAAAGAAGAAGCAGATCTCTCGGGCGATTTCGTAAAAAACACCGCTTGTTTTGTTGGATTGAAACGTGATCACCACCGTTGGATTTCTAACAGATTTTTTTTATATCTACACAATTCTAAAAGCGTGGGCCGAGGAAAACACTGATGTGTGTATATTCGTTATACCAATAATCAAGAGCACTTTGGGCCAATAACTTTTAGCTTCGTTGATGGTTCTTCTTTGTGTGAAGGTTAGCGTAAAAGCTACTCACAATCGGACTTCAATTAATAATGACAATGACCCATGGCATCAATCTTTTAAAACAGAAAATATGAACTCCTTTTATATCAATCTTGCATGTTTTGTTAATCATTGATCCACATTTCGTCTCATGATTTTTAAGATTCTTGTCTCTCTTTGTATGTTTTAAGCTCCATTGTAGAAATACACAATTTTGTCACTGTAATCTCATTGAACGAAGCACCTTCTTTTATTGAAGATAATAGTCTTAATTACAAGACTTAAAAAAAGAGAAGTTTCTTACATGTTGTGTTATGTCAATTGTGATTGTCCTGGAAGTTTAGCTACACCTCTAACATCCATCAGTTTTCGAAATCTCTGGGCATCTGTAAATCTTCCAATACCGCAAAAGATGTTAGACATCAGCACATAGTCTCCTCCATGGCTTCTCTCCAATTCCATTAGCTTCCTAGTAATCCTCTCTGCCATTTCAGGATCATCATAAACGCTACACGCTCCAAGCAGCATTCTCCAAACCACAGCCTTTTGCTCGGTTGGAATCTCCAAAGCGATCTTCTCTGCTTCTTCTAATCTTCCTTTTCTTCTAAGCATATCGACTAGACAACCATAGTGCTTCACGTCCGGTGTGATCTTGTATTTGCTTACCATCTTGTTGAAAAACTCTAGAAACTCTTCTTCCGCTAAGCCTCCATGGCTGCAAGCGTTCAAAACACTGATCATGGTCACTCTGTTCGGGTTCAATCCGAATCTTTCCATGTCTCTGAACATACTGACCGCTTCTTTGCCTATCCCGTGCATTGCAAACGCCGAGATCATCGTTGTCCATGATACAAGATTCTTTCTTTCGTTTGGGATCTCCAAGAAAAACTTCAATGCGCTTTGGATACACCCACATTTTGCATAAGCGTCGATGAGGGAGTTTGTCACACGGATGTCACACGGAACAAACCCTTTTTTCACAACATAAGCATGAAGCGATCCGCACATTCTTGTATCTCCAAAGTTCCAAACAGCTGGGAGAATCGCGAGGACGGTGATCTCGTTGGGCTTTATGGCGTCACAAGCAACCATCCTCGAGAACAAGAGTATAGCTTCCTTGGATTTGTTTACTCGTGCAAGCCCATCAATGATAGTGGTCCAAGACACTACCGTTCTATTCGGCATCTTCTCCAAAAAGCAAAGAGCTTTTTCGAACTTTCCCAAATTAGTCAGGCCAGTGATCATCACATTCCAAGTCACCGGATTTCTCTCAGGCATTCCGTCGAACACTTTATAAGCATCGACCATGTCTCCAGCGACGAGATACATACCGACCAAAGCTGTCTGCACGTAGACATGTAATCCAAAACCCAATTTTACCGTCAAACCATGGATTCCAATTCCCAGTGGTATATACGGGAACCGCGGATTCGAAGTCGCTTTCAGGAGAAAGAGGTAAGTGAAACTATCGAAAGGAGGCAGTCTCTGGCGGCGATCAGACAGGAAATGGAGCTGTTGGAGTTGATCATAGAGAAAGTAGGCACGAAGAGGTGTTTCGCCAAGAGAGTAGCATCGAAGCAGAGGATTGAAAAGAAAGAGTTTTCCAGAGTTTTGTCTGCCATGAAGGAGAAGAAGCCCGGCAGAGGTGAAATGAGAATGGAGCTGGTGGATTATTCTAGGGTTTGATTCATTTCTGTGGAGAAGAGAATGAAGGTGTTGAATCGTGATGATGTTGTTCTCACGATTCTTACTTTGAGAAAGCAAAGTCGAATAAGTACATGAATGGTTGATGATGTAAGAGCGAAGTGCGATGGGTCTACTACTACATGAAGCAAACAAGAACATAACTGTCTACGAATCCAGTTTTTTTTTTTATCGGGTTACTATCATTTTGTATCTCATTGCTCATTAATTACATCTGGAGCTATAAAAATTAGGCAACGACATTTTACTGACTATTTGATTTTAAATTAGAATTTGCAGTTAAAACCTTTAATTTTACCAAAAAAGACAAGACAACCCTGTTACATACATCATCACTCGTTTGGCTTCGCTGCTCCAGGATTCCTACCAAACTGGATTATCATTGGTTTTCCTTTGAACACAAATCCGTTTACAAGATTCTGCAAAAATTACAAAGAACACATCAGTCAGTTTCCTCTTTATGTGGGAAAAACAAATAAAAACAGTATCATCAAGCACGAAATGCTTGTCAATGGTAAATACATCATAATATTATAGTATTCAGACTGAATTGACATTGACACAGAGCAAGAAGGTGTTAGGGTTATAACCAGAGCACGCTGTGCGAACTCAACAGAAGGAAATGTCAAAAAAGCTTGCCCTCTCATCCTTCCTTCCTGTAACATTATTAATTCTCACATTAAATCATAGTCATAACCAAGAATTGGTACTAATCCAAAGCAAGTGTAAGGTATTGAAATTCCATAGACAGACGCATCACCTGCATCAGCCTAACACCAAGACTGGATTTAGCTGCTTCAATGCTTCCAAATTGTGACCCTACATGAGTGCCAATAGTTACCCGTGAATTGACTTCCAGAGAAGCAAGGAATAAGAAGGTAACAACTCGTAAATTAACGACTCCAGGTTTCTTATTTTAAAAGCAGAGCTACATCTTACCAAATATGTAATAGAAATCATCAATAATAACATCTTTGGCAAGGTTTTTGATATACAGCACAAGCGACGGATTCCCAGCTGTGTAGTTCTGCACACAATAAAAAAAACAGAGCATTTTCTCTTAGTGAATATGTCTTTCAGAGCTGACACTCTACATTTAAATTATAACATGAACTAGGAATAGAGTCACGAAAGAGCTGCATAGAAAAGATACACTACGAAGCAGTAAATATCATTTCATGCATAGAGGATATCCTGTAATTTTCCATACCTAAAAAAGGCTGGAATCGATAATTAGGCTCACATCATTACAAAATTTCTTCTCAACACACATATCGTAATTTGATCCTAGTATCCATACCTTGAACATAGGCAGTGAAAGAATATCCTGTGGAGGTAACCTTCCTTTCTCCAACTCCTCTAAACTGGCAAAGGGTTCCACATTTGAATCATCTTCTGTGGGCTCGTCTGCAGGGCCTTCAATCTCACGATTCTCTTTATATTCGTCTTGAGCAACTTTTGGGGTAATCTTGAACTACAGGCAGAGACCTTACAAATATCAGCACAACTACACAGCGTAATAATTCAAAGGTGGCTATGGATAATATTATACCTGCAAAACTTGTTTATTCTTTCTTATTAGTGGGATCTCATTTAGGGTCAAAGACGAAGGTTTCACTCCAACACTCTCATGTGGCACATCCTTGTCCATACCAGGACCAACAAGAGTTTCATGTCTAGCACGCTTCCTTCCTGATTTTGATGTACCTGTATCCTAAACATAATACCATCACAATTCTTACCCATGTACTCAATAACAATGGATATAAAGAGTGGAGAAAACAATAATTTCTAAGGGCACATTTGCATCGATTATATCACACAGGTTCACTAACAAAAAAGAGAAAGAAACAACCAAAATGAGCTTAGAATGAAGACATTGACTACATTCGTAAAATGCAGACATGGCATGACGAGTCATACCTCATCAGATTCCATATCTGACTCGCTACTAGATTGGTGCTCCAACTCAGCTGGTTGGCTTGCTGCTTTAGGTAGAGGTGGTGTGGGCAGGGCCAGGCGAAAAGGAGGAGGAAGATTCATTTTGTTCATCAGATGCAGCACCTGAGATCGAGAGGTCTAAGATTACATTTCTTGTTCTTTTCTGCACTCCACTATGATTGTTATATACAGATCATAATTGAAAAAGAAAAACTTATAATATCCATCGGTCATACAGTCATATACACAGTGACAGTAGAGCTAACCTGGGTGTATAAAGGCGGGACAGCGATTAGAGCATTAGTAATGTTGGCTAAGATATTTGCATCGGGTGGTGGGTAAGCATACCTGCAAGATGAACCCGATCAAATATAGAAACATTTGAAGTTGATTAAAAGAATTCTGATTCCTTTGGATCACGATAAGTGACATTGACTGCTCTTGTGTTGTTACATTGTGTTTTAGAAGGATGGAAAGAGAAACGCACACAGATACGGGTGTTTTTTAACTGAGTGATACGAAATGGAAACAAATCTAAAAAGAGAATGAGCAGTGAAACTTACTGCAGGTGAGGAGGAAATGGATAGTTTATGCCGAGTTTTGGAGCTATTGGTTCACCAGGTACCTGCCCAGATTTTGAAACATTGTTGCTGCTGATTGTAGAGAATGAGTAGGATTGACCATCTTTCCCAGACTCTTCAGTTTGACTTGACTTCTTGTTCTCATTAGGCTTATTGGCTCTCTGTACTTGTAGAACCTTACCAAGAAATCTCAGCCTGCCTAACCATAAGATGTAAAACAGCTCAATCATCTGAGAAGCGTAACTCAAGCATATGAATGGAAGATGATTGATTCTAGGAAGAAAGCAGTACCCATTTAATTGACGATGTGCTTGAGAAGCAATAGCTTCATTCTTGAAATCCACAAATGCAGCATTCCTCAATCTGTGGCAAGGATTATATGTAAATTGACATTCAATTTTTTCTTCTTGAGTAAAGAAAAGTGTTTTCATCTTCTATCCTAAACATTCCAAGAGATTTTTCCATGAAACACCTTATGAACAACACTATGAAACCTTTCAGTCTCCAATATCTTCTACAAAAATCCATAATTTCCTAAACCTGCTAAGTACTTTGAATTTTCAGCTAGAAAAAGTTGCTGGAAATTTACCTCCCACCGGAGCAAGGACGAACTGCAGAAGCTCCGTACTGAGAAAAGAGACGAGAGACGATATCATGAGGAATTCCATCAGGAAGATGCCGAACCAGAAGAGTTACACCCATCGGCTCTGCAACATTAGATTCAATTTGCGTCGTCGGGAGGTTCACTACTGGCTCCGATGTCGTATATGCAGCCATTAGAGCTCGAAACCGAACTCAGAACGACGACAGGGTTCACTTTTTCTTTTTTTTCCCCAGCTTTGTGGTTTTTTATTTTATTAGATTGATTTGTGAGACTAAACCGGATTACACGCTGGAGTCAATGATTGAACCAGTCAGACCAAGAGCCGTATTTGAGATGAAACGACGCCGAGTGGAGTTAGCGCATCCGCAAGAGGGACTATTGAGTCCAGACCCAATACGACGCTGTTTTATGTTAATGCCTATGGGCTTTTTCATATGTGTGGCCTATTAAAAAGGTTCTTTTTTTTGGGGGAGCTAATAAGTTTGAGAAAGAAGAAGAATAAAACTGTGAGATGGACAATGCAATTCAGTAGAACTAGAACATATACCTGAAAATGAGGGAACATGACTACAACAGGTTTCTTGGCCAAATATACTTCCTGTTAATGATCCTTTTCAAGCAATAACATTGACACAAACATATATTAACTGAATATTATCAAATCTTGAAAGTATTGAGAATATGCTAATTTCATATGAAGATAATATCTTATTGGCGTGTGCCTTCCACACACTTCTTATGGCTCTCCTTGGTTCTTTTGATATACTTCATGAAATTCTCAAATTCATCACGCAACAATCATCTCTTTCTATATCGAAAGAATAAAACTTTTTAGCCTTTAGGAATTCTGCGAAAATAACAGATATAGAATCCGTTTACAACAATAAGAAAAAAATTGCATGTATAAGAAAGTACATATACTTTCAGCAGGATCCAACTGCCACCGAGACAATGGAGAAACAAAATTTCTAATCCAATTAATTGCAACAAATTCAATAAAAACCGTTTGGAAAATGTTGGTTGGCCAATATGTTAAATGGTTAGTATCATCTTGAAAGGGAGAGAAAATATGGAAACAAACTGTAATGTATGATTACATGTGGCATATTTATGCAACAGGGGCACTAATGCATGCATACATCGAATATGGTTTTTTTTTTATGATCGAATATCTTTTTCTTCTTATGCATAAGAAATCCATATGGTGTGTCATTTTTAATTTTAATTAAAATGATCGAACTTCTATATAAAAACAAAAAAAAAATAGAATAAGGATCTTCTCAAGTTGGCGTGTGTCTTTTTATCCCTCTTACTATCCAATAAATTCGTCGCACATGGGCATGGATTCCAATTTCAAATGTAAGTTTTTGTCAAAGTATTCCATATATGTTATTGTCGTAGAATTCCTAAAAGATAAAGTGAGATAAGGTTTTTTCATTCTTTCAAGATTGAAAAAAAAAAAAGGAAAATGGTTGCGTGAAGAATTTGAAAAAAACAAAAATCATGAAGCAAACCAAAGAAAAAAAAGAGAGCCGTAAGAAATGTGTGGAAGGCACACGCCATGGAGATAATATCTTCATATGAAATTAGCATATTCCTAATATCTTCAAAAATGAAAACTCAGTCTGCCAATGCCCAATGTTATGTATCATGTACAACAAGAGGCAAAAAGAAGTAAACTTGGTCAAGCAACCATTGGTTAGTTACAATCTTTTTGTTTCAAATGTTAGTTAGCACTTTTTTGTGTTTTTGTAGCAACATTTTTGTTTCAAACCCGTTTTAATGGAGAAAAAAAATTAGGAGTTGTTGTACGGAATTGAACACATGAAATGCAAGAATGCGTATAAATCCCAGTACTCAATTTAGAAATCGAGAAAGCTTAACACATAAATCGTACTTACTATTATACATTAATCTATACGATGATCCTTACTTACTTTACGTCTTCTCTAAAGCCTATATAAGTTTCGATTTTTCTTGGCTACGTATCCAAATTAAATCAACGTCAGGGATGAAGTGTTTTACTTGAATCATGAGAATGTTAAATAATTCATATTCACTGCTGTTGAAAAAAAAAAAATTCCATATTAATTGCTGACTTTGCTGAGTTGATGTGGACCCAGCTTACCACAATAAATATCCGTCCCTTGGAACAGTTCACAGTTCACACCATCCGAGAAACACACAATATCTTTGAGAAAAAAAAAAAACCCGGATAGTGTAGACATGGATTGCCAGGACGAGCAACTGGTGAAAAAAATATGCGATCTCTACGAAAAGATCTCAAAGCTCGAGAGTCTGAAACCATCCGAAGATGTCAATATTCTCTTCAAGCAGCTCGTTTCCACATGCATCCCACCAAACCCTAACATCGACGTTACCAAGATGTGTGACACAGTCCAAGAGATTCGACAAAAACTCATCAAGGTCTGTGGCGAAGCTGAAGGCCACTTAGAGCATCATTTCTCTTCCATCTTGACCTCTTTTGAGGACAACCCACTTCACCACTTAGACCTTTTCCCTTATTACCATAACTATATAAAACTCGGGAAGCTCGAATTCGATCTCCTCACACAAAACCTAAACGGCTTTGTCCCAAAGACTATAGCTTTCGTTGGTTCTGGTCCTCTTCCTCTCACTTCCATCGTTCTTGCTTCATCCCATCTCAAAGACACAATCTTTCACAACTTTGACATTGACCCATCAGCGAACTCGCTCGCTTCTCTTCTGGTTTCCTCTGATCCAGACATCTCACAGCGCATGTTTTTCCACAGTGTAGATATAATGGATGTGACAGAGAGCTTGAAGAGCTTCGACGTCGTGTTTCTAGCGGCTCTTGTTGGGATGAACAAGGAGGATAAAGTTAGAGTGATCGAGCATCTTCAGAAACACATGGCTCCTGGTGCTGTGCTCATGCTGAGGAGTGCTCATGGTCCGAGAGCGTTTCTTTATCCTATCGTTGAGCCGTGTGATCTCCAGGGGTTTGAGGTTTTGTCTATCTATCACCCGACAGATGATGTTATCAACTCCGTGGTGATCTCTAAAAAGCTCCCTCTTGTTGTTTCAACTGGGAATGCTAATGGTGGGAACTCGTGCTTGCTCATGCCCTGCAACTGTTCTAAGATCCACGCAAGAATGAACAAGAAGAAGAATATGATGATGGAGGAGTTCGGAGCCAGGGAAGAACAGCTTTCTTAAGAAGACGTTGTTTCTTAATTCGCCTTATCTAATTTATGTTTGTGTCTTTGTTTGTGTGTTGGTGTCTTTTCCTACATTGTTCTCTGGTTTGCTTGCTTTATAAGACTGTATTTTTTTCTCCCAGCTGGGCTGAAACAGAACATGACTCTCTTTGCCCTCCATATCCAACAAAAAAAAAAAAAAAAAAAAAAAAAAGAAGAGAATAAAACTGAGAATATTTAAAATTGGACTTGGGCTAGTAAAATAATTTTTAGAACTGTGAGGCCCGACCCGTTTCCATTTGTTTCTTGAGCAAAGAGTTTTCGTCTAGGCTTTTCAGTGTAAGAGGAGAGAAGAAACAGAACATAGGAAGCCATTCTTATTACGTTGCGTACTTGGGAGTTTCTGTGTCTGTTAATAGAAAATCTTTACCATCGAGAAGATGACCGTAAGTCGTCCGATCAGTCTAGAGTTTTTCAACCTTTCAATCGCTCTATGGTTTTTCTTTTCTTCTTCTGGGTTTGATAATTTTGATCCTTAATTTTTGGGGTGTTTTTTTTTTTTTCTCTCCACAGTTTACGATTCCGATTGAGAACGGGAATGAAGTGAAGAACGCTGAGGCTGATTCCCAAAGAACACTGTAAAAACCTCTCCTTAAGGTTCTCGAATCTGAGAGAATTTGGTTTTCAATTTTGTAAGTTTTTTGGTTTTTTGAAAGGTACCCGTATGTTACTGGAACCTCAGTGGTCGCTATCAAGTACAAAGATGGAATTTTAATGGCTTCTGATATGGGAGGTATACTCTTTGCCTAGTTCCAGCTCTCTAGTTGTTGGAATAAAGCCATTTTCTCTAGTGTTTCGCTTTTATGTATGCTACATTATGTCCATAAGTGTGCTTGCAATAGTAGTGCTGTTTATATAGATACATAAGAGAAAAGAAAGCAGAGTTAGATATGTAAAAGTTTATTTGAGCTTTGTTGCTAGCAATACTTGGAGAGGTATTTGAGTGCTCAAGTCTGGTAGTGAAACCGGAATTATCACATGGAAGAAGTGGCGGCTTTTATCATCAACATTACTTTTATCGTTAGCAAAAAGAAAAGGCTGTGCTCACTCACATAGCTACATTACTCTATAACCTTAACCCCATTATGAATTAGTGTAAGACCTTCTCTGCCGAATGGGTCAACAAATTGGAGAATATGCATGTGTATCTCTTCTAGAGTTCCAAACTTTTACTTAACTCAAAGAGTGTGATCTTGTTTTGTTGCTCTAGATAATGGTGAGACTGTTGCTTCAAATCAACTTTTGCTGTTCTTGCAGGTTCATATGGATCCACCTTAAGGTACAAGAACATCGAGAGGATGAAGGCTATCGGTAAGCATTCTCTTCTTGGTGCCAGTGGGGAAATCAGCGACCTCCAAGAAATTTTGCGCTATCTCGATGAGCTCATGTAAGAATGTGTTTTATACAGTCTTCCTTTTCCCTTGTTAACAATTCCTTCTCTGGCCATTCATTTTGAAATCTTTTTGTTTTCAGCCTGAATGATAACATGTGGGATGATGGTAATTCCTTGGGGCCAAAAGAAGTTCACAACTATCTGACCCGAGTTATGTATAATCGCCGGAACAAGTTCAACCCTTTATGGAATACTCTCGTGCTTGGAGGTGTAAAAAATGGGGAGAAGTACCTTGGAATGGTAACACCTAATGTTTTTCTTCTCTTTTTTTTTTGGTGTGGATTTGAACTTCTGATTGAATGTAACAGCTTGTTTTATTTGGATTTTATGATGCTCTCTAGGTCTCAATGATTGGTGTTAGTTTTGAGGACAACCATGTTGCCACCGGGTTTGGGAATCACCTAGCGAGGCCTATTCTTCGTGATGAATGGCGTGAGGACCTGAGTTTTGAAGATGGTGTCAAGCTACTGGAGAAATGTATGCGTGTACTTTTGTACCGTGACAGATCGGCTATCAACAAGCTTCAGGTCTGTTTAATTTCGTTGTTGTGTGAATCCATTGAATAGAGGATGAGATCAGATCATTGACCAGACCCGTTGTATTGGGAACTTTGCAGATAGCAAAGATGACAGAGGAAGGCGTGACGGTCTCTGAGCCATACTCGTTGAAGACATTTTGGGAATTCTCGGCGTTCACAAACCCAACAGTTGGCGCAGAAGGCTCCTGGTAATAACTGAAAAACAGGTTCTGTTGTGGAGATCTCCTAGACGGCTGTTTTCCATTGTGTGATGTTTGTTCTACGGTTTACACTGAAGTTGACTTCTGTGTTGATAAATTCCTGATTTAGAACTAAAGGCTTTATGAATACTTTCTTACCCATTTTAAATGGTTTTAATCTCCTACTTCCCCCCCTCCTTGGAAAATTGGAAATATTTCACGAATGAGCATGTTTGTGTTCCTTGGAGATTCCATAAATAAATGGTAAACGTATAATTTTAATCATTCGATGATTGTATATATTTAGAAAGTTATTATATACTCTTCTTAACAAAAAAAGAATGAAATGTGCAAATGAGCCAATAATTAAATTTTTTCTTTCTTGCGAATAATTATTTAAAAAACGTACAAAGGATTTCATAAATATATCATAGATAGACGAGAACAAAAAGAAAAGGAAAAAAGAAATCATAATTTGTTGTATATTCTAACACCAGAAATGGAACATTAGTAAGTTTTTTTTAAAGATTTCTAAGTCCAACGAAGCTTCAAGGCTGCCGGTTGTGAATTAATTTTAAGGTAAAGTCCGTCAGATCTGCCGATCCATTCACGTATCTGATTACATGCACCACCTTTAGGTCCTTTGTACGCTTCAAAAGTTTTTTTATATCTCAACCACAGTCCTTGCTGCAAGGTACAATTGAGTACCATTGGTTCCTTTGGAGTGTCTCCGAATTCAATGTCCCATTGTGTTTTGAATTCTAAGTTCTTGATGTATAACTTGCCGTTTTTAGCTTCACAACGGAAATGGAGAATTCTACCTGGACCGAGGTCGTTTCGAACAGTTAATTTGTTTTTCTTGCAACCATGCGCAAGAGTGCTGAGATACATAGCAATAATTAACATATATATTATGAAATTATTCATTTTTGTTTGGTTATCTAATACACTTTTGAAGTGGTATGAATGAAAAAAAAAAACAAATCAAAATGTAGTATTTATAGAAAACAATGTGTGGTAAACATTTATCAGTCATTTATTTATGACTTGTCATAGTTGAATTAGCTAAAGTTGACCCGGCTTAAATTCTGGCAAGAAGAGTACTTTGTGCCGGAACCCGGAAAAATATGATTTGACCAAATAGATCAAACCAAAAAAATTAACGTTACTGATTATAGCTCACCCAGTAACACTAAACGAAATCAAAAGTCTAACATCTAACAGTTTTTTTTTGTAACTGTATTATGTTAATAACGAGGAAATATATTTTCCCACCAAAACACCCGAAAATTATAACATAAATAATTTTACAACGATCAACAAAAATCTTATTGTTTTCAGCATGAATGATGACATAAATAACTTGGTAATAAAAACTATCATCCTTTCTACTTATGAAACTGAGGATCGTTTAGTTTGGGCATACACAGAAGATTCAACATATACTGTCAAATCGGGTTATTGGGTAGCAACGCATATTGAGATTGAGAATGAGGATATTATTCCACCAGCAGGTGATTTAGAACTCAAAAATGAGATTTGGAAACTAAATATTCTTCCAAAGATTAAGCATTTCTTATGGAGGGTCCTCACAGGTGCATTATCTACAGCAGACAGACTTCGGAGCAGACATATCAATATGAGTTCATTATGTCAACGTTGTTGTCAACATGATGAGACTATAAACCACGTGATTTTTGAGTGTCTCCACGCTAAAGCTATATGGAGATGTGCCGGGATATTACATTTTGATTCAAATGTTGCAGGTTTAGAAGCTAATATCCACACATTATTTAGAATATACCGTAATGGAGCAGGTTCGGAGGAATCTAAGCTGTTACCATTTTGGACTTGCTGGATTATTTGGAAGTCAAGAAATGAGTTCTTGTTTAGATCACGTAATACTCACCCAAATGACGATGCCGTAAGAGCTATAGATGCAGTACAAGAGTGGATAGATATTATGTCTGAAGAACAATCAAAGGTAACCTTCTTTGAGAGTGACAAGGTTTTGGACCGTTCAAGTTACTGGGAGGCACCACCAGATAATTGGTTAAAGTGCAACTTTGATAGTAGTTGGAAAGAAAATTCTGATACTACAGGTTTAGGGTGGATAGTTCGAGACCATAGTGGGAAACATATTTGCTCAGGAGCTTCCAAAGGTTCAACTGCGTTTTCTCCATTGCAAGCAGAAGCTATGAGCTTTTTATATGCGCTTCAAATGGTTTGGATAAAAGGTTGGAGATATGTGTGGTTTGAAGGTGATAATCTGCAGTTGGTAAACTTGATAAATCAACAAAGAAAACATGTTGAAATAGGCAATTTGCTTACGGATATTCGCTATTGGATGAGAAAATTATCAGAATGTTCTCTTAGTCATACCAATCGAGAAAGGAATTCTGCAGCTGATGCTTTAGCAAAGAGAAGCTTTCATCTTTTAGAATCTAGTTGTTGTTATTATATTCTTGCAGTTTGGTTACAGAACTATTTGTATTTCCCATATACTTTATAAAATAATAAAATAGCTGTTAAAAAAAAAAAATAACTTGGTAATAAACAAAAAAAAAATCAAATTTGTAGTTTTTTTTTTGGTAAAAAAAAAAAAATTTGTAGTTAATTTGATAATACTGTATGGTTTTTTTTATTCAATAATAAGATTTCAACTCGGGGTGAAAAAAATAAAAGTAAAAAAATACAAGTGTATTGAAATCAGTTCAAGTCACTGTAACAACTCTACGGCTTCGCTGTTTCTCGATTGGGCGGAGATATATAACTGCTCTCTTCCTTCATCTTCTTTTAACGCGAGAGAGAGAGAGAGAGAGAGAGAGAGAGAGAGAGAGAGAGAGACTCGTGTAGATTTGCATTTTTCTTAGATCCGTTCTAATCTAAAACCTCATCGACGTCGATTTTCTGAATCTCTCTGGTTGTTTGCGAACAGTGAGGAAGACGAAGAGATTGTTGTGGTTTTTTGCCTATTTTACAGAGGCTTTTCTAAATATCTGGGTTTAATGGTGGATTCTCTGTTTCCTCACATCGAAACCACCGGTAACAACGCGTCTCCGGAGTCGAGCCGGAAGAAGCGGAGGATATCAGAAACGGCGAAGGAGGCAGAGACAGAGGCTCGACGGATCAACGAAGAAAGCTTGAAGAGATGGAGAAGGAATCGTGTGCAGCAGATCTACGCTTTCAAGCTCGTCGAAGCTCTGCGTCGCGTTCGTCAGAGGTCAAACGACGACGCCGGTAAAGTCAACGGGAGCTCGGCGCGAGAGATACGCGAGACAGCGGATCGAGTTCTGGCCGCGTCGGCTCGCGGCACGACTCGGTGGAGCAGGGCGATCTTAGTGAGTCGCGTCCGAGAGAGGCTGAAGAAACACAGAAAGGCGAAATCAACTGGAAATTTCAAATCGAGAAAAGCTACGACGGAGACGACGACGAAGCGGATTAGATTGCCAGCGATTGAGAGAAAACTGAAGATTCTCGGCCGGTTGGTTCCCGGTTGCCGGAAAGTCTCCGTAACGAACCTTTTAGATGAAGCGACGGATTACATCGCGGCTTTAGAGATGCAGGTCCGAGCCATGGAGGCTCTCGCCGGACTTCTAGCCGCCGCTGCACCACCGATGACGTTGACCCGACTCTAACGGCGGCAGTTAGTTTGTCAGTTGTTTTTTTTTTTTTGTCGTAGTTTGTCAGTTGTTAAAATTAGCTTTTTAACCTTTTTACCCCTTCATTTGGCTGAAAGCTTTTTTTTGTTTGTGTGTCTACGCGATTTTAATTTATTATTCATGTATTTTATTTTGTATACATCACTTTTGTATCCATTTTGATCTTCTTTATTTTTCGAGAATCAATTTTTATCTTAAAAAGAAAGAAAAAGAAAAGCAACTAATTCTCGATTCCAAAATGTTAATACACATAAATTAATCCCTTTCAGACATAATTATACATACAAAGAAAAAACGAAAAAAAAAGATAAGAGAAGAACAACAGTTTATATTATTTGCAACTTGGAAGAAATTCAAAAATTGTTATACTTTATCAACAACAAAAAAAAGCGATATTCAAAAATGGAGCATGTGCGTAGATGGCCTAACGTGTGAAGAACACCCACCTTAATTTTGGGGCCAGTGGATATTGGACTCCATGTGATTCTCAAAGACTTTTCCAACGTTGAAGTTTATGAAATATTGAGTGATGTCAAAAAGTATAAGTTGCTCATAAGTCTTAATGCCCCCATAATTAAAACAAGTTTACAACTTTCATTTTATTGTAGACTAGTTGAATGTCGTCAATATTACAAAATATTTCACTAAACAATATATTAGAGTCAATTAAGAAGAATTATAATCGACGTATGTAAATATTGATTTTTGTTTTTTTTGTCAACAGGTAAATAATGTGATTATGGAATCTCTAAATACTAGCTAATGTAAGTAAGTTGTCAGAAAAAAATCCACTAGGGAGTTAACCAAGTAACATTGAAAGAAGTGTGAAGAAGCAAAAGGACCACAATTTTTGGCACCAAAACAAAGGGGAAACAACTCAACAAGTAAGATTGAGAGATGAGTCTGGAGGACGAACATCTTTCTTCCTTCTTTAAGACTCCCCACGTGTGCTCCTCCTTTTTACACCCAAATATGTCTTTCTTTCTTTTATGCATTCACACCTTTTTTTTTATGGGGGGTTTTATCAAATTAATGGCAACATGTTTGTGGGTCATTTGTGTTTTTTTCCTTCTTTTCTCAGAAAAAGAGTCATAAGATTTTAATCATTTTAATTACGATTCCGCATATTATCAAAAGGGAAACTTACGATAGTGCATCCAAATTTTATCACATTTGTGTGTGTATATATATTTTAAATACGGCTGGTCTAGTTATTGATATTAATGTTTTCACATGATATCGTTTGCACATAAAACGGGAATTAATAGATTGAGGAAACGAAATAGTAGAATACAAATGCATCGAATTCTAGCTATCAAACAAAACAAAAACAGAAGGAAAAAAAAAAAAAAGAGAAAGGGGAAAACGTGGAGTTGGCCATATGTGGCTAAAGGGGGTAGACCCAATGTAATCACATGCAACCATGTGACTCCAATTATGAACCTCATATGTGAATGTGGCCGAGGAGATGGCAAATTTTTCAAGAATAATCTCCTCTTTCTCCTTTTTCACTTCCTTCTTTGTACAACGCTATCTAGTATTTATAAGAAAAACAAAACATTTCCATTTATCATTCATAATAATCAGTTGGCAGAAAAGAAAAGTCATAACTGGATATTATTATCGTTACATTCCGTATATGGGGTAGACCATAACTCTAATTACGCCTTCATTAATCACATTATTTATAACAAAAATATTGAAACTACATGTCCCCTATCGGCTTAATTTACTGCATCTTTATTAAGTAGCATTTTACTGGTTCAACCGGCGGAAATAACCGGGTCCTCAAACTGGGATGGTTGAGTAGTGGGAACAATGGGCCCTATGACGAGAAGCAAACAAAACCCTTTTTGGACAAAATTTGACTATCAACAAATACTCATCCATATCTTTTCTTCTTACATATATAGATTATTTATACGTTTCTTATATGTAAAGGAATTTTGGTGTGGTGTAATGAGATGGAGGAACACATGGCAAGACGGCATGCACTGGCACATGACTTCGGCAGAGAGATTTCGTTGTCTTTGAACTGGCGCTCGTGTTTTTCTACATTTCCGCACGTGGTCTCAAGTCAACCATATCCACTTATTAACTCATAAAATTTTGTTGTTTGTTACTTGTATCACTATCAACATACGCATCCTTCCTTCATTTTTAATCACATTTAATTTCTACCAAAGTCTGAATATTAGATCGTTATGAATTTCTTGCATCCAGTCACGTCTTAGAATTAATTACGTATCATCTTTACGGATTTAATTTTCCTTCATCATGGAACATTGACAATTTTAACCTGCAACTTTTATTTCAAGCTTAAACGGAGTAAATACGGAAGCAAAGGAAGTCGACAATGTTAATGGACCGCTCGAAACTCGTCCAGCCAGTAGCCTAATAAGAAGCTACGCAAGCGAGCGTTGACCTCCCTTTAGTTTTAGGAACTCTTCCTCATACCGAACAACTCTTCATCGTCCATGAAACCTGAGAGATAATCCTTCATAGAAGCTTGCCCTACTTCCCTATCAATTTCAATTAGTCCTCTTTTTTTGGTCAAGTTTTACAAATCTTAAAGATATATATGCATGGTTTATCAAGTTGAGTCTGATGCAATATATATAACTGATTCTTTAACGAAACCTGAACAGTTAACCCAAATTTTCTTTTCGTGATGGGACCCATAAATAATCAAACGCAAGTCTCTCGATTTGTGTTTTCCAGATATAAGTGCTGAAGAGGCGATCGACTAAGATCATGACTAATTAGAGAAGATCCATGCATCGAGCTTATACTTGTTGTAATCTCATTGCCTGCTTTGATTTCAAACAAAAGACTGTAGAAGGATGAAGAAACAAGAGTTCTTTTGATATTTTGGAACTTTTGTGTTTGTTTGATGCAAACCACTAGGCTCTCTTACCGTATATATCAAATTTTACGGAAGATGGTTTTTATTCCGTATCTAAGAAATGTATTTGTTTCTGCAATTACCTTTTCCGTACGAAACTAGCTAGGAATCGTATCTATTATGCGAATAATTAAGAGAAAAGTCCGTAATATAGTCAAATTTAATTTGTATAACAGCTCTACAGCTAGAGAAAAATGTTTAATATTTTACATTATCCGAAACCCAAAATCAATCCAAGTTCTCTCGTGGAAACTTTATTTTTTTTTCAAAAGATTTCAGCATTGTTGAAAAAATTAATACGGTTTCTCTGTTTAATTTTTGGTCTTTCTTGTGTTAGTTTTACTTTGATTTTTGATTACCTTGCATATGAAAGAAATTACTTATCAAGTTATCATTTCAGACTACCCATTTATATTCCACATAAAGGACTTTGATAATGTGACAACAAACCCCTTACGACCATTCCTTTCTACCTTCTGGTTATAATGTGGCAACTAGATGGAATCATGAACATTTCAAAATGATTGATCCAGTTTTCATATAAAAAAGTTTAGTTAGGTTCCGCATCAGAGTGTGGTAGACGAATCCATAACAAGTTCCTAACATATACCAGATCATCCCAACTGACAGTTGGCTGACGTACAGTGGGATCTTAATTAAGTTCTCATACCTGAAACTGCAACAGTGAGCAGAGATCTTAAATTCATACATGGGATGGGACTGCAATGAGAAATGAAATTGTAGATTAAAAAAAAAGAAGAAGTTAACACCAATTAAGAGAGTTACTAACGAAACACTGGACAACGATACATATGTAGAATTTTTCATAGTGGAAAATGTCAACACATACTCTTTTTTGACGAGAAAGCACAACCAAAAAGAAAAACCTAATTAATTACTGTTAAGAACAGGCTAGTACTTTACTAGCTGAATCTGATGGGAGGGATGAGATTTGCTGCTTGGTAAGAGGCTGTCACAGAAAACAAATCCCATTAGAAGAGCAGATTTTTTTGTCTTTTTCTAGCTTAATAGAGAGTAGCTAAGCTAAGCTATGTGCCTATGTCCATTGTCGTTTCTTATGAAGAAATGTAAAACTATAAGATTTTCTGCACTTGCATGCATGAGTAATTCTCTTTCTCTCTTCACTCGTCTTAATTATTCAGGCGGGTCCTTCAAAAAGACAGTTCACTCGGGTTATAACGCTGACGACATTTCATCCAATACTATACTTGCATGGGCCAAAATTCATTATTACCTAACTTGAGTTTGAAAATCTTTTTTTTTTTAATTTAAGATATCGTGTATTCCAAGCGACATCATTTTGCAACTATCTTAAAATTGTAGGTCAAACCCACTACCCACTGAACTAACTTTGATCAATGTAAAGATAGGATTGTTGAACCCATATCTTCACCAACATTAGCAAATTAGATAACCAAATGTGTCCGTTATTTGTTTTTTTTTACAATGTAACCAAACAAACCAGAAAATGAGATATTAGTTAAAATAATTGAAATTTTAATTATAATCTTAATTTCTAAAATCTCATTTTTTTCTGAATTTGAGATTTTAGTTAGTCATTAATTGGTTTGTTTGGTTACTCTATTCTTAACGAGGTCATGGACAACATCGTTATCGGTTTTTGAGAGGAAAATGACATCAATCCGGATTTTCAACAATTCCAACAACAATTTAATTGTAACACTATTATATGCTACAAATGTCGTCAATTGTAATTATATAGGTTGAATCTATATGGTCATAGATTATCTTCAAATACTTGGCCGGAAACTCTAATCTAAAGTCAAATAAAAACTTGAATGTCTATAACTTAGCCACTTAGGATACTAACCAGACAAAATATTATAAAAAAGACCAAAGAAAATATTAAGGATGGTCAGTCGATTATTCGGGTTTCAGATTTTAGAGAATTTTTTTTTTCAAATTCATATCGATACTCGATTCAGTTAATAACATAGAGATTAACATTGTATTTTTTTTAGTATATTTAAATACTTTGTGACAGCATGGACAATAATACCTTTTTTTTTTTTTTTTTTTACATCGCATGGACAATAATACCTTTTTGTAAGAAGTAAGAACATAGAAGGAAGGATCCAAGTAGCTCCAACAAGTACAACCAATCAAACTTCGGCCCGGATCCGACCCGAGAGCACCAGACGACTCGTCCTCCACGATCTCATTCTCCAGTTTCAATTCTGCCAAAAGAGAGCGAGAGAGAAGATCCAGACGAAGTGGTTTCGGAAACAGAGAAAGAGAGAGAGAGAGACCAACGAAGATGTCGCTGAGGCCGAGTACACGCGCGGAGCTGAGGAAGAAGATATACAAGACAGGGGTCGATGCCGATGAGGCGAGGCGGAGGAGAGAAGACAACCTCGTCGAGATTAGAAAAAACAAGCGTGAGGACAGTCTCCTCAAGAAGCGCCGTGAAGGAATGATGCTCCAGCAGCAGCAGCCTCTCGGAACAGCTCTCGACGGCCCCCAGAACGCTGCCGCCGTTGAGAAACGCGTAAGTTCGCTGATCTGAATTTCGAGTTTTAATTTTGGATCCTAGGATTTGATTAGTTTGAGATGGATCTTTGTTTTGATTGTCGTTAAAAGTGAGGCTTTGATTGTGTTTTCCTCTCAATTCTAGATCTCAGTTTCAAATTTGTTTTCTTTGGTTTCGGGCATTTCTGTATGGATATTAGATGGTGGGATCACAAATCTGACCATGTATGCTGATCAGGATTTCTAGTAGCTGATCTGATGATCGTGTTAATGGATTGGATGTTAGATTTCCACCAAAGGAAAGGTTTTGTTTTTTTTGTGGAAATAGCTGTTTGATGCTGTTCATGTGCTTTGACAGTTAGAAGGTATCCCAATGATGGTTCAAGGTGTTTATTCTGAAGATCCTCAAGCTCAGCTAGAAGCCACTACTCAATTTAGAAAATTGTTATCTATAGGTAGGTATACATTTGTTCCTTTCAGAAGCAATTTTCCGCTCTCGGGTGTATGTTTGTAATAGCCATCTGATGGTTGCTTGTCATATAATTTGATGAGCAGAGCGTAGTCCTCCAATTGATGAAGTTATCAAAGCCGGTGTTGTCCCACGTTTTGTGGAGTTTCTTGGAAGGCAAGACCATCCACAACTGCAGGTATTATACTTCCTACATTCTAGATTTTTCCCTTATAACTGGCACCTTAAGACTGGTCTGGTGGCTTACTTTAAAGTTCGTTTGCAGTTTGAGGCTGCATGGGCTTTGACCAACGTTGCATCAGGAACATCAGATCATACTCGGGTTGTGATTGAACATGGGGCAGTACCTATCTTCGTTGAGCTTCTTAGCTCTGCTAGTGATGACGTTCGAGAGCAGGTTTGCCACTTACTAGCTAGATTATTGTGACCAGGATACATGCCTCCAAGTTATGTGGCCATATTTGGTTTGTTTGTTGTTTATTTTGATCCAAAATAGTTTTTTGTTGGTATGGTTTTATAGTCAGCCAAGTGCTTCTCTGTAGTTATAGGTGTCAAAACGTTAATGGTTTCTTACAAACCTTTATATATCTGTTGTAGGCGGTGTGGGCCTTGGGAAATGTTGCTGGAGACTCGCCAAACTGCAGGAACCTTGTTCTCACCTATGGGGCTCTTATACCACTGCTCTCTCAGTTAAACGAAAATTCTAAGTTATCCATGCTAAGGAATGCTACATGGACCTTGTCCAACTTTTGTCGTGGTAAACCACCAACACCATTTGAACAGGTAGGACTACAGAAATGGATTCTCTTATGTCTTGATTTTTCTGGACTGCTGATGATTTACGGTTCAATATATATATATATATGTATATATATATTGATTATATATGTTTGGTTTCCTCACATTACTCAAGCATGGTGTTGGATATTCATATGTCTCAGGTGAAGCCTGCGCTGCCAGTTCTTCGGCAGCTTATCTATCTAAATGATGAAGAAGTTCTCACGGATGCCTGCTGGGCTCTTTCCTACCTTTCAGATGGCCCCAATGATAAGATTCAGGCTGTGATTGAGGCAGACGTCTGTCCACGACTTGTGGAGCTTCTGGGGTTAGTTCCTTTTTACCTGGCCAATAGTTGACATGACATGATTTCGATTTTTCTCATCATCTTTAGTTTCTCTAGTTTTTTCATTTGGATGTTTAGTGCTTATAGAAGTTGGTCTTTTTCAATAATGGTGTGGCCATCTTAAAAACTTGTGATGCTTTTTGAATACCTTTGGGAAATTGAGTGTTGGTGTTCTCACTACCTTATATTCTTGTTTTGTTTTGTTTGTATACTGACTAATATACATTTCTTCAAGTCATCCATCACCTACGGTTCTCATTCCTGCCCTTCGAACTGTTGGTAACATCGTAACTGGTGACGACTCTCAGACACAGGTATGATATATGAAGAACGACTCTTTATAATGTTTTGGGTGTTTGCTCTAGCATTTTGACTAGAGAAGTATGTTTGCTTTTCAGTTTATTATTAATAGTGGCGTACTTCCGCACCTTTATAATTTGCTTACGCAAAATCACAAGAAAAGTATCAAAAAGGAAGCTTGTTGGACTATCTCGAATATTACTGCTGGGAATAAAGCTCAGATAGAGGTATGTCAAAGAGACAGTTGTTCATGGAAATCAGTATTTTAATGCTATTTTCTGTAACAAGTATTTAAATACTTTAATTGTAATTTTCTGTTGTAATATGCCAACAATACTTGTTACAGAAATTATTGAGAGGTATCAAAGTTTCAGAGGCTAAAGGCAAATTTTTAACCATTTTATATTATTCAAATAATAGGCTGTGGTTGGCGCTGGAATAATCCTGCCTCTTGTGCATCTGCTCCAAACCGCGGAGTTCGATATAAAGAAGGAAGCTGCATGGGCTATTTCCAATGCCACCTCAGGAGGGTCTCACGAGCAGATTCAGTACGTAATCTCTATTCCTAAGCGCATTTTGCAAACTGACTTCACTCCTTAGTGTTCTCTTGCCGTCTTATGCCATCATCTATCTCTATATCGAGAAATGCCTATAACAGAGTTTTTGGATGCAGATATTTGGTGACCCAAGGCTGCATCAAACCTCTTTGTGATCTTCTAATCTGCCCTGATCCGAGGATTGTGACAGTGTGCCTCGAGGGGCTTGAAAACATTCTCAAGGTTGGTGAGGCTGACAAGGACATGGGACTAAACGGTGGGGTGAATCTATATGCCCAAATAATCGAAGAATCTGATGGGTTGGACAAAATTGAAAACCTCCAGTCCCATGATAACAACGAGATATATGAGAAGGCCGTGAAGATCTTGGAGAGATATTGGGCTGAAGAAGAGGAAGAGCAGAATATGCCGGACGGCGGGAGCGAAAATCCACAACTTGGCTTCAATTTCGGGAACAACCAGCCCGCTGCTCCCCCTGGTGGATTCAAATTTACCTGAGAAAAGTTATAGAACAATTGAAATCATTTGGTTTGGGGAACCCGAGATTCAGCTTTTGAACTGTTATTGCCAGGTTCAAGTTTGGGTTTTTGAGTTCTGGTGCAAAAAGGCTTTTTTTCTTTTTCTTATTCTCTCTGTTTTGTTGTTGTTGTCCCTATTCGTCTGAGTCATTTTCTCATACTGTATCTTAAACTCTGGGATAAAGCATGTCTAGTGTGGTTACTGGTTTAGGATATGGTCACACTTTATATTTGTCACCTTTTTTTTCTTTTGTTTTTGTTATAGTTTTATAACTTTTTTTACTTGGCAGAGTACGAGTACAAGAAGAAAGATTTTGATTGCAAAAGTCTTGTCTTATTAATAAACTCCTCAAATAAATTGGTTGAGGAAAGCTTTAATCTCATCGATATAAGGAGACTTTGTAGGAATGATGTGGCCAAAGTCGTGCTCAATAATGGTGGCGCAACCGCTGTCAAACAACCCTGCTAGATCCGAGCTGGCTTGAGTCACGATCTGTCTGTCTTTCCCAGGCTGGTTTCCGAAAATGTGGAGTGAAGGGCACTTGATCGATCCTTGCTCTTTCTTCTCTATCAACGGCCACGGTGTGAACCCTGAGCACAACACACAGAATCCGAAGTCTATATCACCTACGAGCTGCTTCTGTTTACCGCATACAGCTGCAGCCATTGCAGCACCTTGAGAGAATCCGAGAATGCCATCAAAAGGCCCTTTCTCTGCAAAAGCCTTCTTCAAGTATGTCAACGATTTGTCAAACCCTTGGGTTTGATTCTGATACTGCAATGGATCAAACTGGCATTGGGCCACTTTCCAGTCTGCTTCGCTTGGTTGGTCAAAATCTGGTGACACCAACCAGGCAAACTTCTTGTTGCAACCCCCGGGTGGAGGTGTTGCAGTCTGGTAGATGAACTCTAGTTCGTGTGGTGCATCGATGAACACAAGCTCGGCGAGATTCTTCAGTTTCTTTGCTAGTGATCCAGTCCTCCCTTTGAAGCCAGACGCGTTCTGCCTAAAACCATGTAAGCATAAGATCCTTAGCTTCTGTTTCCTATCGTCACCTGCGGAGCATAGAATATGAGATTACAAACTTCAGAAGTGGAATGAAAAAGTGTCGCAAAGGAACTAAAATATACTAAGATGTTTCAAACATATGATCCAAAAAAATGGACAAACAGACCTTACCGTTGCTTTCAGAAGGCTGATTTGAGGTATCAAGACTCGAAGAGACTTGCCCTTTTCCGTGTTTACGACACAGCTCGCACACATACATATCTCCTTTAACCTGCAACACCACATCATGAATCCAAGCAAGATACACAATCCATGTGAAGTGGATCAGCAAAAGTAGTCCCGAGTGCAATACCTGGCAATGATTGCAGACTAATACAAGCATCCGGCATAATCTGCAACGGCAACGTGGAGAATAGTCGTCAAAGGTACCGTTGCAGAGAAGGCAGCTGCCTATTATATCCTCTTTTGAGCTCCCAACTGAGATCCTTCAAACTCGACATGAAAATATACGTTACACGGAACCAATTTTTAGAAATTATAGTTTTCATGGCTGATTACATGAGAAAGATGCTAGACATATATACCGGTGATCAAACACAAAGTTCTTTCCTTTGAAGAACCCTCCAGTGGGAAACTGTTCAAGGTATCTTTGTATGCCACCATAGAGCTGCAAGAAACAAAAACAGTCTAAAGTCAGCCAAGTCCAGTCACTTGGTATCAAATCCACTTTGCTATCTAGGATCTCACCTGAAAAGTATTCTCAAATCCGGCGCCTTTAGATCTGATATATGCAGATGCCATCTCACACCTGATTCCGCCGGTGCAGTACCTGATTTGCCCAACACATGAGAACTTCAGTAGTTTGGACGAAAAACTGGATAAATACTGCTCAAGGTATGCTCACAGGACTATTATTCATACATGAGCACGTTTTTTCCCTTCAGTTTCTCGGCATTCTGATCAATCCAGGTCGCCAAATCGCTATACTGCCTGATTTCAGGATCAAGGGTCTCAACATTTTCTGATTCGAATTTGCCAATCCGTGTCTCGTACAGGTTCCTCGCGTCCAGCAAAACAAGTTCCTTATTCTCAGACTTCCCATCTTCATCCGGTTTTTCGTCTGAGTTTCAAGAAAACATAATCAGATGAGACACAGAATATAGCAGCAATAGATAAAAAGAAAAAGAAAAAAAAATCTTACTGGCACTCTGCAGGACGGCACTCTGCAGGACCGAATGAAACTCCGCAGCAGAGAGATGCTTTCCAGCATTTGAAATTTCTGGTGATTTTAAGAGAGGGCAAGTACTAAAGGTCACTAACTCCTGCAAACCACAACACAATTAGGCCACAAATTCTGTCAAAATGCTAGAATGGCTATGGAGGTAAAGTTTGTGTTAATAACAGTTGAATAACCTCAACACAACTACAAAACAAATCATCCATCCGATGAATGAATATATTCACCGCATTGTAAAACATAAGACCCATTTTCATTTTAGTGTGTTAAATAGATAGATTCATACCACTCATAAAAACTGAAATGTTTTTATTTCCATAACTCCACGCAAAAGGATTCTTTGTGCAACATGTTCTGTAAACTAGTTGATATACGAACGCTAACCATGTTTGTAAGAGAATAAGGCAACAACCTCAACGACACGGATGGAGAGCGATGTAAAGCCACATTCCTGAGAAACTTTGTCATTCAAGGGATGATGGCAAGATGCAAGCTTGAAGTCAGTTCCTTCGAATAAACAATTTGACTTTGCGGCGGCAATATGTTCCTCCAATGCGGTTAATTTCCCACCAACCTAACCAAAATGACAAACTTTTCTGTAATTCCAACCGTATACACCGAACTCTAGCAAAAGCTTCAGACTTTGGATTCTGCCTTTTTTTTTAATGGTGCAGATGGATCTAATCAAACAACAAACTGAACTCAGAACTCAAATTGTCTTTCATTCAACTTCAACAACTAACTAGCCAGAGCAAACACAAACTCAAAGTTTCAGACTTTCTGTTTCGAAACTTATCAAAAAATACAGCCAAAACAAAAAATATAGAATTCAACAAGGTCAAAACTTTTCTATTCAATTCCTCTCAAGACATAAAGGATAAGACTTTTCGTTTCATGGCTTAAAAAACATAGAAAGGGTTAAATCATATTTTCAGCAGCGGATATGTAACGGAGACTAGAAGAATCATACGGTGACATTGACACCATGAGTGGAGAGCCTGACTCGACCGAGTAAACCGAGTGAGTTGCAGCTGGATTCATAGAAGGAAACGAGCTCATCTAGATCAGGAACAAATGTGTATTTGTAATATAGCAACACCCCGTATTGCTCTTCATCTTCAATCCTCTGCTTCTCGCCATCGCCACACGAGCTCGTTCCCATTAGGGTAGTTTGCTTGTTTTCAGTGTGAAGAAAGGGAAGCAAATCGCTAAATCTCAGGCTCTGAGCGTCGCGAAGATGGAATCAGGAAAAAACCGAATCTAATTAAACCGAATTGCTTAAACCGGAATTTGTATATGAAATATTGTGTATACCGAATATTATTAATTTGTTCATTATAAAATGATTCACGACATTTCAAAACTGCAATCTTTATAACTATCAAACACCTCTCTAAAAAAATCTTCAAATCAATCAGATAACATTCAAAGCAGAGTAAATGTCTAAACCAAAACAGAGTGATACAACTTCAACTGATCTATTTTTAGCTCTAAGCAAGTAATCAAAAGCTGTTATGCGTCATCCATTGCACCCATCAGTTTAGTCCCTTTCTCTGTTTGGTCTCAGGGACTAGGGGCTTGATGGCGAGTTTCGGCTTTGTGCTAACGAGCCTGTGTGGAAGCACTGTAACAGCAGCTACGAAGGAGTCATTTGGTATTCTAGAGAGCGGTAAGAGTTCCACCAGAACACATAACTGCACATTTTTTTTATCACCAATCTTCAGACTTTGTTTATAAACCGGATAACGCAACAAGTGTTTTGAATTCTCTTGTATATGTATAAATTACCTCTGGAGATTTGAGATCCACAACTGAATCTGGTACAATGTCTTTCACTCCAGCCGCCACAGTTTCAAAGCATTTGCTGCGGTCCAGCAAAGGACATTGATCTAGAACCTCTGATGCTTCTTTCTTAATCTTTCCTTTCGTCTCCTCCACACCTCTTCGGTTATACCCAGCTGCAAACTGTATGGTGGTATATGGTTAAATAACGATATCGCCATGGATCCTAACAATATCCTCAACTATATAACGGAAACTTGATTACGCAGACACATTTTTTTCTTACCTTCACTGGTTTTGAGAGTGTATTGTGTTTATCATCGACAAACCGCTGAACAAGCTTTGATACTGTTTCCTGAAGTTCTTTCTCTGTCAAACCACAAGTAGCTTGAACAGGGAATATCCGATGGCACCAGCTGCATCATTCAAATCATAAGTTACTTGTTTCGCCACGAAAACTTTCTTGCATCAACACAATTTGGAAACACAGTGATCAAAATTTCCTAGCAGAGTGGGATAATGACTAAAGGTGGAGTCGAATCATACGGCGAGTGGTAGCTAAAAAGGTTGAATTTTCCAATGGATAAAGGTCAACAGCTAATATTTTTTTATCAAATGACCAAAGGTTCACTAACTAAACAATTCACCAGATTTGATTATGCATATGCACTGAATTAAGAAGAAGCACTTACATTGGTGCCTTCAGAGATCCAGATTCTATAAACTGGAAGACTCTTGACACAATATTCGTTGTATCGAGAGAGTTGTCAACAGGGAAAGTAAAAAGAAGCAAGCCACTCTTCGTCAGCTTAACCAATGACATGAGAGAATTATGTTCTTCACTGATGCTTCCTTTGGCCGATTTGAAAGCCTCAACATTTGGATTTTCACCTAAAGAAGGGCACCAGAAGTAAGAAATGAAAGAAAAGACAAACAAGAATTTGACTCTTCTCTTGCGGAATGAAAGTTACCTGTTTCCTGCAGGACATCATTGTCTAGAGGTTCTGTCTTTCCTTCGCCGTCCTCTATCTCTTGTACACAAAGCTTTCGTCTTTTATGTGCATCAGAAGAAGATTTGAGAACTTCAGCATTCTCTTCACCTATGGGCAATACCTTTCCAAAGATGGACATGACCTCTTTGGTAGCACTTTTCTCCCTTTCTGATAAAGAAGTTGAAATCAGCAAACAGTTTAAGAACCCTAAACTTTAATCAATTCGAGTATTTGTCAATTCAACGCAGGTTCAATATGCCAGACAACTCACAAACTCGGGGACCAATGAGGAATTTGAGAAATTGAGGAAAAAAAGTAATCAAGCACAAGAGGAGGAAGATTATACTGATGTTGCAGGTGACGAGGAAGCCGGAATGAGAATGGTGAAGCAGAGAAGAGGGAGCTGTGTAGTCAAACCGAGGGATGCTTATGATGCTGGCGTGTTGCTCCCATGGAGTCAATGTTTCAGCCTCGTCTCCTCTTTCTCTTTTTTCAGTCACAGGCTCTTCCTCAATTGATTTTCCAACAACATCGTCCACCTCTTCTGCAGCAGCCATTTTCACTCTCTTTTTCCTCTTCTCACCTAACAGGATGTATTCGTTGATTCCAAAGACTCAGAGAGAGATGGGAAAGGACGAAGAACTCAAAGCCTCGAGCTTTAGCAAAGCTAGACAAGAAAGAAACTAGAGTTTGATAGCAAGGCCATATATTGGATTAAGCGGTTTGGGAAGTGCGATTGCGTTTTAAACCCTTTCAAAACCCTGAAACGCGACGTTTAGACATCGCACCTTCACAAACAGCTAAACCCTGAAGCCTACTACGAGGTCCGATTCGATCCTCCCAAGAGTCTGTGAGTCTGGAAAAGGAGAGAGATGCAGGTACTTGCGCGGAATCTAGTTCGGAGAGTATCAAGAACTCAGGTAATGCTCTCAATTCATGTTTGCTCGATGATTTGCCGTTTCTTCTTGTGTTCTTTGTTTGTTCGCGTTTGCGGATTGATATACCACACGAGCATCGTCTCTTATTGTTCAACAATCAACACCATACTCTGTTCGTGAAGACTTGTATAGATTTGAGGATTAAAGCTCGAATTTTGGGTTCACTCGAAGGGCAAAACAGAAAATTTGCACAGATCATTGGTTTAAGCTGAGTGACATTTTGTATACGAAATGGATTTTCAGGTCATCAGTCGCAATGCATATTCAACCCGAAGAGTCAGAGACATTGGCCAGCCAACTCCAGCATCTCATCCTCATGTAACTCTACTTTGACTATCTTCTCCTCGATTTGCAAATGATTTATATGTTCTGATTGGTTTGCTCTTCCACATCAGTTAATGGCGGAAGGAGAGATCACACCAGGAATAAGAATTGAGGAATACATTGGTAGAAGGAAGAAACTTGCGGAGCTTCTTCCTGAGAACAGCTTAGCCATCATTTCTTCAGCCCCTGTGAAGATGATGACAGACGTTGTTCCATATACGTTCAGGCAAGACGCTGATTATTTGTACCTAACCGGCTGTCAGCAACCAGGTGGTGTGGCTGTTTTAAGTGATGAACATGGTTTATGCATGTTCATGCCGGAATCAACTCCTAATGTATGATTATTTGTTAGTACATGAATTTCTGTCTTCCGAGTTCTGTTGGGTGATTTAGAAGAATTGGTTTGTGGTGTAGGACATTGCTTGGCAAGGGGAAGTAGCTGGAGTTGCTGCAGCGTCCGAGGTCTTTAAGGCAGAACAAGCATATCCGATAAGCAAGTTACCCGAGGTAACTTATATTTATGCCCTAAGTGGCAGCTCGTGTAAAATTTTGCTTTGCTGTAGACTTTGTTACTTCTGTAACGCAAGATTTATTTTATTTATACGTTTTTGATGTACAGATTCTTTCAGACATGATAAGAAATTCTTCGAAAGTATTTCATAACAGTCAAACGGCATCACAAAGATACACAAACTTGGATGAGTTTCGAAATCCAGCATCTCTTGGCAAAGTGAAAAGTCTTTCAAGTTTAACACATGAGCTTAGGTTAATTAAATCACCTGCGGAACTCAAATTAATGAGAGAGTCTGCATCTATTGCCTGCCAGGTACTCCTGTATGACGAAGAAGCTATTATTATGCTATTGCTCATGAACTTTCTTGTTTCTGTTTAGCTTCTAGTTAGAAATGAGATGCTAGAGTCTAACTGAAAAGTTGAGATGGTGAGAAGTAATGGGACTAATATTGGTTGCAGAAAATTGTGTGTATGCGCTGGATTTAATCTTAAGATAGTAGCTATTACAGACAATGGGCATATGCAGTTATTTGGATCTTTTCATTCTCAGGGTCTTCTAAAAACAATGCTACATTCAAAAGTGTTTCCTGATGAAGGCATCTTGTCAGCCCAAGTTGAATATGAGTGCCGGGTAAGAGGTGCTCAGCGAATGGCGTAAGTCTCGACATTTCTATCTGCTCCATGAATTAGATTGGGGTTTTATCCGCAAAAAGTATTCCTTACTCTTCTTGTTCTAATGGGAAGAACTTTTCATGTTTTCATTCCTTAGATTCAATCCTGTAGTTGGTGGCGGTCCAAATGCTAGTGTTATCCACTATTCACGAAATGATCAGCGAGTAAGTCTGATGAAATTCTATTCAATTTAGTAGTATAGAGATTTTCTTGAAGCTAACATCTTAAAAAATCTGCAGATAAAAGATGGTGATCTTGTCTTGATGGACATGGGTTGTGAGTTACATGGTTATGTTAGTGATCTTACTCGGACATGGCCACCTTGCGGAAAATTCAGTTCTCTTCAGGTTGATTCTTCTGCTGTCTCTTTTTTTTAATCTTCTTTTGTCTGGTTGAAGTTCTTCCTTTTTTGTTAGAGTTACGTCTCGCATGCTAACAATAAGGGTTTGCTGTAACCTTTTTTCCTTGAAAGATAGATTTTAGGAAACCTTTGCAAATACGAGATTTTTGTTAGTCACTAAAATCTACTAAAACTCGACCATCTGACAGCAATTTTATGTTTTACGGCATTTGTTTTGGACGGTTTTAGCAGCGCATAGCCCTTATAAACACCAACATAAACTTATCACGCTAAGTAAGTTTTTTTGCGTTTTAGGATTGTTTATATATTTTATTTGTAAGAATTTGCCATGTGCATTGGTACATATATAGCAGGGATCATTCCTGGATTTCACAATTATGTTTGGACAATTAGATGAAAATCGCTGTTAAGCGATCCCTTTGAGTATTATTTGTCTAGTAACTCATTCTTTGAGCTCCTTCTTTGAAAATTTCCCTGTTAACTTTTTATTTTATTGAAAATCATAGTATTGATACTTATGTTTTTTCCAGGAAGAGTTATATGATCTTATACTTCAGACAAACAAAGAGTGCATAAAACTATGCAAACCCGGTACAACCATCCGCCAACTAAACACATATTCGGTAAATATAACCTTATCCTCAGCTGTGTCTTTGTGCTTGAGATGTATGGAACACACCATTCACTTTCTAAGTTTTGTCAGGACGTGAAATATATTCACTTCTGTGTTTGTTATGGATGCAAAAGAAAAGAAGTTCATGTAGAAGGCTGCATTACAAATATTTCATAAGATAAAAGGGACCAGAGATGTCATATATACCACCAGCACTCATCAGTCTTAAACTTTAAAACTTTATTTGCCAACAAAATGCTGTGTGAACTCAGATAATGCTTTGTTGTTTTGGCAGACCGACTTGTTGTGCGATGGACTGATGAAGATGGGCATCTTGAAGAATCGTAGACTGTATCACCAGCTGAATCCCACCTCCATAGGTATGCATTAATGAACCTCGATCACATTAACTTATTGGTTTGTTCTTCCGATCAAATATTATAAATTTGCGTTTTTGGTCGACGAAACCAATACAACCAACCAAGTTTGATTGGTGTACAGATGGTAACAATCCTTGTTTTAATTGTCTGGCATTATGCTGTATAAGCGTTACCATGTAACCCAAAAAAAACACAAAATATTATCTAACAAAGTTTCTCTTCTGATGGATAAAAAGGTCACTACCTTGGGATGGATGTGCATGATTCTTCTGGTGTGGGATATGACCGTCCTTTGCAACCCGGTTTTGTAAGTAATGTTACTCATTCGAGTCTTAGTTTTTGTGAAGAACACGATAATTTACTTATCAAACACTCTCATTGTTGATATTAATCCATCAAATCTGCCCTTTGAATCCTAATTGTCAAAATTTAATACTTGGCCATGTGATGGCATTGGGTACTTACGTATAAAGCAAATAGTTTTAAGAGTGCAGTTGATAGAATCTTATAGGCTGTCATCAAATGATTTTTTATAGCAAAATCTCGATATCTGATGGCTGTCTGGACAGGTGATAACTATTGAGCCAGGAGTCTACATTCCATCTTCATTCAACTGCCCTGAAAGGTAAAAAAAAAAAATTGCTCTCTTTAAACTACTCTACGCACCAACTTCATATAAAAAATTGTGTTGTGTAGGAAAATTTGCATTCAAAAAGTATCAAACTATGTAGTTATGTGTGATTTAACTGAAAATCAACCTCATGACATGACATAATCTTTCCGATAAAGCAAATTATGGTGATGTAACTTTATTGTTGAAAGTGCTCGTTTTTGTTTGTTTACAGATTCCAAGGGATCGGGATAAGGATCGAGGATGAAGTTCTGATCACTGAGACAGGCTACGAGGTTCTGACAGGGTCAATGCCTAAAGAGATCAAACATATAGAGACATTGTTGAATAACCACTGCCATGAAAACGCTGCGCAGAGCTTCGCAGGTTTCTCTTCGCAAGTTTGAAAGTTACATACGAGCCGTTTCCCATTTATTTGAGATATATTATGCATTGGGATTAGCCTAATTCATGAGAACAACTTGCCTCTTGCGTTATATATTTGATATGAAGATGGTTTTAGTGCTGTTCACAAAACTAAAAGAGGATATCTTGTATGGATAAATTTGAAATAAAAATTAAAAGATTTGATATTGGACCCAGTTTATTGTGAAGCAGAACCAAGGCTTCGAGTTTCCAAGAAAAGTAAGGTCACACAAATCACAATCAATAAGTTAGAAGTTGGAACTTTTTGTAGCTATGTGTACTTTAGTTTTTTTTTTATCTGTTATGGTTTCTTAAGATAGAAGGAAAAAGTAATTCACAATAATATGATACCGTGATCCTAATACGTAACACTTAGCGTCAAGGACAGAGACGTTTATTTGATTCGATTTCTACCAAAATATAATTGCGGAGGACGACGGTTACTGGTTAGCAGGTGAGGAGGCTGTGAGATGATAGGCACAACATTTATACGGCCGGGCCATGCACCATCAATTATATGTATACATCATCTTAATAATAATCATCATTATTACTGTGATGATGATTGCTATATGATCATCTAAGATGATTTAACACAAAACTGAAAGAAAAAAAGAAAGAAAAAAAAGAGTTTGACACGTACCAATATTTATGTATTCACCTATAAACCTGCCCAACCATTCCCTGATTCCCATTAATGCTTTTTACATGCACCTCATGCATCTATATGAATATAGAATTAAAACTCAGTATAAGATCTTATAACATTTAGATCTAGTCGGTTTCTTTAATTAGATAAAACTGGAGCAATACCATGATTTGGTTCATGCGTCTATTTCCTTAGGCCGCAAGACATTAGAAGATCTTATACTATCAGTTGCCTTGTTTTAACCTTACAAGTTTCTGAAGCCAACCTGTAGGTTGTTTATGTAAAACAAAAACCTGGATACCAAATTACCAAGTTATAATACGGCATACCTTGTAATAGCAAGATACAAAGACTTTTCCAGTTACAAACGGCGCGGCGATATTGTTCAACTATTGATTATAACAAAAGATTAGTGCTCGTTACACTTATGTAGTTTCGTTTTTTACATTATGCATATGATGATCCCAGAGTTTTAAAACGCAAATAATTTGTCTTTGTTTATGCCTTTACGACTTAGTTAAAAAAAAATTGGTTTCATCTTAAAACAAATCTCAACTCTTTCGTCAAACGTCTTTTAGAGCATTGTACCTTTCGTTTGTAATTACGAATTTAATTTAATATTATTATTTTCTATTTATTGGAAAGGACAAAGCGATCACATCGCTATCGATATCGATTTTTTTATTCACCTTTTTTTTAATGAGGTTGGTCTCAATTTCATACCAAAACTCGTAAAATTTGCTAAAATAGTAATGTCAAAGGTATTATTTGTCACTGGAGTGTATTTTACATCCCACATGTGTCCTGTCTTGAAAACCGTTTTATTCTAAATCCAGTGGCAGTCTCCGTAATAAGATCAAGAAACCAAGGGCGCACACATAGCACCCCACCTATATATCACACGGTTAAGTCACTTACCTCTCCACACAACACACAACTTCAGCTTTTAGACCCAAAAAAAAACAGAGCAAAGAAACAGAGATGGGTTTGGTAACAGAGGAGGTGAGAGCTAAGGCAGAGATGTACACCGGAGATGAGATATGCCGAGAGAAGACAAAGGTTTTCCTCAAGGAAATATCTATGCCCAATGGCTTATTACCATTGAAGGATATTGAAGAGGTTGGGTATGACAGAGAGTCGGGTGTTGTATGGCTAAAGCAGAAACATAGCATCACCCACAAGTTCCAAGAGATCGATAAACTTGTCTCCTATGGAACCGAGGTCACTGCCGTGGTTGAGACCGGCAAGATCAAGAAGCTCACTGGAGTCAAGGCCAAGGAGCTTCTTATTTGGGTCACTGTCAATGAGATCTTTACTGAGGACAAAGGGAAGATCACCTTCAAGACACCTACCACTCTGTCTCGGACTTTCCCGGTCTCGGCTTTTATAGTTCCAGAAGAAGTGGAACCTGCCAAGGAAGAACCTGCCAAGGAGAAGACCAGTAGTGAAGCTACCGAGGTCAAGGAGGCTGTTGCAGTCAAGGAGACTGTTGCTGTCAAAGAGGCCTAATCAAGCCTCTCTCACTACTTCAACAGATGGAAGAGACCATCAATATTTTGAAGTGTACTTCAAGAATTTGAATCAATCATGGAGTCTTAGTGTTTATCACTGCTCTCACTCTCGTTTATCACCTACCACTTTCCTGCTGCTTTTTTTTTACCTGTAATACATCATCCTGTACCGTAATAATCTATAAACTACCTTAAAGTTTATTTTGTATGTCACTTCTTATATTTATAATAACCTCAAGGAATTCTCACAGAGGTTGTGCAAACCCGCCTAACCGCTGGATCTAAAAGGAGGAGACTACTGTGTTTATTCTTGACTAGGTAGACAAGCGACATCATTCATATGCATTGTGCATTCGAGTACAACGAGCATGGCTTTTGAGTACCATATCAAGATGTTTGACCATATACAAGAGGTACGATACACTAATGTGCTTGGCAGTTTCCACAAATAAAAAGATGTCTTTTCCATTCACGTGATAATCTATGGAAATTCAGAGCATTATGAGTAGCAGTATCTCATGGGAAATCAATGAAATATCTCAACTCTTTGTATTGCCTTTCAATCAATTATGATAACTGCAATTGTCTACAATAATGAGGAACATCAGGGTTATAACTAAGAGATTCAAATGCCTCCAAAAAATTAACAAAACTTGAGATCCCAAAATCCTGACGTGTTCTCCAGCGCAATTACACCGTCTGAGACTGAAAATCAAAGTTAATGGGAGCAACACCATCAGTAAAAGCTTAATAATACATGAATGTTAAAGGTCAACAACCATGACCAATGCTTGAAAAACTTTGATATTGGAGCAAATATCGAAGTTATAAGTGATAATATGAGTTGATAATTTTACAAGCATACCTTCGAAGATGTTATCCAATTGCCATCAATCCATTCCTGATGTAGCCTTAGTTGAGAATGATGAAATTTTAGCACCTCGTCATTTTTACTGAAATAAACCAGGTAGCTTGACTTTGCAAGAATCTTTTTAACGGATCCGACCCACCATCCATCATTATACAAAGCATCAACTTTGTCAAGTTTCTCGAACGGATTAACCACGACCATCTCTGGTGGTTGAGGCCTTATCTGAAAAACATCAACCTCTTCTCTCAAGGGCTCTTTCCCATCTTCAGCTTTCAGTTTATCATATTCTACAAGGCATTTGTCCGTTCCTCTGTATTCAATAAGTTTTGCAAGAAACCAAGAATCTTCAAATCCTTCTTCGATACTGCTAACCTCTACTGGAGTTCCAATGCTGATATATTGCTTGTCGAATCCGTTTTTAGGTCTCACGTTCCGATCACATGAAACTTTCTGCAAATCCAAATAAAAACTTAAAACACATATTCACATAAAGAAGAATGGTATATGAGAAGTTTTCTTAGAGTTCATCATAAATGGAAATCTCACAGAACCTTTGCCCTCTTGATCTCTCCTCCTTTCAGTGGTAGCTGCCAGGTCCCGTTAACCCAGACTTTATGCAGACGAAGACCCTGCCTTCCAATCCGTATCTTTTCTCCTGATTCCTTAAAAAAGATACCAATTCTTCCATCGTGCATACTCTCTATTACATGACCTGCCCACCAGCCATCATTGTAAAATGCATCAACCTTGTTCCCAACAGCAAAATCTATATCCTCCTCACTTGGTGGTGGTGGCCTAATGTGCAGAAAGTCGATTTCTTCTTTCAAAGGCTCTATGCCATCTTCTTCTCTCAAGTCTCGGTACTCAACAAGGTACTTGTCTTCGCCAATGGGTTCAATGACTTTAGCTACAAACCAACATCCCTTGAAACCTTCCTCATCGCTACTAACCTCAACAAGTGTCCCAGTGGAAAACATTTCTTTCGCAACTGCTCTAGCAGTTTCCGGATCCACTAGTGATAAAAGAGACTGCATTTTACAACTGTCACAATTAGTGTACATTCTGATATCGCGGTAACGTAATCAAAGCATGACTCTTCAATAGACTCAACACAAGAGAGAAGGTTTTTCAAGCACTAATTTTAGCACAATAGCAAGTGTGATTGCAATACACAGAAGTCAGAACACAAAAGAAAAAAAAAAACAGATCTTACCTCTTCGTCTTCTGTGTCGTCTCCTTTGTCTTCTTCTGATTCCTCCTCTTCCGGTTCATCTAGTGGCGGCTTCCATGCGCCATTTACCCATTCCCTGTGTAATCGTAATTGATCTTTGCTATAACGAATCTGTTCCCTGGTACCCCTAAAGAAAACACTGAATTGCCCATCACCCAGAACCTCCGTCACATCTCCTTCCCACCAGCCGTCGTTGTGAAACGCGTCGACCACTTCCCCCACCGCGAAATCCTTCTTCTTCTCCCTCTCAGACATGGGCGGAGCCGGAGGACGAAGCTGAGCCATGTCGACAACCTCTCTCAGCCGTTTCTGCCCTTCTTTGTCGAAGAACAGCGTCGTGTACTCCACCTGGACTTTGCCGGAATTCTTATCTGAGGATGAGGTGGTGACCACCGATCCCGCGTACCACGAGCCGCGGAATTCAACCTCGTCGGAGCTGATCTCCACGGCGGAGCCAGGTTTTAGGTAAGAAGGCAGACGATTTCGCTTTGCTCTCGGAGTAATGGATTTCTTGGGAGCTTTCTTCTTCTGGTTCGCCGGAGACGAAACCCCAAGAGATTGGCGACGCCGCAAAGATTTTGCCTGCGAGTTTCTCGAAGATGAATCGCGAGAAAGAAATTGGCGGGAAGAATGCATGCTTAAGCTTGTGAGGATGAAAGGAGCCAGCTCTTTTTAGGGTTTTGGAGGGTTTTGATTTCGGGAATCAAAACAATTTAAAGAAGCTTTTCAGTTTGTGATCAAAAGAGAGAGAGAATCCAGATTTTTACGCCAACAATCCGATGAAAATATTTCTTTCCCATTAAAGATCCGTGGTAAAATATTGTGTTATAATGGGCTAATTACAAGTTGTAGCCCAAAATTACCACCAAATTTATTTTTAAACTTTAAACTTTTTTTGTTACCTAAATATTTGGGACTGATTAAAATCACAAAGACTATCTATCATCTACATGAATTGAATCGACATCTGTAGCTAAACTGCTTGTCTGCTTTATCAGAAGACTACTTCAGACTCAGAGAGAGTCTTCTTGAAGATGAAGGTCGCACACCAATACATCGAGATCAGGGGCCTCTTCTGCGACTCACAGTTCCTTGGTGAGCTCAAGGTCTTTGATCATGGTGATGTTTTCAAGAGCTGCTCCACTATAGGTCGGCTGCACAATCAAGTTGTTAACTGTAATGCTAGTTCGACGGCTTCGGACTCGTACAACAACCCACTACTCTTCACTGAGCTTACCAATCACTATGATATCTAAAATCAGACGAGGCCAAGAGACAGACAAGGAAAGGGGAGAGAGACGTACAAATTTCTGAAATTTATTTTGGGCTAAACATACGCATAAGACCATACGAGATGCAAAATCTTAATAGAGTAAGTCGAAAATGTAGAATACATGTAAAGGCGGATATAGTGAACCTCTTAAAGTTTACAAAATATTGGAAAACAATCAGTCAAAAAAAACATGGTGTCGTTTGGGCAATCTTCTTTGTACACTGTCTTCTTAGCTCTCCCTAAACCCTTTCTTCTTTTCAGACAAGGGTGAAGGCAGATTGTACCGTGGATTGAAACCGTGATGCGATTGTCTGTGAGGCAAACTGCTGAAATTGTTTCTTTGCATCTGCCCACCCAAATCGTGAACACCGATTAGAGTATGATCTATGGCTGATTTGATTCTTAACAAAATCAGGGCAATGGTGGAAAAATTAATATTACCTTTCTTGCACTTTGTGAAGCCGATAATATTAGCCACGTTGAGGGACAAGCAAACGCCGACAACAAGCAGATAGTCGGCCTGAAACCTTATCAGAGAAAATATCCCAAGGATAAGCCACGCAGCTGCCTGAAGAACGGGAAAAGATAAAACGCGATTCAGCTGCGTATACAATCGGAAAAAAGACAGGCAGCACAACAAATTCCCAAGTTTGTGATGTTTACTATAGACACCAAACCCATTGCTACTATCTCATGGCTAGTTCTTACTCCTAATCATACAATTAAGTTTTAGGTAAACAGTTTTTAAGTGATAAGCATACGTTATTAATGTAGTCTTAGATAGGAACTACTCACTGCAAGGTAAAGCGTCCACCAGAAAAGCCATGAGTCTTTCTTGTTCATCCGAGCCAAGGACTGATATAGAAAAACGAACGATATATATGAGTATTCAAAAAGTCAGAAATGTAAAAACGACGCAGCATTTCTAGACAAATGAACATTATAACCTATTGAATCAAGTATAAAAATGAAGCAAAACAAAATCTAAGAGCCTAACCTCCTGGTCAAGAGACTCAAATTTCCACACACTTTCTCCCAAGTCATTGATCTCGTTCCACCACCTCAAACCAACCAGTATACGCCCACTCACATTCTTAACGACCCAGAAGTCAAGGGCAGCAAGAAGAACAGTCACTACAAAGATTATGACAAAGCTGTTGAAGAAGAGAGCGGAGAGAATGTAAAACGCCAACGCAGCACCCTGGCCAAAGAAAACAGGAACAAACTTGTTACCATCGTCCAGTACCTAACCATTTCTTCGACACACTTACAAACGGCCAAACATTTATACTCTACTGATACCTTGAAGAGAACATGGAAGAGACATGTCTTTGGGTTTGCATAGTTTTCAACTGGTGGCTGCATCCAAAGAATAAAATTTTCCGTAAGCCTAAGTTATGAGAAAATTCACAGCTGTAGAAGTTCCCAAGTGTGATAGATAACGATTTAGGAGTTCATGCACCAATTTCCACTATAGTTACCAGAAAAGTAGCTAATAATATAACAAAATTACAGAAACGACTTTTCTCGCAATGCATTGTGGCAAGAAGACAAACTATTCAGGATCAAAACGTTTCTAACCTAGCGCATGCGTATGTAGCTCAAACCTTCCAACTTCTAATGTATACATTACCTTCTCCGGAATTTCTCAGCGACCAAAACGAAGAACACAGATCTAATACAATAACTTCCAGATCGAACCACTAATCGAGGCTAATCAAGAATCAGATATGTAATCGAACTCAGAAATTAACAGGAATCAAAAGGAAAATGAGGCGTATTGAAAGCAGCGAGACAGCTAATTTCACCTGGTTAGGATCCATCTTTCGAAGTATTTCAAAAGGGATCAATCCGGAGCCGATCAGAAGAAACAAAAAACCTTTCTGATATGGAAAATACCGATCTTCCCTAAGAGAGACAGAATTTTCCGAGAAATTTTTCTGTACCAGATCTTCAAACTCTTGCGCGTGTTTGCTACGTGATTTCTTCTCCTTTTTTTGTAAATCTTTTTAATTCTAAATTAGCCCAGAGACCCAAGTGTGGTTCTACTATGGCCCATTTGGCCCAACAAAAAACAATAATTACGATTTCACCACAAAAACTTACGTTGCGGTCAGAATCATCCACTATCCACAACAAGGCAAAAGAGGAGTGCGTTATGAAAGAAGAGGACGACAATGGCTTGTAAATATGTGACCATGAAATGGCGAGAGGCTGAGATAATTGTCTTATCCAAAAAATTAGAATTAATGATCGGAAGCAACAAGATGATGGGGCCTCACGAACCATTCACAGACTTCAAATAAGACTTTTTTCTTCAGTTGCTCAGAGAGTGAACCAACCATGGCAAAGATGATGATGCTGCAACAGAGCCAGCCTTCATTCTCTCTCCTTACTTCTTCTCTCTCTGACTTTAATGGCGCTAAGCTCCATTTACAAGTCCAGGTCATTTTTCTTTCTTTGTTGTGACGATAGTTGTGATCAATTTTCGGATGCGTTTTTTCTTTTTTTCTTCTGCGTATCTGATGGATCAAAATCTGTTTCTAAATTCCATATATTTAATATTCATTTCACATAATCTGTTCATCACATTTCAAAATTTATCCTTTTTATGGGGTTTATGCTCCTTGACTTATTGAGCAATGGATCAATTTGTCTAGATTAAGAAATGTGTGTCTAAAAGTCTTGGTGTGGTTTTGGTTACAGCTCTCATTTTGTAATTGAGTAAGAGTATAGTCTTCTTTTTACATAATTGTGAATGTTTTGGGTGTGGTGCTGGTTTAAGTTATATGAATACTTCCTCAGGATTTCCATTTGTTTCTAGAATGATTTGTTGCGGTGAAGCTCTAGCTTCAGATTTATCAGTAGACTTGGATTTTCTTACGGATTTGGATTTTCTGTTGAAATTTCAGTACAAGAGGAAGGTTTATCAGCCAAAAGGAGCACTCTATGTTTCAGCATCGAGTGAAAAGAAGATTCTGATAATGGGTGGCACTCGATTCATCGGTGTGTTCTTGTCCAGGCTCCTTGTCAAAGAAGGACATCAGGTTCTCCTTATCTCTCCCATTACCGATCAAATTGTCTTTTTAGCTAAAATTTTAGTTTTCCTCACTCATTGGCTAATGGTTGCTTTTGCAGGTTACATTGTTCACGAGGGGTAAATCTCCTATTGCCAAACAATTGCCTGGTGAATCTGACCAAGACTTTGCTGATTTTTCTTCCAAGGTATTACGCATCTCTTGTAAAACGACTAGTATGCGCACTCAAATATACTACATGGTTTTGGATTCTGATAATAGTGAATGGTTTTTCTTGGTCGTTGCTAGATTCTTCACTTGAAAGGAGACAGAAAGGACTATGATTTTGTGAAATCAAGTCTTTCAGCAGAAGGTTTCGATGTTGTTTATGATATCAACGGTAACAAGAAGTCTCTCTGTTGTTATTGTAAATATGAAAATATGCTGTCTTTTGCCTCCTGACAACCAAGATTTGGTATGTTTTATGCTCTGTTTTTTTCTCAGGAAGGGAGGCTGAAGAAGTTGAACCCATAATAGATGCACTTCCTAAACTAGAGCAGTAAGTTATACACGACATCTACATAGCTTTTCTGTTTGATTGACAGCTCTCACGAAACAGCCTTCGAAATTGTGATATGTGGTTAATGTTATAGGTACATCTACTGTTCTTCAGCTGGAGTTTATCTGAAATCTGATATCTTGCCACACTGTGAGGTACGTTAATATATCTTATTCTTAAGCCTGGAATATCAAGGCTTGTAAGCTCTGTGGATTTTCCATATAAATAATATGATTATGTGATTGGTCATTTGATGTCACTCAGAAGTGTAGTACTCGAGCCCATTGTAATCACTTTTTATTTGGGACATAACTGATGCAGGTCGATGCAGTTGACCCGAAGAGCAGGCACAAGGGGAAGCTGGAGACTGAGAGCTTACTGCAATCAAAAGGTGTAAACTGGACTTCTATACGCCCTGTCTACATCTACGGTCCATTGAACTACAACCCCGTCGAAGAATGGTTCTTTCACCGTCTAAAAGCCGGTCGCCCAATCCCAGTTCCAAACTCAGGGATCCAGATCTCACAACTCGGTCACGTTAAGGTCACACACCTACTTTCTCTGATATTCTTGAGCTCGCTTTCTTGTTCAGAGAACACATTATGTTTTAGGGGACTACTAACTTAAGCTTAACATCTTTCATTCCTCTCTGATCCCCCTTCAAGAGTAATGATCTTTAGCATCATATGATTCTGTAATTTCAGGACTTGGCAACAGCCTTTCTCGCCGTGCTTGGTAACGAGAAAGCCAGCAGGGAGATATTCAACATCTCAGGAGAGAAATACGTCACCTTTGATGGGTTAGCAAGAGCTTGTGCAAAGGTACATTCTTGTCTATTGTCTTATCGATCCAAAACGTTTCAAGTACATTTCGATGTGGTCTGTTTGAGATAGATATTCATACGCTGAACCTTTTTTGGATCATTGCTTGAGTACGGGTTGTGAGTGATGTAAACTTGTGATGTTTTCAACTCTTTCAGGCTGGTGGGTTTCCAGAGCCAGAAATTGTTCACTACAACCCTAAAGAGTTCGACTTTGGGAAGAAGAAGGCATTCCCTTTCCGTGACCAGGTATAAACTCCAACATCCGAATGATTCAGGCTGCAACGTCAAAGAATCCATTTTCTTAAAAGTTGTGGTTTTATTTATGTATGCTCTTGCAGCATTTCTTTGCATCGGTGGAGAAAGCAAAGCATGTCCTGGGATGGAAACCAGAGTTCGACTTAGTGGAGGGTCTCACTGACTCGTACAACCTTGATTTCGGTCGCGGAACTTTCCGGAAAGAGGCAGATTTCACCACTGACGACATGATCCTAAGCAAGAAACTTGTTCTTCAATCCTAAGAACTGCTCATATATAGAAACATTCTTGGCTTGTATGATTGTGTGTTCTCTCTCACTGAAGAAGATTCTCAAGTTTATTGTCGTGTCAAGTGTATTTTGGTTCGGATTTCTTTCAACTTTTCTAAAAAGAGACGGCCTGGCTCTTGAATGTTACTTAGGAGCCTAAGAAAGGAGAGAGACTGTGTGTTTACATACAATACTTTTTACTCTCGAAAGAAACCGAACTAAAATAACCGAACAAGATCTGAACCAAACCAAATTTTATTTATGGTTTCATCAATTCGGTATTTATGGTTTCATCAATTCGGTATCCCCTAATGGTCCGAAACTAGGCTAGATATTTAAATAGTGAGTGATAAAGACACATTATGGACGTACGTTACAAACTCAGTCACATGACATGCAACACATAGGTCGACTCTCAATATATGTTCTCCAATCTCCATATATATGTGGATGAGAATATGATATTTCATCTAAGAGTACCCACTCGTCAATATTATTAATTAAGTTTTCCAGAGAACTTTAAAAGTCACCCATATTGTTTACGGACTTTAAGTTTTCTCACCGAATCAATCAAGAAGACGCAGTAATGCAAACTTAATATAAGACGCATGCATTATCAAATTATTTGCAAATTTTTTTTTTTGTTACCGCAGTGCAACTGCTATTACTAATACAGCCATTAAATTGTTACAACGCGAGAAAACAGTCACTATAAAACTCTATGTGATAACAATGACCGGAAAACTCTAGATACAATAGTAAGGGGTCATGGTGTATATGGCAAGTAGAGGCTTGGCCAACTGCAAGTCTTAATCTTGTGGAAGAATCTCACAGAATTATTTTGCAATTTGATTCCAAAGAATATTCTACCAGGGTACGATTAGTCTTTCTTGTTTTGTCAGCAACGGAACGATTAGTTAAATTAGTCCTAGCTCCATAGTATATATGTCGGTACGGCTTACTTTGTCTTCTTCGAGCATGTCGGTACGTCAAAATGTTTACTTTTAGATTAAAACTTTTTTTAAGATTTATAAAGCTCAATAGTATTCTGTATTCATGTTACATGTGCTTCTATTCTTTCCTACAAGAAGCTAGGTGTTAATGGTTTTCCGGTCATACTATTATATAGTTCTTTTGTATTATCAATTTTAGATAGCATTGTTCTTCGAACTGTTTTAATATATTCACAAAAACAAATGGATCACCAAACTTTGGATTAGTCTCTGTAAAACAGAAGCTATTAAAAAAAAAATTAAAAGTAAACAAACACAACATAATAGTAGGTCGGTCATAGGTCGGACAAAATTACAACCAATCAATGCTTCTTCGGTGGGCTCCATTTTAGCCACGTGGCACTGTCACAGCCTTGTATGTATTAAATTAGGAAAGACGCTTCAACCAATCACAAGATTTCCTTCTATATTTACTTCCATAAGTTCTATTGTGGTGCCTGGTGGTGCTCACTTTCTGTCTAAGTGGACCCTACATCACCATTTTAGGTCATCACAAATTTGTCACAAGTCTCTTGACTCTCTTCAGATGAGTAACACAACACGTGTCTTACTGTTTCGCCATGTCACAATTTAATCGAATGGTCCCAATCTTTCATACGAAAGCTCAGCCGTTGGATATAGCGATTAAGCCTACAGTCGTCAAATCAAAAATATCTCCTTTAAGTTCTCCCATTGGATCCTACTAGATCTCTGGATAATTAACTAACTATAATCACGGCCTAAACCCAATAAAGTAAAAGTTTATAAAAGCCAACCTTTGGTTTCTCACTCAACAATCACTCATCAACTTAAGCCTCAAGGTATCACAAAGAAAAAGCTTCTCTCTCTCTCTCTCTCGGACAAGATGACACCTGAGATCAACAGCTACGGAGGGAAGAAGAGAGCATACGTAACGTTTCTCGCCGGGAACGGAGACTACGTGAAAGGAGTGGTGGGTCTCGCAAAAGGGCTAAGGAAATCTAAGAGCAAGTACCCATTAGTGGTTGCTGTGTTACCGGACGTACCGGTGGATCACCAGAGACAGTTGTTGGAGCAGGGCTGTGTCGTAAAGGAGATCCAGCCGGTTTATCCACCGGAGAACCAAACTCAGTTCGCCATGGCTTACTACGTCCTCAACTACTCCAAGCTCCGTATTTGGAAGGTATATAACAAATCTACGATAGTGTCTACGATCTAGAGACTAGAGTAACAATGAAAAAAATAATTAGAAAGAACATATTTTCATTATGTATACTAATCCTGCAGTTTTTTAAAACGATTGTCACCTTACTTTTCACAAATATAGCTAAGGCTACCAACAACAATTTTTTTTGGGTTACTTGTCTTTAGGCTAAATCTCTATTTATTTTCTTAAGTTCTTATGCTCGAAGAAAACTATATAATATAAATATATATCTTGAATCAGTTGGTAGAGTACAGCAAGATGATATACTTAGACGGTGACATACAAGTGTTTGACAACATCGATCACTTGTTCGATCTTCCCGACGGCAATTTCTACGCCGTTAAAGACTGTTTCTGCGAGAAGACATGGAGCCATACGCCTCAGTACAAGATTGGCTATTGCCAACAGTGCCCGGGAAAGGTGACGTGGCCTGAGCCGGAGCTTGGTCCTAAGCCATCGTTGTACTTCAATGCCGGCATGTTCGTCTACGAGCCAAGCCTCTCAACATATTACAACCTATTGGAGACTCTCAAAGTTGTCTCTCCCACACCTTTTGCTGAACAGGTAAAACAAAATCCAACACATATTATATGATTCTAGGTATATAAGACTACCTCAATACTCAAGTCTTTGTACCTTTAATCTATAATTGCCCCAAGATGGAGCTAGATAAATTTTTATTACAAATTGATAAACGTATCTAACGAGTGTTCATGGCCTATTATGCATATTCCAAGTAGGCACGGCCTTTATCCTCAAAGCTACATGTATATGTTGTCCATTCTAAGATTAAATTGATTTATGTGTGTTTATAGGATTTCTTGAACATGTACTTCAAAGATATATACAAGCCGATTCCACCAATATATAATATTGTCTTGGCCATGCTCTGGAGACATCCAGAGAACATAGAGCTTGATGAAGCCAAGGTGGTTCATTACTGCGCAGCTGGTTCTAAGCCTTGGAGGTATAAGATCTAATGTACCTGTTCATTTTTAAAACGTTAAGAAAAAAAGGAAAAAAAAAGACTTCAAAAATTTGATAATATTGCTTCTGTTTTGTATCAGGTTCACAGGCCAAGAAGAGAACATGGAGAGAGAAGACATCAAGATACTTGTAGAGAAGTGGTGGGACATCTACAACGACGAGTCCCTTGATTACAAGAACATTAATGTGCATTGCGGACAAGAAGAAGAAGATGTTCACAGGAAACATCAAACCACCCTTCCACAGTTCCTTACTGATTTGTCTGAAGCTGTTGTGCTTCAATGTGCCAAAGCTCCATCCGCGGCCTAGACCACCATCTGATGGCTGGCTAGGTTATTGTTAATTCTATCTAGTTGCTTAAATCTGAAACTAATGATGTTCAATTAGGAATTTCTTATATCATATATTATGTTTTGTTATATTTTATACTGAATCTAGATGAGTTTTAATCCTTAACCCCTGTTTTTACTGTATATGTTTGTTAAGGACTTCTCTCCAATACATTCTTCAAATAGACAAATAGTATAATCTGGTGTTCTTTTTTTTTTTTTTCCGAAACACATAATCTGGTGTACAGTTTCAGCATTGATAAATTAACCCATATTGCAACCAGATTAATCCCAAAAATTATGAATAATCCAGATACTTTAGTTATTTAATATATTTCAAAATTGTCAACCCCGCAATCGTGAAACTAGGTTTTTAATGGCCATCCTTAGACTTTTTAATGGTAAAAATTCTAAAATTTTATAATCTTCAGGGCTTGAACTAGGTTTCAAATGACCCCGTTATCAAACAAACAAAATCAACTATAAACTGAAATCGATGTGGAAAGACTTGAATCCTATATAGTTCTCAACTTAATAATGCATGCATCATTTTTTCTCTAAATTTACACTAGAATGTTTTGTTTCAAAAACACCAACCCCCAGGATTCCTTCGTAATCAGAAACCCTTGCTGGATCCTGATCGGATGAAATGTAAAGATTAGAAAATGTACGAACCAAACCGCAGTCTTAGTAAAAGCCACTAAACCTCTAGAATAAAAGGATTTCAAACATACATTTGACACTACAACTTGAAAACAGATTAAAGCCAAATTTCAATTTCATCATCTATTATATAAAGAGTGAGTGAAGTCTCACAAGTGTGACACCTAAGCATATTTTTTTTTGCCACATCAGCTCTTAATTTGTTTTTTAAAATTAAAAAAATATATAGTTAAAAATGAATTTAATAATAGAATTTCAAAAGTGATATGAATGTAAATTTTCCCTTCTTCATTTATTGTTCGTTCTTCACAAAAAAAAATTCTAAACAATTTGTTCGCTCTTCACATTTCATAATATATCATCAATATTCTTTCATCTCTTCCTCATTCATGTTGTCATCTTGATGTGCTCACTGGTAGAATTGGTTTCCTAACTTTGATCGTTAATATAGATCCACTATCCGATTACACTTGGTTTCACAAAAAAAAATGTAAAAACCTCTTCTAAAACTTACAAAATTTTGGGTTGAGTCTAGAATTTATAGTTTTACTATAAAATGTCTAATATCAAGTTGAAAATACCAAAAAAAGCTAATTATTGAAACTAAATTAAAAAGCAAAAAATATATATAAAAAAATCCACGCGTATGCGTGGATATTCTCCTAGTATATACTAAAAGATAAGTCATGGGTATACAATAACATGTTTCCACATCACTTCTTTCAATTAAAGTTTTCCAAAAATTCTATCAATTGTTTTTAGAAAAGTATCACCATCATCATCATCATCAATTAATCACCATCATCATCAACATATATATGTTTCTCTAAATTCATATCTTTCAATTATTATCCAAGATAAACTATGGTTAATTGTTTCAAACTAAAATAGGATCCAAGTTTCACATCATCTAATTTCCTTAATCATTTTATTTAAATGATAGAAAATAAAGATAAATTTTATATTTATATATATAAAAAACTGTTAGATTTAGTAAATAATATATTAGTAATGAAACAATGGATTATAAATATATATCCAAAACTTATGAATTATTAATCCTTAAAACTAGTAATATATAGATTTAGTTTATAGTTCCATTTGGTAAGTTCTTCATTTTCCTACAAAATTGACTCAATTATTTTGGAACACTAATTAACTAACAAATCAAGACATCAACTGGTAAGCTTACAACTATTTATACATGTTCATTTCAGAGTCTATCCACACAAAATTTTCGGATTTAAAAATATGAAATTCCCTTGCCGTGCTTTTCTCATGACCATTCTTGCTCTCTACATTCTTATCCCTCACATTGACGCAATTGAAGTTGATGGACCGACGCAAGAACTGATAAATAGTATTTGCATTGAGAGCGAGGATTACGATTTTTGCAACAAAATCATCCGCAAGAACTTGAAGACACCAACGACTAATCTCAAAGATCTCACCTATCTCATATTCCTTATTTCTATTGAATATGCGAGTGATACTTATATTTTCATCGGTAACATCATGCGTCAACGTCCTGGCCCTGAGGAGTGGAATCATCTCGACACTTGTCTAGCGGTTTACAATCAAGAAACCAATATTTTCCTAAATGTACGAACTGAATTTTTTCTGGACGAATACGACCGTATGATTAAAGATATTTTGTCCACAACCAATATCTTGAGAAGATGTAGGACCGATTTTCCGATTCCTCCTAACAAGAATAATCCGCTGATTGAGAAGAACAGAGTGATGAAAATCTTGACCACCATGTCTGCTGTTTCGGGATATATGGTCATAAATGGAGATGCTTCTTTGCTTAGTTCAGTTGTAACCAATCTTGATGTTTTCCAATGATTACTTACATTAAGTAAACTATTAATCAGCAATTTGTAACAAATAATATTATGAAAAAATAATAAAAATAACAAAAGAAGCGTATAATGATTATATATTATCGTGCCAAAAATTATAAACTATAATTTATAAATTATAAATCATACAGATGTTTATGAATTCTCATCTCAAATCTAATTACCAGTGCGTATAATGATTTCTATACGATAGTATATGTGTCTTTTTACTTTTTAGTTTTTACTCAGGATTCTTAATATGTTTCTCTCGATAATATGTCTTTTAATTTTATTCATTTATCTTAGACCAAACCTAACTTTTGGATAAACCATCATTTAAAGCTTTATGAACTTAGATACCATATAAAACTTTTGACTATTGACTAATTCATTCATATGCCTAATATTCGAAGATAAAGATAGCACTGCTCTCATTCTCGAATCACCAGACTCACAACTTACAAACAAACCAACCAAAAAAACATGAAAATGTATCGCATTCTATTGATATTTTCGGCGATAACACTCGTTTGCTCCGTCGCAGAAGCTCGTCTCGATGAGAAAACTCAACAAACAGTCAACGAAATCTGCAAACAGACAATCGACACCAAATTCTGCAGAGCGGTCTTTGTCAAGAACTTGATGACTTCTTCCCCAAGCAAGAACGATCTCTTAAACGTGACAGTGACAGAAGCCGAAAGATTCTCGGGCAACACGTGTTTCTTCATCAGCACACTCCTTAGAAATGCTGGAGACGAGAGGGCCGATCTGCAAATGTGCGCCGAAGCTTACGCCATTGTGGACACGGCCTTCACGAAAGCTTTATCTTTCTTTAGTCAAGGACTCTACGACAAGATCCTCAATCTCGAAGAGAACGTTTCTAACGGGATTGGTATCTGTAAGACAGATTTTAGTGTGTCCGGTTATGAGATCAATCCGTTGATTGAGAAAAACAGAGAGACGATGGTCTTAATGGCCATGGAAAAGATCGTTGGTCATATGGCTTCTTCATAATCTGATTGTTGAAACTTCATAATCGAAGCAAATATTTTCAGAGATATATTCTAATTAATAATGCGTTCATGAATCTTCTTTATTGCAATTTTCGATCGGAATATAAGTTCATGTTGGTGACGCTGTGGTTGAATCGAATTTGAGAAATGATAATTAATTGCTTGGGATAATTATACATTCAGCTTTTGGCAAAAGTGTTTTACCTTATTTTGCAATTTTCTTTAAAAGTTTGTATTCCTTCCTTTCTTTGTGGATCATATCTTCAAAATCTAAATCAACCGGTCAACTATCTTAAATATGCTACCAAAAAAACTATCATGTGAGATTCATGGGTCAGACCCCTATGCGGAACCAAAGAAATAAAAACCATCCATATTAGTCCAAAGATAATGTTTGTTGAGTTTTCAATTAAAGCACCTCCATCAATTAGGATATAAGGAATATAGATAATTACTAATTTTCTAGTTTTCCTTATTGGTACGATATTCCTTTTTACCTAATTAGGTTTTAAGAGTTAGCATAGAGTTATACAAATACATCGACATGATGATAAGTGATATTTGTAGTGTCAATCGAATGACACAATTTAAAAATCCATAATTGGCCTCAAAATGGTATAAACATTACACACTCTGAAAATGGATAACCAATTTTTAGTTCCAGTAACTTATACAGCAAGAAAGTTGTATGATGAAGAAGCATGCATCAACGTTTTAAGGTGATATAGGTCTCGTGGAACCATTGCCATTGCCTGTTGCTCCTCCTCCTCCTCCTCCTCCGACCGGCAATCTTGATTCAATATCTTCATTAATATCCCTTTTGACTATGTGTTGTTGTTTCACCTTCTTTTGGTTCTCTTCTCCTTCTTCTTTTCCATTCATCTCTCTGTCTTTTCCCCACAAAACGCCATACAGCCCAATAACCACAAGTGCTGATCCTACAAACCTAAATACACATATATAATCTAATTCATCATCTCCCGGTTTTTTAATATAATGTGTGTCTAGAGAGAGAGAGAGAGAGAGAGAGCATATATAGAAACATACGTGCCGGTGTAGAGCTTCTCTTCAAGAAAAGTCCAGCTGAAAACGGCGACGACTACGAGCAGTAAAGGGCTGAAAACAGAGACGTAGAGAGGACCTTTCAACTGTATCGCCCATGACATCAAGCAGAACGCTAACGCAGACGCCACCACTCCCTGCATAAGCCGTTTTTTTAAATTAATATCATATGCCTAGCTATATGTATATTAGCCTACTTGTTATTACACTAATTAATATACAAGTATATATGGACTTACGGCATAAAGGGCGGATATGAGGCGGATGGGAGAGGTGAGAGACCAATCAGAGAGTTTGTGATCGGAGATCAAAGCGATGGCTCCACATTGAATACTTCCCATCAAACACATTAGAAGTGTGCTCGTGTATGGTGCTGCAAATGTTTCACTCATTTTCGTCTGTAACCAAAATAATATTTTCTAAATTAATAAACCATAAATAAAATCAGTAATGTTTTGAGTATTGACTAAACTACAGTAGTAAATTTTAACCTTATAAACCAACATAAAAGTGTTGATCAGCTTAGGTTTTGGTTCGAATATTTCGGTTTTTTGTTTATTGTGTTTTCGGGGTTTAAATTAATAGTAATCAAAACTACTACTGAATTATCCTGCCCCGTTTGTTATCGTTTTGATATTTTACTAATATATCATTAAAAATTATAGAAAGTTTGGTTCGGGTTTCCACTGCAATTACATTCAGTTTTGATTTTCAACATATAGAAAAAATAAAACTATTAATTCTACTTTTTTCTTGCGATAATTAAATTAGAAGTTAGTTCGGTTTTCGGATCTATTATTTCGGTTGGGTTCAAATTGGTTTTCCGGATAGAACAAGGATGCAAACTTATTATATAATTAAGTTACCTGAATAATGAACCAAACAGCCCAAGAAACGGCAGCAGCCATGATTAGGAAAGGTCCTAAGAAGAAGTTAGAACCGGTAGAATCGGGACCGTGGCTCGTGATGTTTTGAGCATAGCCCCAATGGATTTTGGACTCTCCAATTCCAATGGTGTGACCATGGTAGAAAGAGAGAACCATGGCTCCAGCCACACATACTACTGTCCCTATCACTTTGGCTTGTCCTGATGCCTTTTTGATCCCTACGGCTTCTTGTCTGAAAATTTTGTTTTGTGTTTAGAATGAAAAACGAGTTTATTTAGTACTCTTTCAACAAAATAAATAAATAAAGAGTACTGTAGTCTGATGAAACTTTTTTTTCTTTTTGGCTAAAAGGTATTAGTCTGATGAAACTTATTAAGAGTTAGTTTCATAGATGATATATAGAACCTGAAGATTGCGGCAAGGATGAAAGTAACAGCCGGTAAGAGATTAGTTAAGGCACAAGCAATGGTAGGAGATGAATTCTGAAGTCCTATGAAGTATAGCACTTGGTTTCCGGTCGCACTGCACAATAAATCAAGATAAGTAGCGCTATAAGAATTCTGTTTTTTTCTTCAAACAATTAATGTTTGTTCTGTTATGAATATTAGAGATGTGCTTATAAAATGAGACTGCAGTTAGTAGGTAAAGCGTATGTATGTAAATACCCTGTAATGGAGCAGAAGAACACTTGGACAAGAACCCTTAGCGTGATCTTCGGTCTTGTCTTACTGCACAAGAAACCATGTATGAAATTTATGTTTTCATTAGTCACTAATTATTACTCCAGTTAATTCATTTAACATCGAATGTGATCATGGAAACCGAGTTTTTAATCGCAAAAGCCCACCCGAATCAACCACTACTCGAAAACAAAATAGGAGAGGAAAATAAAAAAAGATATAATTTATTTTTTCCATCTTTAACCAAAACATATGTTTTTCAATCCAGTAAAAAATAATTCAGAAAACAATCAATTTCACTTCACAATTTTAGATGAAAAATATGGAAATAGGTAGGTATACGAGAATATCAAGTGAGTGGAGAGAGCCAGTTAAACGTCGTCGTACGTATAAGCACGTGTCCTAGCAATTTCAGGTGGCAGACGACGACGCTTAACTCTCCTGGCATCATATTTTTGTTTGTCTGTTTGTGTTTCCGTTTAAGAAAGAAACGTGACGCGTGCGTTGTGTGAGATTGCATCACATTTCTCATTTCTCTCTCTCGAAAACCGTAAAATAATGATGACGTAAGTACGTAAAATTCGACAAACGACTATGATGATTGACGATAATAGATGACCAGAGAGAGAGACTCTTAAAATAGCGGTAATTTCAATAGCAAAACAAAGAAGAAAAAACTAGCGCCAACATTATTTATTATTCCACTTTTAACCCTTTATTTTCTTGTTACAAAAAAAAGAAACCTCCTTCTTACAAAAATAAAAACATTATTATTCCACTTCAAAGAGTGGCTACCCGGAAATTGGGTGGTTGCTTTTACCTCTTTGTCTTCACAATTTCCGTAATAATTAGTCATCAAGAAATCTATAGCTTACCAGTTACCATAATATGCGTATTTATATCGTAATCTCCGGACACTAAAGCAGTGCCGTGCTAATCTCTTCTTCTTAATTAATTATTGTTTTACTCATTCTATTTTAATCTTCCGAATGGAAATTAATTAGTTGCCAAACTTTTAAAGTTTAAATGTTGAAAACTAATTAGTAAAATCCATTCAAACTAGCAACAATATAAATTAAGTTATTCATGTACAAAATCTTGACCAGACAAAATTTTGTTTTTGTCAAGTAAGCGATACCAGTTCTATGTTAATAAATTAAAAGCTTTCTTTTGTGAAGCCTTTGGAAAGTTCTTAATTTAGTTGCTGATAGATAAAATTCAATAGGTAAAAGTAAAACCGTTCTACAAAGCCAAAAGACCATTTTTATCGCTGAATACACATTTAAATTTTTTAAATAATTTTTTACTATTAAAAATGAATCCCACATACAAGAAACGTTTCTTATAGTTCCCAATTAAGAAACGTTACTTGCATATTATAATAGGTCCCACATATTTTGCATTATTTTTAATACTAAAAAAAACTAAGAAACTCTTAAAAAATGTGCGATAATCATGCTCTTAATAAATAAAATGGGTTTCTTATTATTTAGTTACTATAGAGTTAGTAATATACACACCCACCCATTTTGACGTTCTATATTGATGTACGATGTCATCGTTTAGTACTTTCTCAGTCAGAACGTAAGACGAACTTGAAAATTTAAACACTTTCAGATATTAACTTCACCCAAAACATTGAAAACAATACTAAAATATTAATTTACCTATTGAAGAAATTGACATTGAAAGTTTAGACTAAATTAAAGAAACATATAAGAAAAACCTTAAATAATTCGAACCTCTCAAAAAACGCAATAGAAACTAAACATAATTTATAACAATGTTATTCAAGAAACAGCACAAATTCCACATTTCATTGATGCAATTGTGTTAATCATGCATGTCCAAAATCGTTAGTTGATCAAAATAATCAAATCATATGTATATATATATATATATATATTAATTCGTATGATTTTGTACCGTTCAATAAAATATGCGACCGGAAAAGTGGCGATAGTGGCAAAGATCTGGCGATAAGCGACAAGAATGAGAGGCTTCATGCCGGAATCCATAGCCATCTTGGACGTAATGTTCATGCCTGCGTAGCCGATTTGCACCAACACCATCGCCAAGGACGGCAACAAATCTCTTGTTATAACCATCGATTTTCTCTTTTAATTTATACTTCCAAAATTTATATATGTTTATATATCTCTATATATGTTTCTCTCACTATTACTAATCAATAATAATAGTTCGAGAAACCAAGTTAAAAAAAAAAAGAGAGAGGTGAGTTTTCTTTTCTATAACATTTACTAGTTCCTTTAAATCTATCTTTCTTTCGACTCGACCTTATATTTATAGCCGAAGGTATATATAAATATAATTTATGTGTCGAGAGAGAGAGAGAGAGATTTAAACAGAAAGGTGAGAAACGGTTCGAGAATGAAGTTTGCTTGTAACACTTGTGCTCTCTTTTAGCCTTTTAGGGCATATATAGGAACACGAAACAATAGGTGATATGTATCATTTGATATTTACGGAAATAAATTTATTTATTCTTCTTGTTGATTACTGATATAATCCAAACAATTTTTGTCTTTTTAAACCTTTTTTTTTGTTTCCATTTGTTCATGGGTTTGGTGGAACTTGTGAATGAATGGAAGTAGCACGCATGAATGTCTTTCGCAAGTTTCAAGCAATAAATTTGCCTTTGCTAAAACTCGTTTCTGCAATATTAAATCAAGGATTTGGTTTATCGCTGGAATTACTATATCAATCATCTTAAGTAGTTTGAATTGATATTCATCAAAACACTCTTACATATTTTTTATTTTTAAAATGTGCTTCAAACCTTTCTTATATGTTTATGTATATTGGGCCATTTATTTGGGCTTAAAGGTCATTAACTTATACTTACAAACCTTTCCGTAGGATTCACTTCATAGGGCAAGAATGCCATTACATTTGGTAAAAATGCTATACACAAAAGTTAATTCATAATTATGGAAAAGGATTTCAAATATAAAAATAATAACAAAGAAAAAACATAGATTTTTTTTCATTTATTAAATAACAAATAAAAAATATAAAAAATATAAAAAATTGCGAAAAATCATAAATACAACTGCAACATATAATCTATAACATGAATATACAAAAAATATCCAAAAAAGAACATATACAACGGACGTTAATTTTCTATTCAAAAAATATCCACTCAAATTATATGTCGAAATTTGAGAAAAGTTATAGATACTTCACAATTAGCTGGATTTGAGTGGTTAAATACGAAATGAATTTCAGACTAAAGAGTAATGATTGTGATTAATGCTCCATTTGCATGAGTCACACAAGCTAGCGATGGCGTCCAAATGATTTTTCGTGTCTCTTAGTTGGCGTCTAACTAATGTAAATTTGTTCAATCTTATCTTTTCGTTGTTACGTAAAAAGAGAAACTTTCGGTTGTTAGTTTTGGTCCTTTTGGATATATACGGATGCATATGCATATTTACGTAATGATTAGCATCTCAATGCAAATTCTGTTCATTCTATCATGTACACTTCGTCGTGGCCCGCGGGCTAAATATTTCAATTAGCTGCTACTATTAGTTAGTTGATATAAATGCTGTAACACTCATAAGTGGATACGTATTGATGATAAATTGATAGCATTGCATGGAGTCTAAAATTGTAATAATCTGTTATTTAATCGGAGTAAACCTATATCTTTATTTTTTGAGCCAAAACACGAAATTAAAAAAAAAAAGATTACACAAGTTATTTTGTTTGCTTTCTTATATATATATATAATATATATTATATATATATATATATATATTAAAGCATCACTATATCTAATCAACAAATAACTCAAGCAATAACAAACCTGGCAGAATACGAATACTATAATTTATGCGAGGGATATTCAAAGTTAAATTTATTTAAAAACTGTATGCAAATTACTGCAGTTGTTAGTATATAATTAAAAAAAAAATTGAAAATTTTTTTCCCAACGGTGGGAATTGGACTCGATGATCTTAAGTAGCCTGAGTTTATGTGTCAGTGTCAATCACCAACCTACAATGTCTTTTGGCTTTGTTTTAAATTAAATAAAGGATCACACTAATAAAGCTTACAAAAGATAAAGAAGGCCCACACTAAGGCTTACCATTTAAAGCTCTCTTCACACTATCGATCACTCTCTTCTTCTTCTAATGGCTACTCTCTCTCTTCACTCTCATGTCTTCTTCCTCTTTAGTCTCCTTCCGGTTATCCTCAATCTCAAGCAACACTTGGCGGTGGCCGGAGTATGCCAATATCCGCCAGTGATCTTTAACTTCGGAGATTCCAACTCTGACACCGGTGGACTCGTGGCCGGACTCGGCTATGCCATTGGTCTCCCCAACGGCCGTTCATTTTTCCGGCGATCTACCGGCCGATTGTCCGACGGACGACTCATCATCGATTTCCTCTGTAAGTCAACTTCTCTTCGCTCTTTTTTTTGAGATCAGAGGTAGTGGAATCAAAAATTATGTCATATCCACCGTCCGATGAAACGGGTTATATCAAAATCGACGGCTAAAAACTGCGCTCAAGGATCAATGTCGGTGATCGCGTTGCTTGAGGACACAAAACGACACAACTCGTTGAAATGATGAAATCTAATAAAAGACAAATGGGTCCCATTTTACAACATGGAAGATGTCATTAGGAAATGGGTCCCACTCTTTCAGATTTGGCGCGTGATCTCCACCCGTTGGAGATTGCGTGACTAAAGAGTCAAGAGCGCGGAGCGCCGTGCGTGATGATTTTTTCTTTGTCCGTATCACATGTTAATATTTGTTTTTTTTGTTTTTTTTTTCCACATGTTAACTGTTACATCACGAGTAAATGTTTGTTTTTCGACCCAAAAAAAAAATATTTTGTTTATAACGATCTTAACGTTTTCCACTAGCAAATTCGGTCTGCTTTACTTATTTTGAATCTGGCTTTGATTCTATCTAAATCTCGATGTTTAGTGAAGTTAAAGTGCGACTTCTATATCCAACTTTAGTATTTAATGAGTATAATGTTCCCATCAATGCAAAATATTTGCAGGCCAGAGTTTGAATACAAGTCTATTAAACCCATACTTAGACTCATTGGTTGGATCAAAGTTCCAAAACGGCGCTAATTTCGCCATCGTTGGATCTACCACTCTTCCTAGATATGTCCCGTTCGTTCTCAACATTCAGCTCATGCAGTTCCTTCATTTCAAATCCCGAGCACTCGAGCTTGCCTCTACTTCAGGTACTTCTATCTGATTCTGATCCCAAGCAAACTCTTTATCTATCAATGTAGTGTCATCCCTTAGATTGTAATATGCATTGTGTTTTTGCAGATCCTTTGAAAGAGATGATGATAAGTGATAGTGGATTCAGAAACGCATTGTACATGATCGATATAGGACAGAATGATATTGCGGATTCATTTTCCAAAGGCCTTTCTTACACTCAGGTCGTCAAGCTGATTCCTAACGTTATTTCCGAGATCAGAAGTGCCATAAAGGTCAGAACTTTGTTTTTTTAATGATATCTTTATGTTATTTGAAATGCCAATGTTGTTGGTGTACAATCAACAACAAAAATTGGTCAAGATTTTTAATTTCGAGGGTTATATTGAAAATTAAACACTAAGTAAACTATTTTTTTTTATAAAAACAGTGAAGTACTAAATAGAAAAGCAAAGGCTAACAAAACATAGTTAGCAACTTAACTTATAAGCAAACGCATGAACAACCAAAAAAAAATAAAATCGAATCCCTAGTCATTTCTCTGTTTTTTTGTGTGTCAAAGTTCGTATTTTAAGAACGGTGAAACTTTCAGTTCAATTAAGTATGTGTTGATTTTGGTAGAAATCTGAAAATTGTGTTAAAATTCTCCAATTCTCCAGACATTGTATGATGAGGGAGGGAGGAAATTTTGGGTTCACAACACAGGACCTTTAGGTTGTCTGCCTCAGAAACTTTCAATGGTTCAGAGCAAAGCTTTCGATAAGCACGGTTGCCTTGCGAGTTATAACTCAGCCGCAAAACTGTTCAACGAAGGATTGGATCATACGTGTCGGGAGCTGAGGACCGAGCTGAGAAATGCCGACATAGTCTATGTCGACATATATGCCATCAAGTATGATCTCATCGCAAACTCCACCAACTACGGTAAGCTTTTAAGCATATTAGTAAACGCCATTAGTGTCTAGTTACGAGGTATATGTCATCGTCGTTCATTCATTTATGTGATTTGGTTAAGCATCACAACTTATCCACTAGGTCGATGTGGTTGGGCTATATTTCAATTCATCCTGATTTTTTTTTTTTTTTTTTTTTGGGTGTGTCTTGCATCACACGCGATTAGGAGTTTTCCGTCCGGTTTAATTGATATATATCAAACCGATCGAAAACCGGATTAGACACTCGTAGACATTAGTTATGGAATGATTCTCTTTCCTACGGATGTAACGTATCCATGAACCATGGTTAATTGGTTATGGTACTTATTTAGGAATCCAATTGTTTTTTTTTTGTGCAGGCTTTGAGAAACCGCTAATGGCGTGTTGCGGATACGGAGGGCCTCCTTACAACTACAACGTGAACATAACGTGTGGACACGGTGGCTCTAACGCCTGCGAGGAAGGGTCTCGGTTTATTAGCTGGGACGGAATACATTACACCGAGACGGCTAACGCCATTGTAGCCATGAAAGTATTGTCGATGCAATACTCCACGCCACCTACTCCGTTTCATTTCTTCTGCGGCCGCTGAGATTAATTTTACATGTTTTTTTTTGACAATGTGTTTGTTTTGTTCCGAATATGATGAAACATTCTTTTGTTCATCAGATTTTACAAATCTAATTGTAACCAATTTTTTTGCACTACATAAACAGAAAGTGGAAAGTAAAAGAAGAAGACAGACACTTTTATTAATCTGCGGTCTCGAGAAAAGGATAATCAGTGTAGCCCACGACAGGATCTGTAGAAGTATAGAAACTTGTTCTGTCGTATTTATTCAGTGGCGCTTCGAGTTGGAATCTTCTGGGCAAATCTGGATTAGCCAAGAACAGTCTTCCGTACGCCACAAGATCGGTTCTGCCTTCCGCCACCGCCTTGTTCCCGTCTTCTCTCGTATAACCTCCGGCGACGATGAACGTTCCCTCGAACGCATTTCTCATCGGCGTGAGCGATTCCGTGCACTCGAAAGCCTCACTGGCTGTTTTCATCCTCGGCTCAACCATGTGGCAGTAGAGTATCTCGAATCTATTCAGAGACTCTGCCATGTAAATCCCCAACTTTTGTGGTTCTGAATCTCCAGATTCCATGTAATTGGCGAACGGTGAGAGTCTGATTCCGACTCGATCAGCTCCGATTTCGTTCGTCACCGCTTCGATTACTTCCAGTGTGAATCTGCATCGATTCTCTAGCGACCCGCCGTATTCGTCGGTTCGATCGTTGACCGTGTCTTTCATAAACTGGTCGATCAAGTACCCGTGCGCACCATGGATCTCTACTCCGTCGAATCCTGGAAAAATAAAAGTAAAAGGTGAAACCTTTTTAAGAACATTGATAAGTTTCATGGCTTTTCAGACTCAAAGCCAACAACTTTGGATTTGATTGACTCAATTTAAATTCTGGGTTTTTGAATTTGTACCAGCTTCGATTGCGTTTCTTGCAGCGAGACGAAAATCATTAACAACGGTGGAGATTTCGTCGGTCCTTAGCCGTCTCGGAGGTGTATACTCATTCGATGAATCGGCGGCGAGAGGCTTATCCGTAGATGAGATCGGAGCTTCCCCATTTGGCTGACAATCTACTAAATATAAGAGACCTTGATTCACAAGAAACATGGTCAACGATTTCAGAATCTTAAAGCGTTTTGTTTTGAAACCTCGATGAGAAACGCGACCAGCGTGCCAAAGCTGGCAGAGGAAAAAGCCGCCTTTAGAGTGAACGGCGTTAACGATGGGCTTCCATGCTTCTACTTGTTCTTTCCTCCATATCCCTGGCATGTTTTGATACCTTTCAGAGACAAAAAGTCAAAATCAGAACAGAGCCAAAAAGACTTAAACTTTTCTGGTAAATAAAGACTTAAACTTTTCTGGTAAATAAAGAGTTCTAAAAAGACTTTACGCCATGGCGGTTTCGGAAATTCCGGTGGCTTCGCTGATGAGAAGACCTCCCGGCGTTGCTCTCTGAGAGTAATACAAGGCGGCGTGAGGTTGTGGAACGTTACCGTATGATCTCATTCTCGCCATCGGCGCCATAACTATTCTGGAATTTAGAGTCAGAGTTTTCGTAAAGACACAAGAGAAATTTATGTGATTAACGCTGATTCCGTGTCTGGATGAGATTAAGAGAACCTGTGAGAAAGATTGAAGCTTCTCATTGAGAATGGTTTGAGAAGGGGAATTGTCTGTTTGGTTGCAGAGAAAGATTCGTTCTCCATCGATTTATCTTTCAAGAACTCCAGACTAATGTTATCACCGGTAACGTGAAACAGAGGAACTTTGAAGAGATACGGAGAGATGGATCTGTTAAGAAGTCAAAGTATAGACTCAAGTCTCTCATTTTACAAAATTCCATCTAAAAGAAGATTAGGTTCTGATGTGATGTATACTTCTACGGTTGTACCAAATTCCATTTTTAAAAAAAAGACTTCTTATTGTTTTAGTTCTCTCTGTTTGAGAATAGGTCCAAAAGTCTGTCAAGAAAAATACATTCAGCTTTAAGCTAGACTAATACTCCATAATAACCATACTGAACAATCTGTAATCGGAAAGATCTGTTAGTTGCTACATGTGTGTTTCTCCTTCAGTCATCTGCCCATGGGACACCGTGTTTGGCCCAGAGGTAGTATGCTCCAACTGGCCCTCGTCCACCAAATTCATACAACTCTGGAGCTGTGTGGTGCTTGTCTATCTCTTCCAGGATCGGACTCAGAATGTTCCATGCTGCTGCAACCTCATCGCTTCTCATGAACAGATGGTTGTCCCCATCAATTACATCATGAATCAGGTGTTCATATGAATCTGGTACTTCGGTGCTATACCTACGGTTTTTTTACCCAACAACGCAAATAAAATAAGGCGCAATAGTTCGATTTTCAAAATGTCTAGGAACATAGATGAGAAAAGCATAGCTTGCCTGTCTTTATAGAGCAGGTTAAGTTCAGACGCGTCTAGCTGATGACCTAAACCAGGAACCTTGTTGTTGATTTTCACTAGGATGGCCTCCTCAGGTTCGTCACGTAAGATAAGCTCATTTGTCCCCAAATCTATGTTTATTCCAATATTTTCTCGGTATATGTTTCCCGGAACATGTCGGAATTGCACACGGATCTCCACTCTGTCAACATTAAAGCACAACCAGAAATTGCTATGTCAGCTGATACATACCCTGGATGTTTCCATGACCAGTAATAATTATTCTAACCTGTGTTTATTGAGACCAGTGCCGACTCTCAAGAGGAAAGGTACACCATCCCAACGTGCATTATCAATAAACAAGGCTGCAGCACAATATGTAGGGTCTACACCATTCAAGGTCACACCGTTCTTCTCTCGAGAACTGGATTTATACTGGCCAAGGATGGCATCACCCGGGTCTAGTTTACGAATTGACCTCAAAACCTTCACCTGAAGAAGCAGATTTGTCACCAATTTTAGTTTATTTGACAGCAAAAGAGTAGACTAGTTATACATATCATAAGACCATTTTGTTCCTCGTTTGTGCAGGTTAACCTTTTCATTCCGGATATCTTCACCATCAAGACTTATCGGAGGTTCCATGGCAAGTAATGCGATTGTTTGAAGTATATGGCTATGAACTATGTCCCGTATTATCCCATATCCATCGGAATACCTTAGAAAAAGCAGTAGGAATTAATATAACTGATGCCATTTCATTGTCTAAGCATGTATAATCAACACAATTTATTTTCACATGCAAAGAAATGCTGGAAATAGAACTACTGTGCCTTACTTTTCTGTTTCCGCAATTGATTCTGATAGAATAACCTGCAAATATTGTTTTTAGACAGAGTGAACAACTCAGAAGGTGGAAGAGGAAAGTTTCAGGCACTATACAGAAAATAAAGGATACAAGGAAAGACACTACCTGTACATTGCGTATATAAGTTCTATTCCATAGTGGTTCAAAAACCAGATTAGAAAACCTTAACACTGTCAGATTTTCAATAAGATTTCTTCCTAACATGTGATCTATCCTGCAATGGGAGTACACATAATGTCGGAAACTGCGAGGAAAGATGAACTCGGGGAGCTGTGCATGTAGAAAGCAATTAGAATTGAAAGCAGGACCTGTAGATCTGCTTCTCTTCGAACTTAGAGAGAAGTGAGTTTGTCAACTGATGAGACGAATTTGAGTTAAAACCAAAAGGTTTCTCAACTATTATACGAGTCCAGCCTCGTGGCGCCTGAGCTTTATCTCCAATGGTGCATGCCACATCCACGAGAGCTTCTTGAGGCACTGAGAGGTAAAATATCCTATTCGCTTTTGAATCTCCCTGAAGAATGAAGCTTTTTATGTATTAATTTATCTTCCTTGTCTGTCCAGATGTTTTAAACACACAAAGAGGACGGACTAATTCTTGGCAAAAAATGTAACTTAGAATAAAAAATGCATTATAAAGTTTTCTTAGGAACCTCAATTTGTTTCATTCTCTCGTGAAGTCGGGACATCCCGTCTCTGTTGTCATAACCTCCATTGATATAGTATGTTTTACTAAGAAATGCATCCATCTTGTCCCCGCAATTTTCCCTGAACATTAAGCATCATTCTTTAGCTATCACATATAAAATTTAACAAAGTAATGGCAGGAAAAAGAAATATCTATATACTGATGATCAACACGGCAAGTCAGAGTTGACGCAATGATGGATCTGAGATCTTCATCTGTAAGGTTCTTTCTTGAAAACCCAAATATACCAACATCCTGTGACAATGATGACCAATCAAAAAAAAAAAAAACTATAAAACCGCTTCTGCTGATTATTTTGTTCATGAGCACAAAATCTATACCTCAGGAAGATAGCCGCTATAATACAAGGCAAACAGTGCAGGGAAAATCTTTCGTCTTGCCAGTTCACCAGTAGCTCCTACCACAGCAATGCAAAGTGAGGCTCCTCTTTGAACATCTGAGAGACCGTCCAAGAATTGTTTTGACACAGATGGTAAATCTCCAACTGTGTGAGAACCATCAACCAAATCAGTTTCTAGGAAATTTTCTTCTGGTCGTAGATCTGCTGCTGCTCCAGTTTCTTCAGAAAAACCTGCATCACATATTACCTCAGCACGTGCTAAACAAGGATCAAAGGAAGAGAAGATATCAAAGGAAGATAAACCTTGTTTGTCGCTGAGGAAAGTGTGCTCTGAGCGTGTTTTAAGCTCGGTTAAAGGCTTATGTTTCCTGTGGCTGCCTTGTCTAAGATTCAGGCTTCTAAGAAACCATAGTTTCAACCCACAAAATCTCCTGCAAAGATTCGAGCCTCCTCCGTTGAGCACAAGACTCTCATTTCTGGAGGAACTATAGTAGTCTCTCGACGAAACCTACGCAAACATAAAGAAAATTAGAGTTTCAACAACTGAAACAGAGATCAAGTTCCTTTTACAATCAATTCGTGGAATCAATAATACTAGGCTCAGATTCAGAGCTATGGAACACCATTTGAGATCTCTGGTGAGGCCGTCAGGAAATTTTAGTATAAACTAAGGAAAGTATAAATATCTTTCCTTTTATCAATCTACTGATCTTTTGATAAAGTGAGAACACGCAAGAAAACTTAAGAAGATAGAGAGAGTACATGTGCTTACCGGAAAATTAGAAAACGAGGAGGCGAGGTGGCAAGAGCAGGCGGAGGACGAAAGAGCCGTCGCTGATTGAGAGAAGGGAAGCAAGCAATTGGAAAGAGACATAGTAGCTGGGAGTTTGAGATGTGTCTTTCACTCGTTGTGAAGTTGGTTCGGTTTGGTTCCTCTGGGATTATAGCTAACATGTCAAAGACTTAGAAGCTGGCCTTTAAGTGGAAGACGAGTGCAAGTTTAAGTTCTCTGCTTCTGGCTGCTGCTGATTCACACCTCCATGAATGGTTCGGTTCGCACTTTAAAGAAACGTTTTTGGTTCTATAATTGGTTTTTGGTTTGCTGGTCTAGCAGATAGACGTGGTGGGGTTCGGCTAAACCAAACTTTCGTGAGGAAGAAGATCAGAGACTTTGCTAGTTTCTTGCTATATGCTACTTTCTTCTTCTTCTTCAGAAACATGTGTTGCATTTGCATACCAGATCGAGCTGAACAATTCCCGATTATGCAACGTAAGAAAGAACTCCTCCAATTTCCATATGGTATCAATTAGCTGTTGATGAAGTCCATATTTTTGTTAAAATAGTCCCACATCAATAAGCCCAGTAAATAAAAAGCCCATTATTGACCCAGTGGGCTTTTTTATATGTCTTCAGTTGGCAATTGGTGCTAATAAGATGTGTTCATCCGTAAAAAACAAAAAAACAAAAAATACATTTTCAGTAAAGTGTTGAACCTAAATTGGAAATGGCGGATTCAACGATGGCGATATCCGATCTTCCACGGGATACGTTAGAGGATGTGCTTTCTAGGGTGCCGTTGAAATCTCTGAGATCATTGCGATTGACTAGCAAAAAGTTGAACACTTTATTGAAAGATGAGAGATTTACAAAGAAGTACGTCACTGATCAAGCAAAAGCGGCAGCGGAGAAGGATGAGTTTCTGGCGATCATGGTTATGGATTTTAGGGTTCATTTAACGAGCGTCAATATCGACGACAGTGGTTGTACATGTATAAATCGACAAGCTGAACTCATTAGCCCAAACAATGCAAACCCACGAGTCGATATATCTAGAGTTTTTCACTGCGAGGGTTTATTGCTATGCGTCACCAAAGGCATCAAGTCGAAGCTTGTGGTTTGGGACCCTTATAGTGGTCAAACAAGGTGGATCGACCAACCCAGAAGAACTTCTTACCACAATTATGTCCTGCATGCTCTCGGGTACGAGACGGAGAAAAAGGACAAGTCTTTTTGTTGCCACAAAATCTTGAGATTTCTGGATGTTTACGACCTTAACAAAAGGAGACGAGTCCGTGAGTTTGAGATTTACAATTTCAAGACTAGTTCATGGAAGGTTCTTCGTGTCCCTAACAACTTCTATGTAGATTCCAATCGGCGCGGCGTAACTCTCAAGGGCAACACTTACTGGTGTGGTCATCTCAACACATTTGTACCAGATTGGCGTCATATCTTGATCTGTTTTGATTTTACAAGAGAGAGATTTGGACCGCATATGCATCTGCCTTTTCAAGCTGATCGTCGAGATACTTTGGCTGTCTCTAGTGGCAGAGAAGAACAGCTTGCGGTGTTACTACACCGGAGGGAAGCATCGAGGCTGGAGATTTGGGTTACCTCTAAGATTGAACCTGAAGACGTGTCGTGGAACAAGTTGTTCTTAGAGATGGATACGGCATCACTCACTGGTTTTCAGTTTCCTTACAACACTGCGAGTTTCTTCATCGACCAGAAGAGAAGCGTTGCGGTGGTTTTTGATGAAGACAACCTTGCGCATAAGCATACCTCTCGCTACATAGCTCACGTCATTGGAAAGAATGGATGCGTCCAAAAACTGGATCTTGGCGAATGTACAGAAAGTTTCTGCTGGCTATTTGCTTGCTCTTATGTTCCAAGCTTAGTGCAAAAGGAGCAACCTGTACGACGAAGCAAAAGGAAAAGGAACCAGCTTGTTCATTAAACCAGTCCCATTAACAACGCCTAATCTATGTATTTACTGTTTTTGCTTTTTTTGGTCTATCTTTGATCAATAGTATATATCTTAACAACCCCTATGCTTTCTATACTCTGTTTCATCCTGATATTTCCAATGGATAGCGAATCAAATTACTGTATGTGAGAATTGAGATCTGGTTTGGCTCTCCCAGCATTTGTTTGGAAGCTCTCTTCAACACTGCTAGTCTACTAGTTAGCCGAAAGATAAAAGTATTATGCGTGATCCATTCAATCTCTGGCATGTTTCTTACAGAAATCAAATATTATGGGAGCAATCAACCAGCCTTCAATAGGATCGTTTGAGCAATAGGAAAATAGAGCAATACTCACAAACTATGGGAGCTTGTTCAGCCATTGATGAGAGTTCTCTCTGTGTTCTGCCTATTTTTATTTGCTGATCTTGTTATCAGCGCCCATGTTTAGCATTTCCTTGTCTAAGCTTAATAAGAACTGAAGATTTCCTCTTCAAGCAAATTTTGTAACATAGTTACTACCATTCTTTGTTGCTTGTACAGGGATTGAAGAGAATTTTGTCTTTCGTCCACTACAGAGAAAGTTTCAAGTCTAAACAAACGTTAGTCTCAGATTCCTCTTTCTCGTCCTTGAGCCATTCTTGTTGGATGCTGAAGAGCTTGCACTAGCTGCAATTTCTTTATTGTTGGCCTCTGCTTCATTCATGAAAATGAAATCCTCTGGCTGGAGCGAATGAAATTTATGAACCCTCGCTCTTTAATTTCTTTTTCCTGTCTCTTCTTCTCCATGGAGCTGATAATGTATTTCCGCATTTCCTTTGCATTACTAAGCAATGTGTACAACTTCTCCATCTCCTCTTCTTCTTCCCTCTCCATTTTCATCTTCTTTCTACATCTATCCATAGTTCCATACTTCCTTCCCCTTTGAAAGTGCTTCTCTTTAGCTACACAATTTCATCCTTCTCTCTCTCTCTCTCTCTCTCTCTCTCTCTCTCTCTCTCTCTCTCTCTCTCTCTCTCTCTCGTCTCTTACTTGGCTAAGTACACTGCAACAACATGATTATAGCTAACATGTCAACACTTAGAAGCTGGCATTAAGTGGAAGACGAGTGCAAGTTTAAGTTCTCTGGTTCTGGCTTCTGCTGATTCACGCCTCCATTAACGGTTCGCATTTTAGTCAACCGAGTAAATTAATTCTCGATATTGGTTGGTTATTAAACGTTTCTCTAAAGTTGTTGGTTCTATACTTCTATATTCAATTGGGTTTTGATTTGCTGGTCTAACTAAACATATAGACGGGTTCGGCTAAATCGAACTGTACCGGTTGGTTATTGAGAAAAGGGAATACAGTGGTTTAGGCGGGGGTTGGTAGGTTGACTTTAGCACCGCAACGTCAACGTCTCTTCTGGTTCCGAGTCGGCGTCTGCGTTTCTCTCTCTTGTTGTTGCCTGTTGGTGAGATCACCTTCCACCCAACTTCTTCGATCTTATCTTCTCGAAAGTTCTCACCTTTTTCTGCGAGAAAGACTTCTGTGATTTACGTGTCGAGAACGATCACTGTTTCCTTCTTACTGTCTCTGTTTCAGATTCTGGGTTTCCCTTTTTCTTAGGTTTCACGAGCTCGGCTTATAACTCTATGGCCAGGAAGAAGATCAGAGAGTATGACTCCAAGAGACTTCTCAAACAACACTTGAAGCGTCTCGCTAACATTGACCTGCAGATTCGCTCTGCTCAGGTCACCCTCACGAAATTCTAGCTTTGTTCTCATCGAATCTGCTTTGAATTATCCCTAAGTCACGGATTCAGTTCTGTAAATTCCATACCACAATTCAATTAGAATATGGTTTGGTAGATTACCAGTTGGGGTTTGCATGAAAATAAGAACTCTCCGAAGTGAATAGTGTCTGTCTGTTTGTGAATGTGACCAAGTGCTATACTGATAATCGGAAGATAGAGCAAGTGAGAATTTCGAAAGTTGGATTCTTCATATTTCTTCTAGTTATGATGTTGATGATTATTGGGGGATGGCTATTGATGATTACTAAGACTTCCATTTGATACCTCTCTTATCGATATTTAAAAATCAGCAAGAACGTTGAAGTTAAAAACCGATTTTTTTTGCACTAATACAGATGGGTAATTCGTTTACTGTGTGTACTTTTAGGTGACACAATCTACGGATTTCACTGAGTTGACCAACCAGGAGTCATGGCTATCGTCCACAAAGCTAGTTGTGAAGCCTGACATGCTATTTGGAAAACGTGGGAAAAGTGGCTTGGTAGCTCTAAAGCTGGATCTTGCTGAAGTTGCGGAGTTTGTCAAAGTCCGCCTCGGTACTGAGGTGACTCACCCGAGGCCAATAAATAGAGCAATGGGGCTAAATCTTTGTTGTATTATATCGATGTTTGATTTGTTATTTGCATCTGTTGCAGGTCGAGATGGGTGGCTGTAAAGCTCCTATCACTACGTTCATTGTGGAGCCCTTTGTGCCTCATGATCAAGAATACTATCTTTCTATAGTATCCGATAGGCTTGGCTGCACTATAAGCTTCTCTGAATGTGGCGGCATTGAAATAGAAGAGAATTGGGACAAAGTACTACCTTTTCTTGTTTTGGTTTTTTCCTTTTTTTTTATTCGTTATCTTTTTCGACTCTGTTTCTCACCTGAGAACTTGGTTTTCTGGTATCAACAGGTGAAGACTATATTTCTTCCTTCGGAAAAGCCAATGACGCTTGAAGTATGTGCTCCATTGATAGCAACTCTTCCTCTTGAGGTAAGTTTCTGTTCGAGTAAGCCAGTGACACCGTGCAACTATTTGTCTTAGAAAAGCTTAGATATCTGGTTTTGATGTGCATACTTTCTATGGTTTTTATATGGTCTTCTACTTTTCATGCCTATGCATACTCAAGCCCTGTTAGGCTATATTTAACTCTGCTCAGTACTACAGTCTATGCCATAAAAGTTATTACTTTAGGCTGTTTCAAACTATGGTAAGCCTGCTCTAACAAATGCTCCTATCCATTTCAGGTTCGAGCTAAAATCGGCAACTTCATAATGGGTGCGTTTTCTGTATTTCAAGGTATGGAGATATGTGATTAGGCCACTTCTTGACTTTCAAGCATTTGTGCAGATACCAAAATCTCTGATACGAGATCTCTTGAGGACATTGGCTTATTACCTATTTGTGTTTATCTTTGAAGATTTGGATTTCAGCTTTATGGAGATGAATCCTTTTACACTAGTTGATGGAGAGCCATACCCTCTGGATATGAGGGGGGAATTGGACGATACCGCTGCCTTCAAGAATTTCAACAAGTATGTCTAGCATTTCTCAGTTGAGAGATATCTCCAATCAATTTTTCTAGTGGGGACGCTCACTAAACTGATGAGTCGTATCATTCAGGTGGGGAGACATTGAATTCCCTCTACCATTTGGAAGGGTCCTAAGTCCAACGGAAAGCTTCATTCATGGTTTAGATGAAAAGGTTTTTACTGGGGCTGCTTGTTCTTAAAACACCACTTCTGTGACTTAGAAGAGAAAGTAATTTTACTGATCCACTCGTGTGTGTAATAACTTATTGCAGACAAGTGCTTCTTTGAAGTTCACTGTTCTGAATCCTAAAGGCCGCATTTGGACAATGGTTGCTGGAGGCGGTGCTAGCGTCATATATGCTGATACGGTGAGTTTGAATCCCTGAACTCAAGACTCAATGATGTTACTTAAGTTTAGAGTTGCAATATCAAAACTTAGAATGCCTGCTCCTTGAAATGAGCTAATTGTCATGGAATTAACTAATTTTTACTTTTAGATTATAGAATATAGTTTTTGTTATTTTATTGTCTTATTAGGAAAAACCAATCAACTTAGTGTGTTAGTTGGTGCTTCATGAGGCTAATATCTCATATCCTTACCATTTCAGAAAACTGTAAAACTTTTTCTTTAAAAAAGGGACTCGAAAAAATTTCTCACATTAATTTATTTTTGTTGTGGTTATCTGCTTTTGACAAGGTTGGGGATTTAGGTTATGCATCAGAGCTCGGTAACTACGCTGAGTATAGTGGAGCACCTAATGAGGAAGAAGTGTTACAATACGCAAGAGTTGTCATTGATGTGAGTCATGGCAAAGAACTTAGCTTTTGCCATTCACTGTTTTTCTCTATACGATTCTTGAGATTCACTGACAAAATGTTGGGGCTTTCTCAGTGTGCTACTGCTGATCCTGATGGGCGTAAACGGGCACTTCTAATTGGAGGAGGCATTGCAAATTTCACCGATGTGGCAGCTACCTTCAATGGTATCATCCGAGCCCTAAGAGAAAAGGTACCTTTTTTAACAACAGTTTGTACTGCAATTTGGTGGAGATGAGAGGATTGCCTAAGAATTGAATTAAGGCAATTTTGTATTTGTGTGCCACGAGCAGGAAACAAGGTTGAAAGCATCAAGAATGCACATTTACGTAAGGAGAGGTGGACCAAATTACCAGACCGGTTTGGCTAGAATGCGAGCTCTGGGAGATGAACTCGGTGTTCCTCTAGAGGTAACCAAACTACTTACGCAAAATTTGGAGATGTGTTAATAAGACTGTTACAATCTAGTACTATGAGAAATGGTGAAAACATTTTGGTGTTTAGCTCGAATAGTGAACTTCGTGGGGGTTGATGATTGCAGGTATATGGACCAGAAGCAACGATGACGGGAATATGCAAACGAGCCATTGACTGCATCATGTTGGCGGATACATAACCTACGTTGAGTCTAGAAATGCAAAACAAAAATTCGAAGCTGAAGATTGAGAGGAGTGTATGAGTGTGTTGATTCATGTTCTTCATCTCTCTATCCCTTTGAGAAAATGAAAAGCTCTTTGAAACCTTTTTCTTGTGTGGTTGTGAATTTAAAAAAATTCTTTTGCAAGTGTAACTGTAATCAAACGGCCAAAATCCTTGTTGCAAATGTACAATAAGATTTCAAAAGTGAACAATGATTTCATTTTTGTGTAAGCTTAAGAGCAATCACACAATTCCAGTTTCAAGACAAGCCCTTTTTTCATATACAAACATGTGAGTGTATATATTACATATCATATTTATCTATATAGATATAATTTCCCTCTCTATCATTTGTTCATTCAAATGCAAAACCGGAAGAAAAATAATTGAAGGAAAAAAATTCCCAAAAGCAAGAACAAGAAAATGCAGAAGAAGCAACAACTTTCAAAGACCAGCAAATATCTCTGTCTTCTAATGGTAATCTGATGATTATAGTCTCTTGCTCTGTGATCTTGAGACCGGTGTGCTTCTATCGGTATCCGAGTTCTCCTCTGGCGCTCTCCGCCCTCTCCGATCCTATAAATTGAATTCTTGCCTATGTTTATACAAATTCTGCATTCGTTTCTGTTCATAAGAAAAAAAAAGGTTATAAAGCAACACCAACCTCTCTTGGTATGGGATATTCCTCAGACTCAAGCATACGCACAACTTGGCTCATTTTAGGTCTCTTTTCAGAATCAGGATCAATGCATCTAAGTGCTGTAAGAAGAACACGTTTCAGTGCTCTCGTCGCTGGTCTAACCGCTATGTTTGGATCAATTACTTCTTCCAATCTCTTAGATCCCACCATCATCTTCAACCACTCAACTAGATTCACCTGCAAAAGAATATATCATATGAGTTTCAAAACTCATCAAAATATCAGATACATTCTTCTTTCAATAGTCTATCTTACCTCATTAGCAGGACGTGCATAATCCACAGGATCTCTTCCTGTTATTGCTTCTAGTACCAAAACACCAAAGCTGTACACATCACTCTTTTCATTCAAAAGTCCGGTATTCGCATATTCAGGAGCAACATACCTACAATATTCAAAAAAAAAAACCATGGCTCAGCAATTCATTTTGCTTTCTTTACTTGTTCTTGAAGCAAAGGTGCTTAAATACCCAAATGTTCCCATCACTCGAGTGGTCACATGGCTTTTCCCATCTCCAAGCAACTTGGCAAGCCCAAAATCAGAAATCTTTGCGTTGAATCTATCATCAATCAATATATTGCTTGACTTGATGTCTCTGTGCACTACTTTTGGCTCGATTGCCTCGTGTAGATACGCGAGCCTACACACGGAAAAACAAAAAACCATTTCTTTCAGCAAAACCAACGTGAAAACTTAAACACTGTAAATGGAAAGAAATGTTCTGCTTAATTACGCCTTGGATGTGCAGGTGAGAACTTTCATTCTAGCCTCCCAAGTAAGATATCCGTGCTGTCTCATTGCTCCATGAAGCCATTCTTCGAGGTTCCCATTGTTCATATACTCATAAACCAATATCCTAACAGCAAAAACCCATAAAATTTTGGATTCTTTTTCTCTTTGAATAAGACAAAAGATTCAATCTTTATACCTGTGTGTGCCTTCAATGCAGTATCCTAGAAGACGTACCAAGTTCTTGTGACGCACGTGACCTATAGCATCAACCTCTACTCTAAACTCTTTCTCAGCTTGTCCCCTACAAAATCAGCAACAAGAAAAAATTCAGAATAATCAACAAATCAAAAGAGAGAGAGAACCTTTCTCTGAGGACCATAACTCACAAGTGGTTCAGGATCTTCTTCACTGCGACATGAGCCCCATTAATCAACTCTCCTCTGTATACAACTCCATATCCTCCTTCACCAATCACGTTTTCCTTTGAGAATCTGTTTGTTGCTATTTCAAGATCTCTCAGAGTAAACCAATGACCCCAACCAAGGTGTGACTCAGGTAAACCGGAAAGAGGTGATGGTGACGGTGTTGCCATCTCATACAATGATGATGAAGACATGTTTGCAACACATAGAGAACCTTCTTCTCCTGAGCCAGATCGGCTACTACTTACACCGTTCTTTCTCTTCTTCTCCGTATCCAAATTAAGCAAGAATTTGTCAGATTCATAGCTGTTTTTGTCCTGAGGATCGAAGCTTGAGGCATGCTCAATTCTGACTTCCTTGATCTCTTTGGATACCGCAGGGGTTTGGATGATGGGAAGGCTTAAGGTTTTGGATATTCTTGATTTCTTTTTCCAAATGAGACAAAATGAAAGAACAGAGAGTATGGCTATGATGAACAGCGCAATGGCGATGACGGTTGCTTGCCAGATCTTAAGTCCAGACATTGTTCTTTCCTAATCTGCTTGATTCAAAAAATCATCAAAGCTTGATACAATCAGACCAGAGAAAGATAAAGTAAATAAATTTTGAGAAAGGAACTACAAGAAAAATGCTGTGGGATTGATGATGAAGAGACTCCAAGTTGATTGAGTGGTCCCATTATTATACAAAAAGGACCACTGTAGAGCTAAAATACCCCAAGAAGACAATAAGATAACAGAATGTAGCAATCATTACATGTTCACTATCTAATTAGAAGATGCATAAGACAAGCAATGATGATAGAAATACTGAGAATAAAGACAGAATAAGTGCCAAGGAAGATGAGAATTTAATGATTATTACCTCTATGAATGAAACTTGACAAGAGAGACTCTTCACAGAAAAAAAGACAATAGCTTTTAGATAGACCTGGAGAAACAGAGTTTTTTGGAAAGAATGTTGAACTTTTTTATGTGAAGAAGAAGAACAAGAAAATTTAAAAATAAATGAAAGAAAAAGGAGAAAACTTTTAAACGTGGGCAGTGAAATCTGGTGGGCAATGGAATAGGAGAAGGAAGAAGAGATGGAGTTATCAAGTGGTAGGTGATGAAAAAATTTCAGTCTTTCTCTTATTGAACATATATTTTTTTTTTTATTGTTCTTTAAATTATTTAGGTGGTGGAAAGAAAGAGAAACAAAGAAGCTTGCATTGCAAATTACATTTTATTACATCACATAAAACATCATCTGCATGTATGTATACCATACATATACATTACTATCCGATCTTTTACATTTCACGGGGAGGAAGAAAACTTTTAAAAAGAAACTTATAGAAGAAAGTATTGGTGATGATTTCAGTCAAAACATTAAAGGACTAATAAATCCGAAATTATGAATAATATCATTATATACAAATCTTACGTTATAACATCAATCTACAAGCAGAGCATCAAATTGGAGAATCTCCACATTTTTGCTCTTTCAATATATAAATATAATATATCCGTAGATAGAGAAACAGAGTTATAGGCTATAGTCTTCTAGAATAGCTTTGAGTTGTGAAACAATTACGAAAGAGGTTGCTTAATCTTTGTTCATCGTCGTCTACTTGAGAGAGAAAGTCCAACAAATTGAAAGCCTTCATTTGCAACATTCCATTTTAATCGTATTTTTTATTTGCAAATGCAGATCCCTCATACATTTGTGATCCAATGATAATCATTTGGTTTGGTTCGAAATTCGGTTTAAAAGCAAACTCGAAATGGACTGTACCTAAACATTTTAACAATATTTGGGCCATTTATAAACCCAAAATAGATATATTAGGCCCAAATAAGATTTTATCTAAATTTTAGAGCCACGAAATTCTCCCGCCTTCCGGTCCACAACATTTATTCAAATCTCTGTCTCTCTGTCTCCCTCTCAGCAGTAAATTAGCAATTGTGTGATTTGTGTTTCTTCAAACCTAAGATGGGAGAGAGAGGTGAACCGATTGAGTTCCGGCGTTTAATTCGTTCTTGGGTTGCTTTAAATTTTTGTGTTTCTAAGTGATAATATGTCTAACGTGTAAAGGTTGGTGTTTTACTGTTTTTGTGGCAGTTGATCTTTGGGCTGAGATAATTGAATCCGAGGAAGAAGGCGGAGATAGAGTCAAAGATATACCTAAGGTCGAAGTATACCAGAGAAGAAAGAAACTTGAGAAGTCCTCCGAAGCTGCAGATTTGTAATTTGCAAAACCTTCCCTGTGTTTTTCTGCTTCTGCTCAAATTTTGAAATGTTAATTTGCCTCTGTATCTGAGAAAATTTTATTCGTATTTGTATCTGAGAATTGGAGCCTGGTCGGTGAAAGGCACTCGTACTAGTTTGATCAATGCACCGAAGAGAGATAGCTGGACTCGTTCGCTTTCCACCAGGTTACATTCTGAGCATAACCCCCCAATTTTTCATTTTCTTCATCTGATTCTATGATTTTTTGCTTGTTATCTTATTCTTCTTTCTTCTTTTCTTAAGTTATGAAAAAAATGCACACCTCTTGTTTGTTGAAATGTCAAAGAAGTCTCACCACTCACCTAGTTTTTTTAGTAGACTAGCGGCTTGTATCTTACTCTTGGTGCTTGTACAGAGGGAGGGAGAGTATTGCGGTGGGAGCTTATGTGAACAATCAGCCTCAGGAGAAGCCAGCCAGGAGAAAAAAGCCCGCTATTCCAAAGGTAGGCTTAGTTGTATCTATGTTAATTAGTCTAGAGTTCTCTGAACAAATAATTTCCTGTCTCTAGATTCTCATTGTCACCTAGAAGATGGTCAAAGTGTGTTTTCTCCTTTCTTCTGACTCTAATTTTCTCTTGGGAGATGATATATAAGCATTATGTTTTCAAACTCCCAGGGAAAAGCTGTTAAAGCTCCTGACTTCAAGAAAGAGAAGGAATACTTTCATGAGGTTGATGCTTTTGAGCTTCTGGAAGAGAGTCCCTCTCCTAAGACCAAGAATTCTAGTACATGGACCGCCGGTGAACAAGTTGTTCCTGAGCTGCCACATCTGTCCACAAGATTAGAAAAATGGCTGATCTCGAAGAACTTGAATCGTCCTTGTGGTCCTTCGAGCACACTCTCTAAGATACTTGAATACTCAAACTCAACCACACGCCTGGAGCCAATATGTGATGATGATGCCTTTGATTCACTGGCACTAAGAACTCCAGAAAATTCTTCTTCTAGCAACACTTCAATTTTCCGACTCATCCAGAGCTGCGACGACGACTTAAATGCTGAAGATGTGCCTTTTAGAAAAATCAAGACGGAAGAAATCGACCTTGAAGATGAGCTGAAGCGACTATCTTTGACGTCTGATCTGATCTCCCCTCATCTAGATTTTGAGAAGTCATTTTGTGATCTATTGTCCGCCTGTGGACAGATGCAACCATCAAGCTTCATGGAAGCACTTTCTAAATTCTGGTATGAACCTAGAGATGATCTTCTATACTCTACCATTAGGTGTTTGTCTAGTGCTTTTTTGTGTTATTTTAGAAGTGTTCTGCATTTTGGCTGACTCTTTGGTAAACTCTGGTTGAGAAATGCGATATACTGTTCTTATCTCACTGTGCTTAATTTGAGCCGATTTAATTTGAATCTTGCAGTGAACCAGAAAGCATTGTCAAGATTGGTGAAGGTACATATGGGGAGGCTTTTCGGGCTGGTACTAGTGTCTGTAAAATTGTTCCTATTGATGGAGACTTCAGGGTTAATGGAGAAATACAGAAGGTATTTTTCTTAACTCACTTCTCTTTTCCTCCATGGTGAAATGTTCATTTTTAGCATGAAAGGAAATACTGGAGAGGCCAGTTAGTGCAAACTTAGTGAATTCTATCTAGACAAGAACACATCATTTATAATTTAGAGAAGTTAATCATCACCAGATCATTGCATTGATGGTGAAGGAAAGGCCTGCATTCTCTCATACACAGCTGTTATCCGAATGAGTTACGATAATGCCATTCAAATAATTACAGCGTATTAACGAGATAATACTCTACAATGACATCTTATTATATATACTTGTTGCAGAGAGCTGATGAACTGCTTGAGGAAGTGATACTCTCATGGACTCTTAATCAACTTAGAGAATGTGAGACTGAGGCTCAGAATTCGTGCCTGACGTTCATAAAAACTCAAGAGTACGTCTTCTCAGGAACTAAAATATAAACTGGAAATGTCTATTGGCTTTTATGTTGTAAATCTTCTACCAAACTTGTGAGCATTCTTGTTGACAAACCTGTGCTCCTAATGTTGTGCCAGTATAAAAGTATGCCAAGGTCCCTATGACCCTATACTGATAAAAGCATGGGAAGACTGGGATGCAAAACATGGATCTGAGAATGATCACCCAGATTTTCCGGAGAAACAAGTCAGATTCTCTTACTTCATTAGAATTTAAAAGGTCTGTTTATCTAGGATGCTGTTTAATCTGTAAAAATAATATTTATTTGCCGTGTGGTGTTTGATTCCAGTGTTATGTCATGTTTGTTCTGGAACATGGTGGCAAAGATCTTGAAAGCTTCGTGCTTTTGAACTTTGATGAAGCACGAAGCTTATTGGTTCAAGTAAGTAGTAGACTCTATTTCCTATAACAGAAAGTGAGTAAATGATTTTGTTTCCGGTTAATAGCATGTGTTTCATATAATAGGTCATGGCTGGCCTGGCAGTTGCTGAAGCTGCTTTTGAGTTCGAGCATCGTGACCTGCACTGGTGAGAACTGATTTTTGTTTAGTTGGTTTAGTTACTTTGTTTTGTCGCCTGATTTTTTTGTTTTTCATTTTTTTTCAGGGGAAACATTCTTCTGAGCCGTAATAACTCAAGTACTCAGCATTTTATTCTCGAGGGGAAACAAGTTTTCATCAAAACTTTTGGAATACAGATATCTATAATTGACTTTACTCTTTCAAGAATCAACACAGGTGAAAATTCTGGTTCTCATACTCTGATGTTATGTAAACCTTCTAATACTTAACTACCAGCTACTAATTTATGTGGTGCTAATGTGATCAGGTGAGAAGATACTCTTTCTGGACCTTACTTCTGATCCATACCTTTTTAAAGGACCAAAGGGAGATAAACAGGTAAAGAATTTAATGAACCTCCCAGTGATTTCAAGAGCTATGAAAATTAGATATTTATTCAAGCTTTAATAATGTCATATTGCAGTCGGAAACTTATAGAAAGATGAAGGCGGTTACTGAAGATTGCTGGGAAGGACAGTAAGTGTAACCTTTCCATGCCTGTTTAATTTTTACGCCGTTTATTTGGAAATTTCAGCAGATTAGAGTAGGACAACAAGCAAACTTCAGCATATTACTTCTCTCTAAACAGCATGAGAGATGAGACTATGATGATCATTGAGCGGCCAAATGAAGTGTGCTTAAATGATGATTTGCTAATTTTGATATTTGCCATGTTTTTGTTTCTTATTCATCTTAACAACAGCTTCGCTCAAACAAATGTTCTCTGGTTGATCTATCTCGTGGATCTCGTACTGACCAAGAAGTCATTCGTAAGTTTGCAGGACTCGTAGCTGATTATTAGCTGTCTAAACGTAGAAAAGCCCTATTGATAGTCCTTTCTTTTGTGCGTCTATGTTTTAGGAGCGGTCTTCAAAAGACGAAAGAGAATTACGGTCACTGAAGAAGCGGATGGAGAAGTATAAATCAGCTAAAGAGGCTGTGTCAGATCCTTTCTTCTCAGATATGTTGATTTTCCAAATATCATGAAGAATGTAATAAATCCTTAAGTGAGTCAGAGTAACCAGAATCTCTCTTTCCCTCTCTTGTAAATGCATTTGCCTAATCACTAAGATCAACAGTTATATTAGCTCTTGTTTTATGGTATTCCTTTTGAAGTTATTTATCAAGGAACTATTATCTATACCAATTTTGATTTTCATCTCTTCAAATGAATACAAGAACCAATGTTAAACCTTTTTGTTTGTGACAATAGTTTAATTGGTAGCTTTTGTCTATACACATGCTTTTGAACATACGTATTCTTTTTAGAATAAAGTATCACGATCTACCAATTCCACATGGGTTGTCCCTACTTGCATGAATAGATCTTATCTGAAAAAAAACACACATTTTTATTCTTGTGAGCAAAGAACAATATTCAAACGTGTAGAGGGTAAATGGAAATTTGCTTTCAAAACTAGGACGATTGATTAATCCATTAAACAGCTAACAGACTTTACTGTTCTCTGCTTTTTTCAATCTCTTTCCGCTTTGAAGATTTCTTTAAATCTTTGTGGGTTTTGCTGAGATAAGCAAAAGATGATCCCCTGTATTAATTAATTTCATGATCTTAATCTGCAGCACCGTTCTCTTCTTTTTTTCTCCTTTTTAGATAAGAGAAAAAAATACACCAATTTGCAGCACTAATCTCTTCCTTTCTCCCCTTTCTTGAAAACTTTGGAAAACTTTATGCATATGCTTATGTCTGAAACGGATCTGACAAAAATGGTTTTTTTCTTCTTTTTTCTTACAATTAGGCAAAAGCTTATGTCTTTGCACAAGATATAGAAAAGAAAAGAAAAGAAAACAGATGAGATAGGTCACTGGCCAAATCCAAAAGACTTCATAGCAAAGTAAACATCTTTTATCTTTATTTTTTCTTACTTAGTCACTTGATGTAAAGTACAGTCAGCTTCTTCCTTCTTTTTCTCCCCCAATTTCTCGAGAGAATCTCAAGCTTTTGTTTTCCTTTCTTAATCCCATTTTCTTCACACCATTATGTACTTATAAACCCAAGGAGTGAGAAGGAAAAAGAAAAAAAAATCAAGCTCAAGCTCTGATGGCGAAACAGAGCTACTTCTTCTTGTTTCTTTCTCTTGTCTCACTCTGTTCCTCAACAACTACTCATCATGATGTCATAAACCCACCAACGGTCTTCCCTACAAACCCTACAACTACACCGCCGGCTACTACATTTCCTCCGGTGACCATAACGCCGACAAATCCAGCCACAACAATTCCTGTTAATCCTCCAGTCACAACAGTTACTCCTTCACTCACACCACCTGTGACCAACCCAGCGACTCAATATCCTCCAGCACAACCTTCGGGGACGGTTCCAGTTCCAGTTCCGGTTCCTGTGGTTCCACCGCCTGTTGTCTCAAACTCTCCATCGGTTCCAGGACAAACCTGGTGCGTGGCAAAGCCTGGAGCTTCTCAAACTTCACTCCAACTGGCTCTTGACTATGCCTGCGGGATCGGTGGAGCGGATTGCTCTCAGATACAGCAAGGAGGCAACTGTTATTCGCCTATCAGTCTTCAGAATCATGCCTCATTTGCCTTCAATAGCTATTACCAGAAGAACCCTTCTCCACAAAGCTGTGATTTTGGCGGTGCAGCCTCAGTAGTTAGCACCAACCCAAGTAAGTGAGAAAAAAAAAAAACAGAGGATAATCACTCTGCTTTTTTTGTTCGTCTCTTCTTGTTTTTCTCTTAGAAGATTTTGCGTGACTTAGTTTTGAATTGTTTGTTCCAAAACAGGCACTGGTTCTTGCGTTTACCAGACGGGTTCATCGACATCAACTTCAACTCCAGTAGGAACAACAACACCAACTCCATCGACACAAACAGTGAACCAGCCTCCTGTCACATCAACACCTATGATACCAACAGGAGGCGGGATAATCGGGTAATAAAAACATTCTTTCAACTCTTTTGATATTGTCTAAAACCAGAGTTTTCTAACTGAAAAATGTACCTCTTGTTTATATTCAAGGGTTGGAACTCCACCAGCAGTTTTTAACCCGGCGAATCCTTCATCAAATACTCTGAACAATCCATCCTCTGGAGGTTCGGCGATTTACGGGTTTGATGGTTCACCAAATGGAAACAATCCAACATCATCAGACTCTACACATTTGCAGATTCACTTTGGTCACACTATGGTGGCAACATTCATTCTTCACGCAGTGCTATTTCATTAGAAGTAGAATATATAGGAGTTGAGTTAGCTCTATGACATAGTTTTGCGCAAGTTCAAGCTCATTCAGAGTATCATCACAAGAAGAAGCTAGGTATGTAAGACATTATAAATTTGTTTGGTTCAACGGGCTTGCTCTTGTACAGAAAATCCTCGGTTGTTTCTTTTTAAATATATCCCTTTATTTAGTACCAAAGCAGAAAACTCAGATGTTTATAACAAAGATGTGTAATCTTAATCCTTCATACACTGTAGGATACGGCCTATCTACTTTAATATGATCTAAAATGATTTCGTCGCTAATTCAACGCCTCGAAAAGGCAACTAATATCAGCATCGACATGGAGACAACAATCTTGAAACCTGATTTGTCCCAGAAGTTTTGGTTGCTAAAAGGATCAGCTTCATGCTGTTTTTTTGCAGCCAATTGCTCTTTGAGTTCTTGGATTGCCATATCATTTCGCTCACCCATCTACCACCAGGCAGAAAAATAGCTCAATTGGTACTGTATTCTCATATAAAATTACTATCCCAAATAGAAGCAGGTGAAATTTACCTTCTGGAGTTTTCGAGTTTGGATGCGTGTTTCTCGAAGGCAAAATTCTAACTTCAGCACCTTCTTCTTCAGCTCCTGATCAATTCTCCTTTGATTCTCCACCTGCTCTAGAAAAATACAGGCTTTACTGCTTAAAAACCAAACAACGAAATCACAGAAACAAAGAGAAGCTAAAATATGTGTTGTTACCTGATCTTCTAATTCCTTGGTCTTAAACCTCCAATGAGCCGATATAATCTTTAGTTCATCTCTTAGTCTCGCTATTTCATCATCTTTAGTCGTCAAAAGTTTGTTGATTCTTTCAAAGTTCTTTGGAGAATCTTCATCTAGAACTTTCTGCATCTCAAAATTCTCCTTTGTCCTGACCACTGATACAGCCCGCATAATGTCACCTTCAACTTTCAAAACCTCATCTCTTAGCTGCTTCTGTGAAGATTCTCTAGCTTGCAGCTCCTTTTGTAGATTCTCTAGCTTCTCACCAAGTCTAGTTACTTGGTCCTCATGCTCTTTCATGGAACCGGTCCTCTCATGCAAATGTTTGGAAAGCACTCTACACTGATACTGAGCTGATTCAGCCGACAAAGCACTTGCCTCTGCAGTTGCCTGTGTTGCTGCAAGCTGTGACTTTATATCACCCAATTCCTTCACATACTATACAAACAAAACCCAAGAAAGCAGAAAAATTGATAAGTTACACTGGCAAAGGACATGAGATCTACTAAATGGCAGATTTAAGACCCTAGTCTGGTACAAAGGACAATAAAGTACCAGCAGTTTCTGATGTGAGAGAGAGAGATAAGAAGGCTGATGGAGAAACAATCAAAATCAAGTTGATGCTATAACAGATCTACGAAGCAGAACCAAGCAAACTAGAGAAACTGGGCAAATCAAGAAAGGTGGAAAAAACAATCCTAACCTTCTCAGTAGCAACATCCGATGCACGAATCTGCTCAACTTTCTTGTTTAGTTCCTCAGCAAGTTCGAGCATTTCATCTTCCATTCTCTTAGCTCTTGTTTCTGCTTCCTGCTCATGTGGTAAACAGCACCATATATTAAAATCACCAAAAGTCTCAAAGTCGAAACCAAAATCTAAACACACAAAAAGTGACATCTGATGATATCATGTGCTTGCCTGCCTAGACATGGCTTCTTGTGAACACGAACGCTCCTGTTCAGCCAGACGAGTTCTTGCTTGTTTCAAGTCAGAGGCCAAAGACACCACATTTCTCCTGAAACTCTGCTTCTTCTCACTCAGGTCCTTCAACAGAGGATCATCTTCTCTTAAGCTCACGGAAGTTGGCATTTCTGGATTGAATGAAGATCACAGTTCTTCGATTTAGACAAATATTTTCCCCAAAGAAACCCGAATTCAAAAACGGATAATGGATCTTTTCATGTTCATCACGTGAGCCTGTACATAACGAAAACAACCTCGAATGAAAATACATAAATACCCAATCTCAGGATAATTAAGAATGTGAAATCAAATCTGTCCACAAGAATTAATCCTCTAATATTCAATTTCTTGTAATTACAAAACTATAACGAGCTAGAGAGTACGCAAGAGAGACAAAGAAACTTGTGCAGTCCCTTTCGAGTCAATAAATAAATCTGATAAAGATGAATACTTTTAAGTAAGCAAGTATACAGCCAAACAAACAAAATGTGACCTTTTTTCAAAATTTGAAACTCTTACAGATTTTTGTCTTTTTGAATCTTCAAACCCTAAAAATCCAAACTTTCTCTTGACCCACTTGTCTCCATCGTCGTCAGTGTTTAGCAGCTCCCGCCTCCCAGATAAAAAGAAAACCCACAAGGTCGAATCTGACGGCTACGGTGTTAGAGTCTAGATTTTGATCAAACGGTTGGAAATTTACGCTATTGGGTTTTTTTAAGGAAGAAGGATCAATTAGCAGATTCTTTCAAGTTCGTGAATTGATTTTTCCAGAGGAGGAAAGAGACAGAGAAAACGAACCTGGATGGGGTCCTATTCTTTAAGTTCGGATGAGGGAGATGATTTAAGGTAAGTGGCCAAAATGTTTTGCTCCGGTTAAACCGAACCTAGTGCTTCGGCTTTTGTGTCATTTAAAGCAACGAATCCTTAGCTAACCTACGCATCAGGTGGGCTCGATTTCAGTTGCTACGTGAGATAGGGTTTGACTTGAGCGCGGCAAAATCTATTGAATTTTTATCATTCGAATTATGGAAAGCCACGTACACTCTATCTCTAAGCAGTGTGTATCATTTAACCCGCATTATTTGCGGGTTATTGGAGTTTGAAACCCGCTAATGCAAATGTTGAGTATAAATAATATAAACGCAAATTTTAACACAATGCTAAAAAGAAATAGCAATTCAATCGGTAAAACGCAGATACAAATTTATTTAATTACGGAATTGATCCTGATGAATCCTAAGGATGCATGATGCATGGAAGTTTACCAAAGAAAATGGGATCGATACTAATGAATCTAGGAAACTAATTGCGATGTAAGCAAATGTCTTCAGTCAGTCATTTTGCGGCCACTCAGTTTATTTTCTTACTATTTTTTTGGTTCCACTCACTTTATTATTTTACTATTTTTTTTTTTGGTTCCACTCACTTTAATATCGCAGACGTATATGACCAAAATTTACAAAACCTACCAATGAACAAACTCTCACTTCATTCTAAAACAAAGAAAAGAGAGATGAACGGCCAAGGAAAGGTAGTCTGCGTCACCGGAGCTTCCGGCTACATAGCGTCTTGGATTGTGAAGCTTTTGCTCCTCCGTGGCTACACCGTCAAGGGCACTGTTCGAGACCCAAGTTTGTTCCCAATTCTGTCTTTTACTCATATCTTCTTTTTCTAACAGTAACTCTAGCCAAATTTCCGTTCTTCAAACAATTCCCAGAGTTAGCATAAAAAAAGATATATATACGCAGAGAAGAGGAAGACCAAAAATTATCCAAGCCAAGAGGCTGCAATTTGTAAGGGATGATTAAAAGTAGCCAAACAAAATCAAATTGGATTATAATTGAAAAATCTGACGGAATCAAATCAATTTTCTTGTTTTTTCGGCTCTGTCTTTTTTGGATTTTAATTTCAGTTAAACCATAAAATTCAAATTGAAATTGAAATTTTAACATATATTTTTTTCTTTTCAACTTTTTGCTTTCATCTTATCTTATGTCGTGTTTTGTTGCATGATGTCTTTTCAAAAAATCTAGCATCAGAACTTTTTTTGTTTTGTGCTATATGTGTGAGTTGCCTTTTAGTTATTGTATTCTATTTTTTTTAATTAAATCACCAAATAGGGAATTTTCTCACTAGGGCAACGATGAGTTGATGTCAACAAAAAAAAAAATGAAGAGAAAAGACAATGATAATTTGTTACTAGTAAGACTTGCAGAGTTGCATTTTGACGACATATATGTTATATTTTTCTTTAGCGGACCCAAAGCAAACAGAACATCTTCTTGCACTTGACGGTGCAAAAGAAAGTCTCAAATTGTTCCAAGCAGATCTTTTGGAAGAATGTTCCTTCGATCAAGCTATCGAAGGTTGTGACGCTGTCTTCCATACCGCATCTCCGGTTAAATTCACCGTCACGGATCCTCAGGTTTGTTGTAGGAAATAGTTAAGCTTTACTATTAATTAGTCGAGCCATTTCTAACGTTATTAGAGACCTAAACCAAATCTATAATTTTTTTTCTCTATCAGACTGAGTTGATAGATCCAGCCCTAAAGGGTACTATCAACGTCCTTAATGCATGCAAAAACGCTGACTCTGTCAAAAGGGTCATTGTAACATCTTCCACTGCTGCGGTTCTTGTTCGAGAACCCCCTTTGGGGCCAAACGACGTCGTAGACGAGACCTTCTTTTCTGATCCAACTACTTGCATGGAGACAAAGGTCCTTGGATTTCCTTGTGACATATCTCGTTTTGAGAGTTTGGATTCTTTCTTACACTTTTTTTTGTTTTTTTTGTTTTTTGGTTATTTTAGTTCTGGTATCCACTCTCAAAGACTTTGGCTGAGAATGCAGCATGGAAATTTGCCAAAGGCAACGGAATCGACATGGTTGCGGTGAATCCAGGATTTACAATCGGACCACTATTGCAACCAATTCTTAATTTTTCGGTGGAGATTATTGTGGATATCTTAAATGGTAAGAACCCTTTCAATAGTAGATACTACAGGTTCGTGGACGTGAGAGATGTTGCTTTGGCTCATATTAAAGCGTTGGAGACTCCTTCGGCGAATGGCAGATACATCATCGATGGTCCAAGTATGACGATTGACGACATTAAAGAGATTTTGCGTGAGTTATTTCCAGATTTGTGTCTTGCTGATATGTGAGTTTCTCTTTCCCCTTTTCATCTTTTATTTATATCATCATAACAAGTCCATAAATTTAAACATAGATAATACAAAAACATGTTTTTTGATATTGTTTTAGGAATGGAGATAGCGAGATGAATGAAATGAATTACAAAGTGTGTGTGGAGAAAGTGAAGAATTTGGGAGTTGAGTTCACTCCACTTAAATCAAGCCTTAGAGACACTGTTATTAGCCTCCAGGAAAAATGTCTTATATGATCATAATAATGTATTTTGAGATTTTCTTTTGTCTGTCGTCTAATGTATTGAGACTCTTTAAATAATATGGATGTCCAAGGTTATTTTAGCGGATGCAATTTAATATATATGAATCATATTATGGCACGTATAGTTTACGTTAGATACATCGTTTAGCGTCACATATACTTTATTTTATTTTTATATATCTTTTCGTATGCAAAAATAACAAAACCACTTCACCACATACATGTATATGTTGGAAGGCGGAGACGACGAGATCATGTTGTGGTAGTTGTTTTCACACGTGGGATTCAAAGAGATGAGTCTGCGTGTGAATATAAAGATGAAAAGTTTTGTCTCATTCATAAACTAAAGCCAGCCACACCAATCATACTAATTAATCAGATAACGTGATCAGAGAGATGAGCGGCCAAGGAAAGGTAGTCTGCGTCACCGGAGCCTCCGGTTACATAGCTTCTTGGATTGTGAAGCTTTTGCTCCTCCGTGGCTACACCGTCAAGGCCACTGTTCGAGACCCAAGTTTGTTCCCTAGCTCCTCCTCTCTTTTTTTTTATCCTGTTTTCATTTCTCCTTAAATATCGATATAGATAAAGGTGACAGGATGAACTAATAAATGTAAAATCCAAGAGAAGAAACGCATCGTTAAGAATTGGAAAAAAAAAAAAGGAGTCGATCATAAACCATGCAAGAAAGAAAAAAAAAATTCGAATTAAAAGTCAAAGTTCTTGAAACCAAATCGAATCCAGAATCTAAGTCTCGGTTCCTTTTTGGTTTTTGTCCGTATAAAAGGCAAAACACACGCGCCTATTCCCTCCTGCCCCGCACTGATTCGGAGCTTAAAAGCAATTAGGGGTTGTTCTAGTTCGATTTGACTTCTCTGAGTTTGTTTAGTACAATTTATTCTCATTCATAAATCATAAATGTTATAATAGATCTTTTTTTGTAAGGATTAAGTTATAATAGTTCTTAACGTTTTAGTTATTACATTACGTCTTAGAAATAACGATTTAACCAGATAAATAATATAGCACTCGTATATCACCACCTTATTCAAACATGTCATTGACCAAAAGTAAAATAAAAAACGATGTCGATTTTATGACTAAAAATGCATTCATCTTATTCTTCAGTGCACTTTGACAATATGTATGTTTTTTTCTCCAGAGGATCAAAAGAAAACAGATCATCTTCTTGCACTTGAAGGCGCAAAAGAAAGACTCCAATTACTCAAAGCAAATCTTTTAGAAGAAGGTTCTTTCGAACATGCAATTGATGGATGTGAGGCTGTCTTCCATACCGCTTCACCAGTTACACTCACTGTCGAGGATCCTCAGGTTCGGCAACGATATTGCTTAATTTGTTCGAAGCAGCACAAGCCTTTTACTAATTTACTTGCTTTGATTTATTGTTAGGAATCTCAAATACAATAATACATAAGTAACATGAATTATTCCACCCATAACCAATTACAGTTTTGACTTGGAAATCCATGAAATTATATAATCACTCTGGATTTTGCAGGCTGAGCTGATTGACCCAGCCGTCAAAGGCACTATTAACGTGCTAAAAACATGCACCAAAGTGTCTTCTGTCAAAAGGGTCATTGTGACATCTTCCATGGCCACAGTTATGTTTCCCAAGTCCCCCTTGGGACCAAACGACTTAGTAGACGAGACAACCTTCTCTGATCCAAGTGTTTGTGAGGAAGAAAAGGTCTTTACATTGTGGTTTTTTTATACATCAATGAGTTAGTTAGGAGAAGTCGCATTCAATTCTTATCTTTTAATTTTTATTTGTCCTATCCAGCAATGGTATGTACTCTCGAAGATTTTGGCCGAAGATGCAGCATGGCAGTTTGCCAAGGCCAACAACATTGACTTGATCGTAATGAATCCAGGACTTGTGATTGGACCAGTCCTGCAGCCAACTCTTAATTTCTCTGTACAAGTGGTTGCAGATTTTATAAACGGTAACAACTTTTTTAATAGGAGATACCATAGGCTCGTGGACGTCAGAGATGTTGCTCTAGCTCATGTCAAGGGGCTCGAGACTCCTTCAGCCAATGGCAGATATATCATTGACGCTCCGATTGTGACAACAAACGACATTGAAAAAGTTTTGCGTGAATTCGTTCCTGATTTGTGCATTGCTGAAAAGTGAGTTTTCTTTATCATTTATTTATCTAAGTCATAATCATGTTTTGATTCTACAAAACTAACAAAACTTTTTTTATTTTGTTTCGTTCAGGAGTGAAGGCATTGATACGAATTCAATGACTTACAAAGTAAGTGTAGAGAAAGTGAAAAGTTTGGGAATTGAATTCACTCCTACAGAAACAAGCCTTAGAGACACTGTTCTTAGTCTCAAGGAGAAATGTCTCATCTGATTTGTATCTTTGTTACCTTCGAATTGTGTTACTGATAAATGCATTTCATTAACAACCTTGAAAATAAAAAATTTCAAGAAAATATCTCAAAGGGTTTGAGAATGAGACTAAATTGGATCCTGCAAATAACTCGAACGACTTATCATCGCTGTTATCACTAATCAGTTCGCCGCAAAGTATATATAAAAAAGGCCACAACAATGTTGAGGAAGAAATTTTGCATAGTAAATAACATTTTCAATTGAATCATATGCAAAAACAAGAATAACATCACAACACACTGGACTAGAAAATTTTCCCAATCCAGCAACTAATCCATCACCAGATTAATAGGCTTTTGTCAGACACAGATACATTAAAGTAGGCAAAATTATTAGAAATCAACACTTCACAGCTCCATAGATTCCTACACATAGTAAAAATAAAATAAAAACTGGAAAAAAATAAATAAAGGAAGATCACTTACATAATCTACATTGGACTCGAATCAGAATCTGCCCAATTCTAAACTTCTTTCATCTCAAAGACCATCTCAGAAAGACGAAATGCTTCAAGCTATTATAATACCCGTCTCTGAGATGAAACTTGTTGGCCTATGACAAATCATTTAGAAGCATCACTTTCTTGCTTAACCTTAGTCAATTGCACAGCCGAGCAATGTCTCTTGAGTGGACCCGAATTGGTGGTAGCAGAGCTCTCTTTCTCTTTCACAGCGCCATTCGATGCAGCAATTTTCGGTTTCTGATCTCGATCAACGGAGGTTTCCTTGAGCTTTGGAATAACCGACTTCGCCTTCTCCTTGTCGTCGAGCTTGACGACGTCCTCAAGAGCCTCGCGTGCTCTCTTTCTCGCCAAGGCGGCTTCTTTCCCTTTCCGTTCAGCTTCGCATCTAGTCGCCGAGACGGCCTTATTCATGGAAGAGGCGGAGATCTTAGCGGCGCATAAAAAGACTTCGGAGAGGGATTTGTCGATGGATCGAGAGCCGTTGGTGCCGATGATAGGTCGGAAGAAGGAGAAGGAATCTGGGTCCCGGCAAGGAGGACAGAGGAAAGTAGAGGAATTAACTTCGCCGGCGCAAACGATGTGCGTGTTGGAGAGGCAATTGTAGCAGGTGACGCGGCGAGAAGGATGCGGCGGAGAAGAATCGTAGAAGGCGAAGCAGGAAGGACAAAACGACTGTGGATGTTTGCGGAGGAGGCAATGCGTGCATAAAAAGCGGAGGACTGTACGGACTCGCGCTGGGTGTATGACCCAGGCTCCGCTGCCGCACTCTTCGCATATCTCGCCTGAATCATCCGCCGCAGAAGTTGACGTCACCGAAGTCGGCGCCGCCGTTGACGACGGGAGATTCATAGTGTCTCTGGAAAATTAGGGTTTACTCAAATCGAGAGGATGAAAGGGGGCTAGACGACGGGGAAGGAGAAACTTTTAATCGATATACCAAACGGCGGCGTATATGGGCTTGAGTTTTTGGGCCGTTTAATTATTTTTATCTTGGGCTTATTCTTTTGATTTACGAAACGCAGAGTTGGGATTTTGGCTCTTCTTCTTTAACACTAAGACCAAATTAAACAAAGGATGTATTTTACACTTAAAATATAGTTGCTAGGGTAAAAAAACTCCAGTTGGACAATTACAGACCTATGAAAGCTGTCCAATAAATAACTCTAGTTGTGTAATTGTGGCCACTTCCAATTATAAACCCCCTTTAACACATTGCATCATCTTATTACATTTTTGACTTTTTTTGTTCTTACATTTGACTATGCATTATATGATGATATCTCTAAAACAATTGTCAAAAATGATAATCCAAGTGGGTTTGGTTTGTATTTGGGATTGATTAGGTTTCAGGAAAATCCAAGGACGTGGGGACGTATTTGATTATGAGGATAGGGACGCACCACAAATGCGTGTCAACGTGTTTCAAGTTCATTGCATTTTGTGTGTATTTGCATTATATAATACATGCAGATTCTTGCTCTAGTGCTGTTTCTGGTCAGTATTTTGCACCAAGGAAACGGATCCTCTCCTTTTATCTACGTGGCCAGATTGTCATAGCATATGTCACACGTGTCACATCTCCCGTTCGATCAACAGTCACAACGTGTCTCGACTCTCGAGTCGTATATCACCAATATTCACCATCGTCGTGAATAATTTATTGATAACGATTATCACCTAAAGTTCCTCCAACCAATTTGCTTTCGTGTTGACGTAAAAATGACGTTTTGATATAAAACATTTTTTCTTCAAAGAAAACCAAAGCTTTCAGTAGATCGTCGTGAATAATTTATTCATAACAACTAAATAAGAAGAAAAAATGTTTTATACCAACAAAAAAATGACAACACCCTGTCCCGCAAAATTCTCAGTCCACCGTGACCGTGGAATATGCCACCACGTTTTGATATCTCTTCTAAGCAAAATAGAAGATACGCAAAATCTTTGATCTCACTATGTCTCTACATCTACTGTATATTGTTTTTGTTAAGAACATCTACTGAAAGCTTTGGTTTTCTTTTTCTTCCAAAATTTATTAACTAAACGAGGAACAAACCAGAAGATTTTCATAAACAAAACGGTTGAGACTTGATATGTTAGAGATCACAATAGATGATTAAAAAAATAAGACTCGTTAGCAAGATATATATTCTAAGATAAAAGCTCTGAAATAAGAGTTTGGAATTAGTATAAGAGTATAACACATCCTATGATTAAACAAAAATCTGAATTATGAAGAAGCAAATGATTGGTTTCCACTAATTTAATATCCAAAACTATTTGACAAAAGAGGTGTTGTTGTATATAAATAGAAACAGGCTGAGTTAGTCCCCAGATTTAAGGATGATTAGCATAGTAGAGACTTAAGAGAAATAGTAATGATTAGCAAGTCAAATATTTTATTATTAGGATAGATAAAGAGAGACAGGAGGTTGCTCAACCCCACTTGGTGTGTGATGCTTTTTTGGCATCGTTCCTTTATGATAACACATCACAAGACTTTAGTGTATCACAGGCCCATGTCACTTTAAGTTAGGATAACATATTCTACTATACTATTATTTTTCATATTTATATGTATATTTAATAAAAGTTTTTATAGACACACCATGAATTAATTGCAATAATGCTGAGGACTGTGCCATGTAACAGAGACAGCGGATGTGTGCAGAGGTCGGTGAGAAGCAATTTGGTTCAAATAATAATCCCCAACTCCCTTTCTCTAGGTCCCTTTCTCTTTAATTTTCTTGTAATAACCATATCTTCTTCTTCTTTTTTTGTTTTTTTTCGGGTAAAAGCACCATCTTTTAATTAGCGTGTGAAGCATAGACTAGTCTCGTGAAAAGGTTTCTCCGGCACACCGAAGTACTTTACATACTTATGAGAATAGACTAGTCGCGTAAAAAGGTTACTCCGACACCTAAATGCTTACCTAGGAGAAATTTTAACCTCGTATTCTTATAATTTTGGCAAAGGTAAACAAGAAATCATTTCAACGAAAAATATTTTCAATAGACTTTTGAAGATCCTTTAAGATTAGTCAAACCAATAGTTTAATCATAATGTAAAAACAGTTTAACCTCATGAAAGAATCTGCATAATATAAATAGTCAAAGTATTAAATAATAAAAAATTAATATTTGCATTGAAATATGTAAAATGGAGTGAGTATGTTTTTAAAGGGTTAAATGGAGTGAGTATATTTTATCAAATATTAACAGCACACAGTATTTAGTTTGGTCCATTTTGTGGACGTTCCTTCTTGTAAACATCAAATTTTCAATAGTTTGGAAGTTCAAATTTTCAATAGTTTGGAAGTTCAAATTTTCAATAGTTTGGAAGTAGTCAAGTAGCTAACACAAAAACAAGTTTGGATGTTGTATAGTTGTATTGTATATAGTGGAAACAAAAAAGAGTGTGGAAAAGAAAAATGATTGAAAAGGTAAAATAAAATACAGAGAGTAAACAGAAGAGCTAATGATTCGAGGGACGCTAAAAGTTGAATGTTCGAGAGAAGCGTCTCAGAGACTGTGAAAATCAAATCCTCTGTTACAGTGCGTGCGACGATTTGGTCCCCCTCTCTCCTCTCTCTCTCTCTTTCTCTCCGTCTTGTGCGTCGATTTGTCGTCTTCTACTACTCTATTCTCCGCCTACTTTCACAAGATTACTACTCCCTTCTCTGCCGTCTTCTTCTCCTGTGTTCTCGATATACCCTCTGCATTTGGATTGATGTCCCTTTAATGCTTCGAGGATCTCACTCCCCCTCTCTCTCTCTCTATTCGCCGACTTCGATTTCTTCAGTTTCTAAATAGCATCCTTTTTCTCAGGTCAGCTACGTCTCTGCGATTGTTTGTTGCTACGATGATAGATTTCGAGGATACGTTATATTGGGGTGTCTGTTTTTGATTTAGAGAACACGAGGAAAGAAAAAAAATTGATTCTTTTGTTTCTGGGTTTCTTTGGAAACCTGTTTACGATTCAGAGAAGACGACGTTGATTTTGTTTTGTTTCTATTATAGCTGATTAATTAGCTCCCGGTACACTGTTTTGAATCGTTCTTCACTGTGATTATGATTAAACTATTGGTTTGACTAATCTTTTGCATTAATTTATATGAACTCTCTGCTATTTTATATTTGCATAATGACAGAGACATTGATTTCTTTTCTATTTCTTATTTCCTCATTTTTCTAATTTGGGAATTGCAAAGTGAAAGAAAACCTATTTCTGGGAAGTACTTCTTGGTCTAATTTGGTGGTCAACTTATGACTTTTACTTTCAGGATCAAGAAACTTCGGTCTGTAAACGCAACAACATGCCTCTGTTTGAGCTTTTCAGGCTCACCAAAGCTAAGCTCGAATCTGCTCAAGACAAGAACCCTTCTCCGTGAGTCCTTTCACTTATCTCTCTTCTTCACTGTCTTGTTTCGAGTTCATCATTTTCATGTTTTTTAATGTTTTTCTCTTCACAAAAAAAAAAAAAAAACAGACCTTTGGATGAAATTGTTGAGCTGGTGTGGGAAAATGGACAGCTTTCAACTCAAAGCCAGTCAAGCAGATCGAGAAACATTCCACCACTACATGCTGTTCATCAAGCAAGCTCTTCGAGAGCTAGAGAGATTGGAAACAGCTCAAAGACGACGGTGGTGGACGAGATCCCTATGTCAGTGCCGTCTCTAATGACGGGTTTGAGTCAAGACGATGACTTGGTTCCATGGTTGAATCATCATCAATCCCTAGATGGATATTGCTCTGATTTCTTGCATGATGTGTCTCCTGTTACTGTCAACGAGCAAGAGAGCGATATGGCGGTTAATCAAATTGTTTCCCCATTGTTTCAGAGAAGAAACAATGGCAACGAATCAGCTCCTGCTGCTTCTTCGTCGCAGTATAACGATTTCCAGTCACGTTCTCTGTATGGAAGTGATAGAGCTAGAGATCCTGCTAGCCAACATGCCAAACTGGATCGATTTACTCAGAGTCAGGAACCGTTAGTCACTAGTAACAAGCCTGGTTTGATCAACTTTTCGCATTTCTTACGCCCTGCAACGTTGGGTAAGACTAATAACCTTCATGGCACTAAAGAAAAGGGTCCTCAAAGCCCACCGAATGTGTTTCAGACTAGAGTTCTTGGAGCTAAAGACTCTGAAGATAAGGTTCTTAACGAGTCTGTTGCTTCTGCTATGCCCAAGGATAACCAAAAGGCTTGCCTAATCTCAGAGGACTCTGGTAGAAAAGACCAAGAGAGTGAAAAGGCTGTTGTATGTTCTTCTGTTGGCTCGGGTAATAGTCCCGATGGCCCATCCGAAAGTCCTTCACTTTCTTTAAAAAGAAAGCATTCAGATGTTCAAGACATTGACTGTCATAGTGAAGTAAGCTAAACTCATTATGATTTGATGCACATTTTCAAATCTCGTTTCTTCACCGTTTTCTTCAGTATTCATCTTCAATATTTGTTGAGCAGGATGTTGAAGGAGAATCGGGAGATGGAAGAAAGGAAGCAGCTCCCTCTCGAACGGGCACGGGTTCAAAGAGAAGCCGCTCTGCGGAAGTACATAATCTGTCTGAAAGGGTGAGTGAGTGAATTTTCCCCCAAAGCGTTTATTTTTACATTACTAAACTCACAAAGAACTGCTCTTTTCAGAGACGGCGTGATAGGATCAACGAGAAGATGCGTGCTCTTCAAGAACTCATACCAAACTGCAACAAGGTCGGTTTTTTTTTAACTTCTTTATATATAAACGTCACTCGATTCTGTTTATGAGATGATAAGCAATGCCCTTCAAGTCAAGATACTGTTTTTTTTCGTATTTGATCAGCTTCACTAACTTGAAAGCTTTGTATGGTTGTAAAAGGTGGATAAAGCTTCGATGCTAGATGAAGCAATCGAGTATCTCAAGTCACTCCAACTTCAAGTTCAGGTAACACTCTCACTACTATTCCCTAAAACTGATAAAAAAAAAAGTCACACTAACTCACAATCATCATTCAGATAATGTCAATGGCGTCTGGTTACTACATGCCACCGGTTATGTTCCCACCGGGTATGGGGCATTACCAGGCAGCAACAGCAGCAGCAATGGCAATGGGTATGGGAATGCCTTATGCAATGGGCTTGCCTGATTTGAGCCGAGGGGGTTCCTCGGTTAACCACGGACCACAGTTCCAGGTCCCAGGGATGCAACAACCAGTGGCGATGGCGATTCCACGTCCCTCTGGTGGTGGTTTCTTCATGGGTTCTTCGGCGATGGAGATGAATAAGAGCGATGATGGTTCGACTAGAGATCTATCGGGTTCTAAAGATCAAACGACGTCCAAGAACAACAACAATAACTTGAAACCAATTAAGAGAAAACAAGCGTCTTCTGATCCGTTTTGTGGATCGTCGTAACATAAACACAAACCTTTAAGCACTAATGCATTCATTGTTATCGCATTCAAACAAAATTAATTTGTGTGATCTCTATATTTTCTTCAAAATTTTCGGATATAATCATTATCTTTAAATGCAGAATCTGCATATTTCCGAACATATGCTGTGAACTTATCTTCTAAAAACAAAATTCAAAACATATGTCCAGTGACTAAAATCATATTTTCGCAAATGCAAAGTTGTCACGTGAACTTGGATCCGTAAACAAATGTGATGGGTTTATCAGCCCATTTCGATAAAAGACCTTGATGATCATTTTGTTTTGTTTTGTGCTCACAAAAAAGTTGTCAACTTCCCATACATGCTATATATGCTGCCTAAGATATATTTCTATAAATACCAACTATATAAAGGAACTTTCACGCCTATGACTTGAGAGTCTATGTCCTGTCTTGATCTTTTAAAAATCTTGGCGTAAACTATAGTTCAGTGTGAAGAATCGAGTCTTTAGCTCTGCACCGTCACGAATTAGACTTTTAAAGTAGTATATATACAAGATCAATCTTCAATGAATTATTAGATACTGTGGAAAGCTAGTTTAGTTCAGTTAATTCTACAAACAATCTACTTTACGCTCAATTTCTTATGTAATGGATGATTTTTGTATTTTCTTAAAACAAAAACACAAATATGTTTACGAAGTTTAATTTAATTCAGTTAATTCTACAACTATATAAAGGTACTTTCCATTCTGCATATTATTTTTAATAGTAGTGTATTTTCAAAATCGTGTTTAAAAACGTAATTTTGCACATTATAAGTTTTTAGATACTGAAAAAAATGGCGTAGTGGAAAGAGGCGAACAAAAAAGGGTTTAGACTGCATTACTTTCGATTGATATCTTCTATTGAAGATGGATAAGACGGCTCTAACTAATTACAAAACCAATGAGTTAGGACAAGCAATAGGAAACCGACACGTTCAGCACATAGGGAGACAAATGAAGTAAAAGAGGTTTTTAATTGAAGGACCCTTAATTGAAACTTGAAAGAGAAGAAAATGGTGTTAATGTGGCAAAGCAAAAGAAAAGTTAGACATCATTTTGCTTTTGGCCACACTAATATATCAAGATTATCTATGATTATGTCTTTTCTTCTCTTCTGTCTTACCAATTAGATTAAGCCATATTAGAGAAATTCAACCATACAAGCCCTCTTTTCTCACTTTTAATCAAACTTGAAATATTGTTTGCCTTCTTTTCTAAGTTTGATCTTTATCTCCACCACAAATCACAAAACCCAAATCAAATGATCATTTTGGAAAAGCAAATGAGGCAAGCAACTGGTAAAAATAGTATCACAATACACAAACACATGGATTAAAACACAAAGCAAATGTTATATTTTTGTCTTTTAATATGGGCATAATATGTTTATTACGAAGTACTGATTTTTAACTAATGGAATGAGGATTTACGAGAAACTTCAAAAATAATTAAAAATATGAAAAAGGGTCCTTAGTATAAGTGCATGCATGTGCTAATGTTTCCTTGATGATGGGATTAATGCTAAACAGGCCAATTAAGATGGTATACAATTAAGGTCACTTCTCACTGCCTGGGCCCCTCTCGCTCTCTCCGTGACTTCATCCTCTTAATCTAAATGTACTATACTTTCTCCTTGTCTAATTAATAAAATTCTTATTACCACAAAAAAAAGCCGATAAATCTTCCATCGACATCGTTGTATACGTGATTAAATGTTTTGCACTTTCACAAACTTTTATTGGATGCATCTTTTCGTTAGTCATTAAAAATATAATTGGTGGTTATATATCCTCTAATAGTTAATCAAGATTGTTGGTCTAAATCTTTTAGCTATAGGAAAATTATTGTACAGGGTAAACAACAAGATTCAATATTGGTGTATCATATATGTAAAATAAGTTGTAGCCAATTAAAAAAAAAAATAGAATAGTCAGGTTTTGGTATCGCCATCTCTCAGGTCACCTAGTTTTTACAAAAAAAGTTTACAATTTTTTAAGAGTCATTTTCATTACTTGATTAACACACTTAAGAATGGCTCAGATATGTAAAATTTATGCGAATTTCAAAAGTATCATTAAAAGTGGAAAAATCATCTTAGATGGCACAATCACTTCTAAGTTCCTAGCTATAACAACTCTTTGTCATATAGAGATTATTCATGCTTGATCAAGGGAATCCAGAAAAGAATAGTAATGCAATGTAGATTACAAATTATACTGTGCACAAGACCACGAATTTTAACTGAACCAAATTTGTTAATTGTAATCTAGACCTTGCTTTACGATTTTTAAGCAGTAGTTAGTCGCATTTTAGTTGCCAGATACTATGTATTTAAATATACTAGCTAGTAATGAGTAACGTACATCGAAACCAAAAGCGCCGTCAAATCATTTATATTCATGTGTTAAAATTTGATAAAAATGGGAGCCCTAAAAGAACAAAATAGGGCCTAGCTAGATTGAAGGAGGGTTCTGTTTAACTATAATAGACGTGTTAAGTGTTCAGCCTCTTCTCCTTTCTCTTTTGTCGGCGAAAATTTTATAATCCTCGCGTGAGTTGTGACAATGGCAAACGACAACGACCGTATGACGTAACCCTTGTTCACTTCTCTACTTAGAAGTTAGATCAGAGACTTTCAAATCACCTTAGGGCAATAACAAACGGAAATGACAGAGAGGATTAGCTCTACAATTAAAATTTAAAAAAAAAAACAAGTGGAGGGTTGAGTTGAGAGACTGTTACAGCTCATATGTTCTCTTGTAGTCATATGTGTATTTTTGGTTTCAATGGTTAATAAGATAATACTTCCAATATATAGCTATATACAATGCAAAACTCGTTCTCTAGTGAATGAAAATCAACCATGCAAAATTGCAAACTAGTATTCATTCCTTCCCTACCAAACAAGGGTTCGTCAAATAAGAAACTAGAGAAACTGTGACATATGTTTTATGTTGATGTGTATGCATTTACATGCGCTACTTATTATATATGATTTTACAATGCACCAGAATACATAAAAATCACAATTTTTACTACTTATTTTATATATATATATATATATATATATATATCAAAAACCATACGTAATAAATCTAATTACGATGGTATAGAAAGGTTAGTTTTGCGTAAATTGATGAAACTAATTTTTTTCCTTCTCCCATATTATCTGCATATATGATCACAACTGAAAACACGTATAAACTTCGGAATATCATCGAAATGTTGAAAACGAATTCAAACATTTAGTGGTAAAAGACATCTTCGGTTTCCTCAAGGCTGTTCTCTTAAAAAAGGAGGTTAGTCTGAAACTTTGAAACAACGAGTATATATGCATGCTATGCTCCAAATCAAATAAAAATCAACGCCTAAAAAATCTGAAATCAGATATGCATGGCTTACATTGCATATAATGGAAGGGCTGCGGCGGATATCTGCATGATTGTCTTATAATCATGATGATGATCAAATGATGGGTCTCAATCATCAATGATGATCCTAATCGAATATGTTCCATTTTTTAGGGGATACTTATATTATATATAGTTGAAGTTAGTACAAAATGTTTTCTTTTCCATGATATACTCCAAGAACGTGTTATTTGGTATTAGTTTATTGAGTATGATTAAAAAGACACTCTCTGCAATTGCAAAGTCTTTCCATATATTATTTGCGTTTCTTATAATTAATCATTTGGTGAATTTTTTTAATTCGAAGTATCTTTTGACAGCTTTGGTTCGAGATATTCTACAATAAATCCACTAGTCCATTTATTTTATTGTGTTTGATTGTGAAACATTTCGTGTCGGTTTTGTTTATTTTTATGAGCAGAGGTATCAAGTCTCATTTTTGGGCTCCTGCATGAACAATGGCATTGAACAAGATATTCCCTCGTTAATGGCTTCATAATGTTTTCTATTGTGGATGAATACAACAAATAAATCCATTCGTAGGAATCAGAAATATAAGAGGCATACAAGGTTATTAGAAAAAAATGCTGGTTTCCCAATTTTATAATATAAGTAGAAAATAATATAGTTGACTCCATATACTATTAATTTATTAGCTTGTAGTTTCGAATTTTCTTATTAACATTTTATGGTTAACTATGTCTATTAAAATAAAAAAATTCAAATATGCATAACCTATTAAAAATTGGCTTTTAATAAGTACATAACAATTTCGACCAAAAAAAAAAGTACATAATTAACAATCAAATAAATAAAAACACACAAATATAGTGACTCTTTCAAATTTTCTAAAATGACGATCTAGCAGTAAAAGATAAATTTTATAGGCATCCGGTCCGTAATCTCTCCTAAGGAAGCCAACAGCCTTATATTACCATTAGGGCTTAGGCCACCACCTCTTTTGTATATCTTAATGCAACAATATAAATATATCAAGAGTCTTACCAAGATAAATAATTCTAACTTCATGACATTAGAAAAGAATTAACTTCATAAATATCTTCCACAATATTTATAGGAATGGGTCCCTATAAACAAATGGATAAACGGTAAGAGTCTAACGAGAGGCCGTCTCTAGATAACGTAAGAAAACTACAAAGGATCAACATGTGAATATTTGAGGGAAAGTTTTAGTGAATGGACAAAGAATATACCCTCTCTATTATGACTGATTTTAAGGCAAAAAAAGGAGAAAAATGCCAAAAGAGAAGTGAGTCAATTTAAATTTAAAAATGTATAAAGCAAACAAAAGAGACACTTAATTATTCTCATTCATCTGCAAAAGAAACCATGTTAATAAAGCAAAATTTCTAAATTTCGCTATGTAGCCATTTAATTCCATTTAATCATTTCTGGAAACATTAACCAATGATGACAATTTCTTGCTGGTTATGAACCTTTCCCATTATTTCCTTTAATTGATGCGTTCATCTTCACAAAGATTTAGTCCTTATTTAGCATTTGCTTTTAATTCATTGCAGAAGTCTTTCATGACGACAACAAACAACTCTTCTTTGTCTTCATTTTATCTACACACCATCTAATGTGTTACTTTAATTGTTCCATTCTCACTGTAAAGAATTTATGTATAACACTTCGACCGCTATAGTAAATATATATTAGTTCTGGTCTGTGTGTTCTATCTCCGTTCGGCGAGCCGCTGATTATTTTGGCTTCACAATAAAATAAAGGTGATTTTTTTCATACAGATATTGAGAATCACTCTCTCACACATCTTAAAAATTACAATGATACTGTATAAAATTTCTAGTAAGATTTTCGAAAAGTTAGATGCACTTGGTGACATAGAAATTCAAGTAGAAAGCTTTTAAACATTATATTTTTGGCATATCATCATTTAAAGAGTGCAATATCCTTGTCACATACCAAAAACGTTTTAGGAGCAAACATTATTCCTATATATGTGCGACTTTGATACAATTTTGATTTTTGAACTCATGACATCTTCATATGTGGAATCCACATATTTTCATCAAAAGCTGTGAACCCACCAAGACAAAAAATAAAATTCATGTTTAAACAGGTCATTGATATTGTTAAATTACTCTCGACTAAGCGTTTCCGCCATTTCCCTTACTGTAAATACAGAGACTATGAATCTCCAAAGAGAGAAACATCAGAAGATCATGGAAAAAGCTCCATGGTTTGTATGAATCTCCGAAATAAGATTTATAGAATAGTTTCTGTGGTCACGCCGGTTTTTGGTTTGAGTAGAGAGACTCGTAATATCTTTTAGGACAGGCTGAGCATGAATGAGCATGTCTCCACTACTTAAACTCACACCTATTATCAATTTTAACTCTAAAAGAAAATAGTTTTTGGCGATTGATTGAAATAAGTGTCGATCATACTTTAGTTGATGCATTTGAATGTATGGAAAAGGGTCCACAGGAACATGACGAATATATGATGATTGGAGTGATGTAAATTTCATCAAAAACTACATGAACACCATTTCTTAACCATGACCTCTTACCATTGGTGTGAGCCGATCCGACGTGGACCAATCAATTTGTTTCGACAAACGCTATAAAAATTCACACTTTTGCCTCTTTTCTCTTGAAAAATAACTTCTAGTGAGAGAAAATTAAAGTGAGCATAAAATTCAACAAACCCTTCTGAAGAAAGTGACTTTTCTTAGTCCTATTAATACTCTCTCTCTCTCTCTCTCTGCAGATCTGTTACTTCGTTTTCTCCATCTTTCTCTTCTTCTTTTCCTCAGATTCCATTAACCTTCAAAAGTTTTATGTAAATTCTCTGTACACAAAATTTGCTTTTCTTCTCTCTCAATACTTATAAAGAGAAACAGAGCTTTCTTCTCTTTCATTGTTCCTTTGCTCAGCATTGCAGCTTTGTTGAACTAAATGGGGAGACATTCTTGCTGTTACAAACAAAAGCTAAGAAAAGGGCTTTGGTCTCCTGAAGAAGACGAGAAGCTTCTCAATCACATCACTAATCACGGCCATGGCTGCTGGAGCTCTGTCCCTAAACTCGCTGGTAAACATTTCTTCCTCAATTCAAGAGAAAAAAAAACACAAATAAATAGAAAAAGAACTACTTTTTGTAATAAAAAATCTGTGTCTACCTACAGGTTTGCAGAGGTGTGGAAAGAGTTGCAGACTAAGATGGATCAATTACTTGAGACCTGATTTAAAGAGAGGAGCTTTCTCTCCAGAAGAAGAGAGTCTCATCGTCGAGCTTCACGCTGTCCTCGGAAACAGGTACATATCAGCAATAATGCTGTCAAAGATGTCATAGAAAACAGAGTTTATATCTGAAGTTTCCTCTGTTTCTGGCTCTGTTCTGTTTTAACAGAGGATCATGTGTATGTGTTAAACTTCCTCTGGTTTGGTTTTCTGCTCTGTTTTTTATCAGATGGTCACAAATTGCGGCAAGGCTTCCGGGAAGAACCGACAACGAGATCAAGAATCTATGGAATTCAAGCATCAAGAAGAAACTGAAACAAAGAGGCATTGATCCAAACACACACAAACCCATCGCTGAAGTTGAGAGCTTTAGTGACAAAGACAAACCAACGAGCAACAACAAAAGAAGCAGCAACGACCACAAGTCTCCAAGTTCCTCCTCTGCAACTAACCAAGACTTCTTCCTCGAAAGGCCATCTGATTTCTCCGACTACTTCGGGTTTCAGAAGCTCAACTTCAACTCCAATCTTGGGCTCTCTGTTACAACAGATTCTTCTTCACTCTGCTCCATGATTCCAACGCAGTTTAGCCCCGGAAACATGGTTAGTTCTGTCTTTCAGACGCCGGTATGCGTGAAGCCCTCGATTAGTCTTCCTCCGGACAACAGCTCAAGTACTGTCTCCGGAGCAGATCATGTGAAATTGGCTGCACCTAACTGGGAATTTCCGATAAACAGCACCTCCCATTTCTTCGACAATGGCGGATTCTCATGGTCAATCCCAAACTCTTCTCCTTCGCTAGTCAAACCCAATCATAACTTGGAGGAAATAAAATGGTCAGAGTATTTGAACACACCGTTCTTCAGTGGGAGCAATGTACAGAGTCAAAGCTCTCAACCGATCTACGTTAAATCAGAGACAGATTATTTAGCCAATGTTTCGAACATGACAGATTCTTGGAGCCAAAGCCAAAACGAGAATTTGGGCGCAAATGAAGCTAGTGACGTGTTCTCCAAGGATCTTCAGAGAATGGCCGTCTCTTTTGGTCAGTCCCTTTAGCTTTCTTTTTCTTAATTCTAACAGATTTAGAGAACAAAAAAGATATACAATACATACATACGTACAGTGGATTTGAGTGTTCTGTATATTCATGGGTAAGAAAATCGAGCTGTCTTTTTTTATTTATTTTTAAGTGTGTTTTATACGTCAACTATTCTTCTTTCTTTTGCAAACCTTTCATTCTCATACTATATACTTTTTTTTTTGTTGTAAGAGATTATGATGTATATTACTCTCGATGATTTCAGAGGTTTGTGTTTGCAATTAATCTGGTGAAGAACAATGATGAATGTAATAAATCAGTTTCTGTCTGTTTCCGTGGACGAGTTGTAAGTCAGAGTCACATCTTTCACCATTTTCAGACCTGTAATGAATTAAAAGACAAAAAAAAAAAAGACAAAAAGAAAACATAAAATTAAAGTAAAACATATAAATTAAACTAAGGTTGGAAATTAGCTCAACTAATAAAAACTAAGAAGGGACACCTTTTTTCCGAAAGGACCCTGGTTTAAATACGACGTTATTTATTTTTATTTTTGAAAATGATTTCCGTTTTCTGAAATGAATGACTTATCACATATTTGAGAGATTAGGAATCGAATACCGTTAATTTCTAGCTATTATAAACTTTGGAAAAAAGGTTTGTCATTTTGCTTAGTCTTTTTCTTCTTTGTATGTGCTTTTTGTAAGTCTTATCAGAAAATTGGAATTTTCCCCATTGACCAAAATTTATGTTTCGGCCGGCGTCGGAATATTCTTTCGCGGTAGAAAATTCGAAAGAGTTCGAGAAGCTTTTAAATTTTTAAATTTTTATGTTTAATATGTACATCGAGGATATTTAATCTTTATAAACATGAGTGATGGGGCTTTCATTTTATTATCCCAAAGTCATTTGCTTTACTATATACTATATAGGCTTAGCACATATATTTTTTCAAGATTCTAATCCAAAATAACCACTTTTTACCTTTTAGAAATAACCTAACGCAATAACTCGACCGGTAAGAAAGTATTTACATGTTTGTTTGACTTTAAATTAGGCGATATTTAAAAATAAAATAAAAATTGATTTCTCAAACAGATTAGTCTAATTTCAATAAAAAGGAAATCAAAAATATTTTGAAGTTTCTTTTAGCATCTGAGAAATCATTTTCCTCAAATAATATATATTAAATGTATATTATATATCTTCAGTGGTAAATGTTTATTTTTAACCGACCAAAATATTAATCGGTTTGAGGATTTAGATATTAGCATATACTATATACATTTGCATTATAATAAGGTTTAGTGGAACGCAAGAGACGAGAATGCATGTGAACTGAATAATTGGTGCTACATTGAACCAATCATTGTGTTAGTTTTGATTGGCGTATGTTATGCAAGGGAGATTAAACATAAACACTTGTCGCGGTTGTTAGCAATAATAAATAAAAGATGTATTGTGCGTAAGAGTAAGACAATGGAGAAAACATAGAGAATGTCGTGGAATCATTGCTCTCTTGTATTCTCTCCTATGAAATATTTTCTTATCTATCTATATTTTGCGTAAAATTTTCTTTTTTATAATTATCTTTAAACAACGACATTCAGATATTCGAAAACCGTGTTGACATGCTGATAATTAGACAAATAAAATAGCATTCTTTATTTATCGAGAAGGAAACTTCGGAGGTTTTAAAGATTTCATATCAAAAGAGAAAACTTCTAAGGTTTTATGGTAGATTTTTTTTTTTTTGGTAAGGATTTTAACTTCTTTTCTCAAAAAGTTTTACTTTATTAATATCAACATTTTGGTGAATGCCATTGGCCCTTTTACAATATGGATAACCATCTATTCGGAAGTTTGATGATAGTTAATTGGCACACAAACTGTTTACAGACCTGAAAATGGAAAATCAAAGCTCGATTTTGGATATTATGTTGAGTGGAAAAATCTATATTTTTACCGATGAAAATATTACTAATCATCTCTCTACATTGCACTAGAAGAAAATCACTCTCCTAAACAGAATACGGTGTCGTTTAGACTTAATAGTCAAAACGATTTGCTTTCAGATCTTCTTCAATCCACAAGTGTCGTCTTAGATGAAGACGTAACAAACACAAAGCCCAAACTCAAATTATGGATAGACCCAACCCACCAAAGACGACGCGTAGCTTAAAAATAAATATTTTTGATTGTCCCGGACAAAGGTCACAAAATGAAAGAATCGGAGCAAGGAGCAAAAACCATCAAAACCGGAGAACATTTGTGCAAATCAAGTTTTATAATACAAAATTGATACAAATAAGACAAACATTATCTGATAAATACATCAGGTGTTGGGTAATAACAATATTCATTTTTATGGCTTTGAATTGATGAATCATTAAATAAGTACCGTGTAATACCAAAACAAGTGTAGCCATTTTTTTTCAATGGCACAGCTCTGATCCATCCGTTTAGTATTAGTTGACCTTTGACATTTCATAGTTTGACAGAAGAGAGAGAAGGAGAGATAAAAGGAAGGGCATGTTCCTTGCTTTTTCTCTCTCTCAACGAGAAAAGTCATCGCCTTCTTCACTTTCTCTCTCCTTTATAAACAATAATTCTCAACTGTTACAGTCCCACCATTAACAACCAATCCCATGGCTTCACCAACTCGAACGCTCTTCCTCCTCCTCAGCTTCGCCGTCTTCTTCTTCTTCATCACAGTCTCCGCAGATCCCGACATGCTCCAAGACCTCTGCGTAGCTGATCTCTCCTCCGGTAACAAATTTTTGATTTTACCCTAAAATCTCTGATCTCATCTTTTCCATTTCCCTAAAAAAAGCTTCGATTTTTTCTCACTTTTTTTCGCAGGAATCAAAGTCAATGGCTTTCCTTGCAAAGACGCGGCTAATGTCACATCATTAGATTTCTTCTCACAAGGATTAGCGAATCCAGGTCTTACCAACAACACATTCGGGGCCTTAGTCACAGGAGCAAACGTGATGACGATTCCAGGACTCAACACGCTTGGTGTCTCCCTCTCTCGCATCGACTACGCACCAGGTGGTTTAAACCCACCTCACACCCACCCGCGTGCCACTGAAGTCGTCTTCGTCCTCGAAGGAACACTCGACGTTGGGTTTCTCACAACCGCCAATAAGCTCATCTCTCAATCTCTCAAGAAAGGAGACGTCTTTGCTTTCCCTAAAGGACTCGTCCACTTCCAGAAGAACAGTGGCCATGTTCCTGCTTCTGTTATCGCTGCTTTCAATAGTCAGCTTCCTGGAACTCAATCTCTTGGTGCTACTTTGTTCGGTTCTTCTCCTCCTGTACCCGACACCATCTTGGCTCAAGCCTTTCAGACATCTCCAGGAACCGTCAAACACATCAAAACCAAGTTCCAACCCAAGAAATGATCTTCTCCAGATTCATTATAGTTTTCCGGTTCTGTTTTTCTCTCAAAGGAAAGATCTTTTATCCTTCTTTTTTGAATTTATCTTGTGTTATAAACAATAACTCATCTTTGAGTGTGCATTTGAGCTCCATAGTCTCATGTATGATCTTCTGTATAATCCAATTTTTTTTTTTTTTGGTTTAAAAGTTGACTAGAAACAGGTATGCTGATGTTGATCATATTTAAAAACTTGGAATAAATATAAAAGCAGGTAAGCTACTTATCTGGCCCCCTTCATATAAAATTATCAACTTGAGAGACTCTTGCGTATTGGCGTAATAAAACTGATTAATCAATTGATAAGATCGAATGTTATACTTCCCCCTCATGTGCTTCTTATTTCAAATCTAAGTGTACTTCATATGGCCAGCTACTTAGATACCTTTAGAATTTAAAAATATGTCTGCTTCTTCATGGAGTTAAGCTATAGCCAATTTGTTTAAACTAAGGATTCTAGCAACTTAATAGTCAAGGATGAAGGATCATACATTACCTCTAAACTCTGGCCTGTTGGATTAAATTCGAGGCATAGACTCCAGCTACGCCGATTTAGTGTATTCCGCAGATCCTCTCTATCATCAACCTGTACTCAGAGAGATATTCATCCATGTGAGGAGTTTCTGTTCTTATGACCACCATAAAACCGTAAATTAGCTCACTTCTCATACATCAGTTTTTCGAATGATAACCAAAACACTCGAGAGGAAGATTAGATATGCATCCACATTTACAGCTTCAGAACAGAGTTAACAGAAGATGTAAATGGATGGATATTTCATCGTTATTGAAAATGAAAATGAAAACAAGAGCAACAAGGAAAGTTACAAACAAAGAGAAACGTTGACTATTATATCAAAGCCATAACCCCTTTTTCTTTTGGGGACTACTTGTTCGCTGCAGCGAGTTCCGCAGAGATAATGAAACTAGATTTCCCAGCTTGTCTCAAGTACTGCACATCTCCATTCATCAGCTTCACCAGTTTCCGGCTAACCATTAAGCTTAATCCTTCCTCTGACACATCTTCCTCAGTCCCAAACATTTGGTTTAGCAAAAACTCTGGTAACCCAGCTCCAGTATGCGTTATCCTGTTTTCATAAAACACAATATCATCAATGCACATTTTCTTTGAAAATCATATTGATTTTTCTGATTAATCAAATCTTACCTGATCTCTAAATAAGCAAGATGCACAGATCGCCCGAGCTGATCTTTCCTCAGGGAAGCTGTAACAGTTAGCTGACCACCGGATGGTGTAAAGTTAACAGACATGAGCATGAAATCTGCCAAGACTTGTTGAAGTCTAATGCTGTCTCCGTACAAAGTATCAGACATTATTTCTTCTCCGGTATCATTTGTTATTCGAACGCTCTTTCCGTTACTCTTCATCATTACTTGACTCGTGGAAGCAGTTAACACTTCGTTTAAGTTGAATTCTTTCATTTCCAGATCCAAGCACCTGAACGCAGCCACGTCCCCACATAAGAAAATAGATGAGAGGATTTAGGAAAAAGAAAAAAAAAAAAAGACTTTCATTCTTGCATACCCTTCAATGATGCTGTCAAGGTCCGAATCATCAAGGATCTTGCTGAGTTGCTTCTGACACAAAGCGCTAGTTTGCAAAATCCGTCTCTGCTCTGGTCCTAACTCAGTGCCCTCCATCATTTTCCTTGTAAACATGATTCCGGAGAGCGGGTTTCTGATCTGTCTTTTAATGTAAGCCAGAGCCTTTAGTCTTGTCAATGCAGTTCGCTCAGCTAGACGCTGAACATGGAGGGCTTGCTGCAACTCATGGCTGGCAAGTTGCAGGAAACAGAAGACGCCTGTCACTACACCTTCCCTGTCCAGTTTCTTACTCACACACAACAGACACTCCACATACTTTCCGCCTTTTGTAAAGAAAGCAAAGGACACTTTCTCTGCTTCCTGACTGGTCACAGCATTATTTAGCACAATCCCAAGGTTTACAAATGCTTCTTGATTCTTTAGACGACAACATGACTTCTGCGTCCCAAAGACTTCTCCTAGCAGCATCTTGTCCATTACTTCCTCTCGCTTTAAACCTGTTAACTTTGACATTGCTGGATTCCACTCAGTGCACCACCCGAACTCGTCGGTACCAAATATGGGCGGGATAAGCGGGTTTGGATTCTGGATGATGGCCTTGTAATCACCTTCAATTCGAGTAAACTTGTCCATCACAGTCTTCTGTCCAGTAAGATCATGGGCTACAAAACACACCCCAACCACGTTTTCATGGAGATCTCTACTTGCACATGCATTTACAACTAAACTTATTGGCCCAGCATCAGCTCTTGACAGTAGCGTCTTGATCTCAAATTGGACATTCTGCTCCTCGGTTCCTGCATAAATATGAAACCGAATTTTATAGACTCTACTTGAGCAATTCAGAGAGAAAAAGGGGAAAGTAAAGTACTTCTTTGCCTACGCTACTCAATTGGAAGTTAAACAGTGCCATCTAGTTGAGAGATTCTTAGCAAAACTTAAGCTAGGAAAACAGTTACCTTCGAGAGCATTCTCTAGCATCCTTTTAACGATTTCCACTGAAGAATCTTCAACAAGTGTGAGGAGATGCTTCCCGATTGCTTCATCAACCGGAAGACCAGTCAGCTCAGCAATTTTCGTGTTCCAGCCATTAATCAATCCATCAGAATCAACCGCCAATATTGGGACCGTAGCAGTTTCAATTAAACGAACCATCTCACTGGTCACAGCTTCTAGTTCTTGTATACCATCGATTTTTAGATCATTAAGCTTCGAGTGGATGATCTTCGTATTCACATCAGTAGTTTCGCCATCCTTGAAAGCATTCCTCAGAATCAGCTGCAACGAGTGTATGGCATCCATCTCATAGTCCTTCCAAGGTAAACTCCTTGTCTTGACCACTTCAAGGAAAGCCTTGAACGATGATCTCGGGTGCATTCTCCTTGCATCATCCCTGTCATCTGGATCATGCTTTGCACCTCCCCATCTCACTTCACCAGCGGTATGAGAACGGAACCAGAAAATCATGTCTTTCGATGATATCCTCACAGCCGCCATTCCACATACTGAATCCCCAAGAGATAGAGCCCTAGGAAACCCAGCATCATGCAAGCTATCAGTGCTCAAACCCGTTGAATCCGTGTGGTATTCACACAACCATGAAGCTATCTCCTGCAGATGGAACTCGCTTGGAGTTGTTCCCAGTTTCCATATCTTGTCTTTATACAAGAGAGCTGCTCCATCACATTTCACAAGGTCCATTATGTTAGGGCTCTGTGACACAATACCCAGCGGAGCATCACGCATCAGCATATCGCACAAGAGTGTCTGTGTGCGCAAAATGTTCTTCTCCACAATCTGATTCTCCAGTTCCACCTCCTTGTTGACGTGTATAGCAAACACTTGAGCTAGAAACTCACAGGCATACCTGAGAGGAAACGGAACAAACCTGGGAGTCGTGTTATGACAAACCACCAAACCCCATAGTCTCTTTCTCTTTTGAGGCTGTGTAGTAGAATCAGGCGCATCCCCTTCTCCATCTTCCTCGTTAACTACAACCGCCATAACCAGAGATGCTATTGAATCCATGTTGGCCATGTACTGCAAATGGCAGCTGTGTGGTGCCCTAAGGGTGGAGCCGCACAAGGTAAGATCAAAGGAAAGCTTTTCATCTTGAAGCACCCTAACATGTTTTGCATTGCAATCAACGATCATCCGAACCTTGTTCTTCATAAACAGAAAGCGGGCTGCTTGAGGGATGTCAGTAGCTGGATAATGAAGTCCAAGATAAGGCTCCAGCCCAGGCTTTGTCACCTCGGAGACAACCTCACCGTGATCATCGTCATGAAACTTATAAGCCATCACCCTGTCATACCCAGTGAGTTCAAAAACCTCCTGAGCCATCGTGTCACAAAGCCTTTCCATGCTTCCGCTGGGCAAAGATTGTAGCCTAGTGATGGCTTTAGCAGCGAGCTTGTATGATTGCAAGGCACCAGCAGCTGTCATGGGAACTTCATAAGGCTTCACTGGTTCAAAGTCGACGATGATGCTCCCTGTAACCCTGTGGATTATCGCATAAAAGGGCTTTGTAGAAGTCTTGCAGTGCACAAGAATGGGATTCAACAGGGAGACATCTCCAAATCCAAGGGCTTTCTGCAACGCCGAGGCACTAGGAGCAGTGAAAAGACTCCTAATATCCGTCCCAATGCCTAGAACAGGGTGTTCGCCAACACTAGGAACTGCATGACTGGCCATTGTCAACAGCTCAGGAGCATTCTCGCTGTATGCAATGACTTTGAAGGTCTTCTCATCCAAAGCAAGCAAACAACCAAAGGGCTGAATCAGCTTTCCTTTCTGTATGTGATGAAGATAAGTCGTGGTCACCTTGTCAGACCTCGGTGGCTGGTTCTCCACAACCGGGCCAGTGACACGCACTGAGGTTGAGTAATCAAAGGAACTGCCCGACTCCTCAAAATCAGCATGGAGCTTGGCATCTACAGTGGTCTGCGCAATGATCCGAGCGCTGTGTCTTGATCGCCTCGACCCCTCAGAGGACTGACTCGGCCTAGAAGCTGACATTTTTTCCCTGAAACAGAGACGAGAAAACAAGAAATAAGTACAAAACTCTGATAAAGAGGGAATAAAACATTGTTGCCATTAGCATAGGAACACAGAAGAACATTAATCGCCCGTCATACAAGCGAATACATGACCATAAACTTGAAACACTACAAAGCAATCGAGAATTTCAAACACTAAATCGCCGTTATAGCATAAGTCGCTTTCACAACAAAGAGAGGGATGAAGTTGACCAATCCCTTCGAGAAACTCTAGCTAATTAAACCCAGAAATAGGACGCAACAGATGCAAAAATCATCCTGCTAATTACCATCTTCAAAGCAACGCATATGAAGCATCTTAATTATGAGGTATAAAAACATAGCCAAGATTTCAAATTCCATGAACACTACCTTTCTAAGCCATCCTACTATCTAAAATCAACAAGATCTCAAGAATTAACAAGTAGCACAATGGTAGTTAATACTCAAAAGAAGACTAACAACAACGAGGATCTGAGTCAATTTGCCTTTCAACATTCAGATACAACTACATACATAAGCTATACAAAATCAGAACTCGTTGAATCTTTATAGCCATACCTTTTGAAAAAGAGAAGTAAAGTCCAACTGCGAAAGCAATCTAAGAGTGAAGAGCGCTAAGAGGATGAG